AAGGTCTGATCTTCGGCAGGACCGAGCCAAGGCTTTTGGTTATTTATCCTTCGCTCTGACACCAGATGCCCTTTTAATCTGACACTTTCCATTCTCTTAATTCCTTATTCACACTTACTCCCCATTGTCTTGCTCTCGCTGCCGAAATTTGCTCCCACATTTTCAAGACATTTTTTTCAAGCCTAACCAAGAGGTCACTAACATGTGGAGAGCAAATTTTGTCGAGACTAGTGAAACTACCTGAAGCAACAATACAGGGAGAGACCTCAAAATATCAGCTAAGTACCTACAGCTAAGTAGTGCCATATAATTAGCTTTGTTATTAGCTATGACATTAGTTTTGTCGACTGCTGCTTGTTGCGTAATTAACATTTCAACCACATATTTAAAATTTCTAACCTTGACTCCCCACCCCCCAGACACACACACTTGAAAGTTGCACACAATTTAGTCCACTTATGTTCGACAATGTCGATGAATTTTCACTGATGCTAATCATAGACTGTATACAGAATGGACGCGTCTGCCTCCTCGCTGCGTGAAGCCACTCTGAGAACAGCACCCTCTGGTGACAGGCTGCAGTATAGGTCAAAAATCCTGCATCCACCAGCAAAGCTTATGGGGGCTGCGGACACACTTTAGAAAGTTATTACACAGAATATAAATTATTCTCCCCCCTGCTTGCGATGTTGACATGTAGTTACAGTTAGACTGGTTTGTGCCCAAGTCCTCTTTTTTCTGTGCGGCTCCATTTTTAAAAGTTATTAGGGGATTTATGTTTTCTATGATTGACACTTGATAGAGATGGGCGTACAAGGATTGCGTAGCTCACCCGGAGGCAGTATTTTTTTTTGTAGGATGGTAGGGGGAAGTCCTGCCGCCTTCGCCTCTGATTGGCTAGAGAAGCTGGAAAAGTCATCACACGCTCAAGCCAAAGCAGGCTGTCGGCTCTGTACACCGAACAGAACATTACAGAACATTATCGCACCTCTGAATCTCCAAACCCTAACCTTAACATGACAGATGGTCTTTCACAGCCATTAGGAATAACCAATCAGAGCCCAGCCCTTCTAGCCAATCAGAGGCTAAGGAGGGCGGGACCCTCCCTTACAAAAAAGGCTTGCCACCTGGAGGATACGTTGTATGAGCCAAGCCTCATCGCAGCGACTCTCGGCGACTCTCCCGCGGAATTCGCACAATGCTACTGGCAAGTGGTGGAGTGTGTACAACGCTACTGCGCAATGTTGGTTTCAGGAAATAGAGAGAAAACGCGGAATTACTGAGAACTTTTTTGGCTTCAGATCCGTATACTGGCGGAAGGCGGAACCAAGTTGTCCATAGTATATACAGTCTGTGATGCTAATCCTTCTTCAGGTAAAAATCGAACTTCTTATGCCATTTTAAAATACTTCAATAAAAGCTGAATAAAAATGGTGCACTGACGATAAAGTGTGCTTACAGATAAATAATATATCACTTTACTGGAAAACTGATAGGCCTATTGATATTAGCAGCTATTAGCAAAGTATTAAGCGAAGTATTAATTTGACATTATCAGTTTCTGTTGTTGCTGTATTCATAGGCTCACAAAATACAAAGTAAACCCCCTTATGCTTAAGTTTTTGCAATTTTAATGCAGCTGATGAGCCCATGTACAGCAAATACATTTAATGTACAACATTTTTATGTGTTATTGTAAAGTGATTCTACACTTTACATTTACATTAAAAGGGAAACTAAGATTCAGAGTTTAAATGATCTGCATATCCTCACATACTGTATGCAGATATTACATAACTATTACTTTTACTTAAAGCCTATTTTTCTGGCTCTCATGCTTACTTATTATTATGTAAGTATTTTGGAAATTGGGCTGTTGCTCGTTAGAAAATCTGTTTGAGACTTTCACAAGAATTAGATTACTCATTTACCACTATTTCTGACAGATTCCCAAAATCCTAGTTCCCATCTCGCACTGATTGTGTAAGATTGTGTGTATTTGCTGGTTGTTTAAAACGTGTTCTTGAAAATATTTCAAAATTATGATTGAGTTTGTCTTTTCTCATACATGACTGCTGTTTGCATCATACAGGCTCTCTGTGTCCTGTGACTACAAGGATCAGTGTTACATGTCTGGACATGTCTGCTGCATCAATGAAGGTTCACTTCAACTCCAGGGAGCGTATGATGAGGATGCAAAGCAGAGTGTGGGTAATGTTGCCTGGATAATTGTTTGCAGGGACCTGTAACAGTTGCAAGGTAATGTGATTAATCTCTACAGATTTGCAAGGACAGTGTTCTTCATAAAGTTCGCTTCAGAAATTAGACTAAAACTGATGTTTTTCTTCTCTCTAAAGGTCATGCAGTGTTTTAACTTGGATCAGTCTGAGCCCACTTGAGTTTTCACTCTTTTCTGCTGAAGGCTACTGCCTCTTAGTTTGTGAGTAGGGAAGAACAGTGAGAGGCTATGTGCAGAGACAACTGTGTGTTTAAAAATGAAGGAGTGCATGTGTAACACAGTTTAGATTTGTTAAAAAAGTGAGGAGGGCGCTACTGCTACAAGCATGGTTGCTATGACCATCATTAACCTGCCAACGTTTTACCATTTCACTGTAATACTTGCTACTCTTGATGAAAAGACCATAATCTTTTTGTAAAGCCAGTGTGTTTCTGAATAACAGAAATATTATCGACGGATAATTCAGAGCACTCCCTCTTTTCGTGTAAAACACAGGAATGCAGCAATTGCTGCATGGCCTCAAAGAGCATATGCAAATAAGCCGTGCAAAACCTCTCTGTCAGGTTAGACCACAATAGTCAGCAGAATCCACTTAAATTTGAAAGAATTTGTTAGCTTAACTTGTATAGTTGCTTTATCACGAAATGGTAAATGTCTGCAAACTTGGAACAAATTCAGGTCAGAATCGATGTCAGAAATGTCTTGTACACCTTTGTGATATTTGGTTTCCTACTTTAGCAGCTGGTGATGGTAGAGGATAAAGTGGAATCATGGTGTTTGTTACAGAAGGATGTTTATTTTTATGAGATATAGTTATGTTGAGATTTCTCAGAGATAAACTGGATGGTATAATCTTGAACTGGCAGCAGCAGCAGAGAGTGAAAGATACAGTAAATGATTCATGCCCATTCTCAGTGTAAAACAAAGTTATATGATTCTGCAACTTTAACCTGGTTAGAATATGAAAATGTGATGAAGGTGATTAGGACAATGTTAAATATTCAAACTCAGATTGTCTATACAGTTAATGAATTTTATATAAAATCATCCAACATACTTTGACTGTGCACCACACCTGCACACGCCGATTTGTTTCTGGTCTTTAGTGACTTTGTATGGCTGAAAGGATTTGTCACGCTCTGATAAATGTAGTAACCTGATGGTGAAAAAAACAAAACAAAAGCGAGAGGATCTTAACATGTTGTACACCTGTATTCGCCAGTTTATACTATACATACATACCAGTATATACAAGTATGCACCAGTATTATTCTTACACTTGATTTTACTGGATGAGAATGACACATGTGTTGCATAGCTGGAGCACTGTGGACTTGCCCTGTGCAGAAATGCCGAAGTCTTTGATCAAGCTGCAAACAGGAAAACAGATTTGACAGTTGTGTCTCCTTGCATCCTCACTCTTGATTTACTCAGTACAGTGAACACTCTGCTCCTTGCAATTATACCAGATGGACTTGTTGAATTCTCCCCGAAAAGCTTATTTCATCTCACTTGGCTGACATTAATTTGGACCTTAAACATAAAAGAAGTCATTTCAAATCACAGAAACCACAGTCTCTACAAAATACACTCAGTGCTACATAACATATTGCACTCTTGCATGTATTTCTTGAGATTTAAATAAGCATAACATTATCATCGCTGAACTGTACATACAGTACAGTTTTCCTTTTTTGTACCCAGGTCACATAGCTGAGATATTAACTATGACCTCATCTGTTAAAGATGTGCAATCGTTGTTGTCACAGTGGTTAGGACTGGTGATTTTAAAGATAAAGAAATAAATTAATCAAATCTTGAATGACAGGTTTGATATTTTAATGTCAAGGAATAAGTAACAGTTTTCGATGTAGTTGCCATTGCAGAGAAATCCCTCGAGCTTCCCACATTACACCTCTGATTGGAGGATGCAGCTGTGAGAAAGTTCACCCCCTCTTTGAGAGCTTATGTGGTTGTAATACTATTCACTAGGCTCGTTGTAGTATCATCATTGTCTGATTTGATGCATTCTCTGCGTTTTCCCAAGCCTGCAATTTAGGTTGAGAAGACAGTCTGCTTGTTCAGCCTGTAGAGGGGCAGATAAACGCTTGCCTGGTGATGGTGAGTGCATGTCTGCAGCCAGGCTGTGTCTGCTCTAAGCTGTATGTGGATAAGAAGGAGGCCCCTCGGGTGAAGAGGGCTCCAGTGCCAAGTGGCCCGGCGACGGGGTGTTTATCAGCGCTGCCTGACGCACTGAGGGAAATATCTATGGGCGAGAGATGGGGGAGGCCCAGGGAAACCTGAAGGGGGGCTAGTGAGTCTCTTTGCAGCTGAGTAGACGATAATTGCAGGGCAGCTCATAGGGCAGATTAGGAAAAGATTTACCTCCACTGGGGAAAGTGCATATGAAAATGAACAAGAACGAAGCAGTGCATTAAAACAGCTTTGATGTGCTAACACACTGAACAATTTAATCCTCTGGTTTGTGTTTGTGCATATGTGTTAGTGTCTCTGCGTGCGTAAGCCAATGTGAATATCCCACAGTTATTCACATTCATGCAGTATGACTGTCTGAGCAAAGCCTCTCTGAATCTCCAGCTCTCACTCTCTCTCTCTCCCTCCCTCACCCTCCGTCTGTTGCTCCCTCCCCCTCCTTCTCTCGCTGTGTGAGCGTAGTCTGGGCGCTAAGCCAAGTAGAGTGTGTTTTTTTGAATGAATACCTGATGCGGCTGATGAGGCTGGCTGGGGGAGGAGCTGTGTCAGTGGAGTACTGAGAGAAAGAAAGAGGAGGGAGGTAGAGAGGGAGAGGGAGAGAGGCAGAAACAGAGAGAGAGAGAGAGAGAGAGGCAGAAACCGAAAGAGAGAGAGAGAGAGAGAAGCAGCCAGGCAGAGAGGGAGCTGGCGGTCTGGTGGCCTTGCATAACACACATTGGAGCAGCCTTGAACGCAGGACTTGGTGTTTGCTTCAGCAGTGGGGGAACTTCCTTCACCGTCAGCCCGTTGCAGGGACAGCCTAGCCTCCAAACCGGGGAGTCCAAAGAGAAGAAGAGAGAGCGAGAGAAGGAGAGAGGAAGAGAGGAAGGCAGAGCTGGAGCAGCAACAGCACAAGCTCCAGAAGAGAGTGACACAAAGGAGAGATTCAGGAAGAGGAGTCCTAGGAAATACGTCTCTACCACACATACACAGACACATACAGAGGCAGGAAGAATCCTTGGACATGCTCTGCAAGCAGTGGCTGTGGAGAGACTGGTGAGCTATTCTTAGTACTCTAACTAGAGGAGGGGAGGAGGAAGAGGAGGTTGGGGGGGATGGTTTGTGCCTTTTCTTCTTGGTTTGTAGCACAGTAGTATTTTATGCTCTGCTACTACACTCGTCTCGCTGTCATTGTGAAGCCCTCAGAGGCTACAGTCACAGCGTTTGTCCAGAGTCACAGCTGTAGCTTCCAACAGCAACGACCCTGTTTGTTTGTGGAAATGCCTGCTGAGTGTGACGCTCGCATGCACGTCTCCGAGTACGTTATGTGTGCAGTGTGTGTTTAGCACTGATGCAGAACTCTGGAGTCATTGTGAAGACAAACAGCCAAAACCTACTGCCTGTTCTTACTGTCTGCTGTAGTCTGCCACACAGTTGGTCCGCCTCTTAAAGGTACAGGCACCACTTTTGTACAGAGACGGGGCAGTAAAATGTCTCTTTTGGATATTAGATAAAGCAGTAGGCTGTATTGATCTGCTCTGTGGTTAAAGCTGCTATGGATGAAAGAGACTTAGGGGAGGTCCTACTTCAATGCAGCGGCACACACATATACGCACGTACATATTGTCCTCCATAGTACCTCCCCCCTCTGTTTCATGCCAGTGCTCAGATTGATAATGATGTTTTTGTACTCTATATATAGCCATTTGCTATACAGGATATTCACTGTGTATCTATTAGTGGTGTGGAAGGTGAAACATGATGCACAGCAGCATTGACAACAGGTTTGTCCCCCCCAGGGTCCTTGCACTAGCTTTCTGAATTCACCTTTTAACAACAAATGGAGAAGCAAAACATCAGGACACTCACACAAAATAATTTTGTCGCCTTTTTATCATCTTGCTGCATCATACTGCTGCAGCGAGGTGTTACTGGAACGGTGGATCAGCGTGAGGACTAAATAGTGGTTGTGGAGACATGAAAGAAAACTCAGGCGTTAAGGAGAGGAGGTGGGGGGGACTGGAGGAGCTGGTGACTGCTGGGTAACAGGGAGGAGATGTAACTCCGCTGGGGGGTCTCTCTCACCTGGAGACAACAGAGAGAAAGTTGGTTGGAAAAAAACAGAAAAGCATCTCATCTGGGCTCCAGTGGCTGCTGACATACATTGCTACACAAACCTATTTCTGTGTTTTGTGCAGTGTTTTTTACGTGGGAAGACCAAAGAGGATGGCATGCAGGGCTGGCTCTATCATTCTGTCTGAGCTGAAAAGCATCAGAGCGATGAGCGGTGTGTTGTCATCCCTCAATGCATATCTCAGAGGTGACAGTCCAGGGCCAGGGGACTGACTGTGTTGTCTGGCTTAGTGTGTCATGTCTTTAAGGCTTTACCTTTGTTCTCCGTAGAATCACACGGACCGTATGTTTGTCACTGTCACTGTTCTAATAATAGGTTTCAAAATCAAGAGAGGCTTTTGGCTGCTGAGTAGTACGTGTGTGTGTGTGACCATGTGTAGATAGTGCGATACACAGGTCATATGAGGAGAGGAAAGACACCTTCAAGAGCATTCTGGTGCACCCTGACTGCAATGGTGTGTTTTTGTGGCGATTGAAAACCAGACCATCCTCGCTCTGTCCGTCTGTGTGTTGCTAGGATCATACTCGTGCTTCCGATGTGATGTCATTCCAGTGTTGACACGGTGTAGCTGAGGTGGGGTTGCTGCCACTTAGCGATGCTGCACAATGTAGCTCTCGCCGTAGCGGAGGCTGTGTTGCTGATCGGGGACCTCTCAGCGAGGTGGGGGCTATGGTGCTCTGATGCTGCAGGCGCTGCTCAATGTGGGTCAGGAGAGGCAGTACTCTATCTTCTACTCCCCATTCCCCATTCTCTCTCTTCCTTTTCCTCACTCCTAATCCCCCCCTCCCTCCTCCATTTTACTCCCTTTCCTCCTCCTTCTACACAGTTCTATCTGTCATCTTACATTGCCACTCTCCTTCTCCTCCCCCTCACACTCCTCTTTTTCTGTTTCGGTTTTTCTCCTGCTCTGCTGCTCTTCTCTTTTGTTACATCTGGTCCATCCGTCAGGCTTTATTGTTAGACGAATTGCATATTGCACAAGGCTTTCCGATACAGTGACCTTGTCAGGGCCAGCATTAGAGGTGGATGTATCTAAATAGAACTGACCAAGGTTGCCTCCTGTGTTTTTTCCCTCTGTCTTTATGTAACACGTCTGCGGCTGCCTGCTGTAGCTAACCTCCTCTATGATTTGAAAACACAATTCGGTATTGTGTCAATTAGCCCAGCTCCTCTGAATGGAATTTAGGGGGAGAAAACTGAATGGATGGATGTGTGACAGTGTGTGTCATACACTTCATCTCTGTGGTGCCTCTGGCTAATGAACAACTCAGAGTTCTGTGCACTGACCCACAGATAAGCCTGCAGGAAAGACCAGCCAATTTAAAAAGAAAGTGTGAAAAAGCCAAGCAAAGAAATCTGCACACTGATGTCACATGATAGGACGCAACTCGTATTGTTCGTGCTTGATTGTACGTGCACGTTTAAGCCGTCTGAATGTGCAGACATGTAAATTAACAGTATATAAACCTGTATTTTGGAGCCTCCAGTCAAACATTGATCATATCTTGCTGCTGCTGTGGTCTGTTGACAAAGTAAGGTGTCTCTTACATCACAAGTTTCGCTAACCAAGCTCGGAATAATTATCTTGATTCAGCACTCATTCAACTCTGCCTTCAGTTGGCCTTTCACTAAACCGAACTCTAAGAGGACCTACTCATTCATTGTTTGTTGTCCACTTAGCATTCCCTTGAACTTTGAAACACCACTCAAACCTGGGCTCAGCGGAAGGCCATTGTTAAAATATTTTGAAGCCCTTCAGTGATCGCAACAAAGGCCTATTTACGCTTCTTGCAGAATGTTCCGTAATCAAATTTCCAGCCATATTGTTTTTTGCTTCATTTTACTGAAGTGCCCACTGACCTAGAGTTCCTGTCTGGAGGTGGATGTTATATTTACTGTAGTCCCACTGACTCAACGCAAGGCCAGAGTGTGTTAAAACAAAGGCAAAAGCACAAGCTCCTCTGAGGCTGTTACTATGTGCTGTTATCCTTCGCTCCGCTCTGCTTTCTTACCCTAGTGCCTGGAGCAAGATAACAGCCAACAGCAACGCGCAAACACTAACCCGACACACATATTCACACACGAACGCACACACACACATGCACACATAGAGACAGTTCAGGAAACTCCTGCCGGGTGTTGGAAACATGAAAGAGCCCTTTTTCTGAGTTGTGTAAATGGCGACACACTTCATTGCTCTGTACTTTCCTGTGTGTCATTGATCATTACACACGGAGAGGCAGGCTGAGCTTTGACAGATTAAGTCCATGCAGATTCTCTGGATCCTTGTCAGGAAAAGGTTGATCTTGGAGAAAGATACACAGGCTATGGCCTACATGTCAAGTGCATTAGATAAACACAAGTCAGATGCAGTGGTTGTACCTGGTACCACCTTGTGGCAAGAAGAAGAACAACAGCTTCAAACATGAAAGCAAATGTTTGGTGTTTGTTACTTTGCATTTGTAGTGCTGCTGCAACAGTATGTGTACCTTTTGAGAAAACACAGGCTGTGTTAATAGTGTGATAAAGTTATAAACAAAGTCATATCTATATGCAGTATGAAGGGTATTTAAGTTGTGTATTACATGATTAAGACTCTTCATATTACCGTAGTATCTGATGTAAGTCCTTCTCTTCTGCCATCAGATTCCCGTGGATGTTGTGGAGGGGGTGGATCAGTCAGAGATGATTCCTCATGAAATCTTCGGAGCTCATTCTGTGAGCCAGAGTGACTCCATCTTTTCTGATTCAAGATCCGGAGCTGTCCACCAGTGAGCGCGAAGAGAGCCAGAGCCACACAGCAACTAGAGAAACCCGCCTCTGGACGTAACCATCTAATGTAAGAACGAGAGTGTGAGAAAGACGTCGCCAGAGGAGTTCAGAAGCACTGTCTGGGAATATCGAAATCACACTGATGCCATGAAGTCCAACCAGGAGCGGAGTAATGGATGCCTACCTCCTAAGAAGCGCGAGATCTTGGCTCTGGAGCAGAGGCCGGTGGCAGTGGCTGCAGCGACCCCTCCAGTTGCAGTAGTAGCTGAGAGTCCTCATACGGAGAACTTAGCATGGCTGGCCAGTGTAGCCAGTGAACGCTGCAAATCGAGGGATGCAGAGAGCCCCAGATGTCCCATACTCCCCTCTTCATCCTCGTCTCCTTCCTCCTCTGTCCCTTCTTCAGTTGCTCCACTCTCTGCTGTGCCACTGGCCTCTGTCCCTGCAGTTTACCCAACAGCCCTACCCCAACAGGCTGGGACAATCCAGTTTGCTCAGCTGGGACCCAATGTCCAGTTCATCAGCTCTGGGCCTTACGCAGGCTACCTCTCATCTCACATCATCTCCACAAATGCCAACTCTGTATCCAACAGCTCCGCCGTAGGACAGCGTCCCCAGCTGGATGGTTACACCACCGCCCTCATCTCCCCCAACACCAAGGGGGAGCAGCAGTTTCAAATAGCCGTCTCCCCAACTGAACTGACTCCTGTGTCACTCCCGAGCTCCCCCCATGTCACCAGCCAGTACATTCATCTGGACAGCAGGGCTCCTCTGACTGTCAGTGGAAACGCAGTCTCCTCACCCACAACCCACCTCCAGATTCACCCTCACGCAGCCGTCCTCCCTCAGACACTCACCCTGGCACCTTCTCAGCTGGTGGTCCAGTATGCAGATGGTACAGTGGGAAAAAAAGCAGATGGACATACCAAGAGTGTGCTGAATGGAGAAATGGAGATGGTCAAACAGACTAAAACTCACAGTCAGTCGGCAAACCATCAGCAGGTCCAGAGCTATGAGGCCAGACACATCCTACTGCCTGCGGACTATGCCCAAAACCCTGCAGGACTCCAGACCTCCTTGGTGCTGGTTGCTCAGCCAAACCATGGAGCTGAACGGGATGCTGGCTCAAATAAGATCTCTTTGGTCCAGACTGAGAAAGGAGGCATCTGTTTGGGAAAACCAGTGTCCAGATCCTCTTCATTTACCTCTCTCTCTTCATCCGAGGTGGTTAAGTCTGTGGCTCCTCATGCAGTCATACAAACAACTCTACCTTCTGAGGAGTTGCCAGCCAGTCTCTATTCCTCCACGCAGCCACCCATCATAGGTTATATCACTAATACAAATCAGCATGCTGTCAGCTACCACGCCACTCTGCCCCAGCACCTGGTCATCCCTAGTGGCCAATCCCTGCTCATCCCAGTGAGCGGCACAAATAACGGCACAGAAGTTGAGGTCAGCCGCTCTGTAAGCGCTCTCACTGCCACCACTACCCCTCAAATATCCACTGCCATGCCTCATGCCTATCTAGCCACAGCCTTGTCCAAGTGTGAGGCGCTCGGGCCAGATGGAAACCAACACCCCCCTGCTGTTGCTCATACACCGGTGCTGCCGGTTCCACCCTCAAACCCAGCTCCTGCTGCGGTGGCAGCTCCCTCCCCGACACCCGCTCCTGTCCCCGCTCCCACTCCAGTCTCCATCCAAGCCTCCCCTTCCATCTCCTCCCCCTCCTCTCCCGTGGCGCTTCCTCCATTCTTTATGCGAGGCTCCATCATCCAGCTGGCTGATGGGGAGTTGAAGCGAGTGGAGGATCTCAAGACAGAGGATTTCATTCAGAGTGCTGAAATTAGCAGTGAGCTGAAGATCGACTCCAGCACTGTTGAGCGCATTGACAGTGGCCAGAGCCCGAACGCTGTTGTCATACAGTTTTCTGTGGGAGAGCTCAAAGCCCAGGCAAGTAACTCCTCATTCATTATTCTGGTAAAATGAATCATGGTTCCCTCTCTTTTTGTCCACCCAGGTGAAATCAAATTAAGGCTGCACGATATTGGAAAAAACTAACATTGCGATTTTTTTCAACCCTGCGATATATATTGCGGTATTAAAAAATACAGGAATTTTCACCAGATGACCTGAATAGCATTTAATGTTATGCTGCACCGCTGAAGTCTTGAGGACAGTTAACCTGCACTGATCTTACCTCTTTTTGTGAATGTTAGTAGACGGGTTCTGTCTGTCTCAGAGATATGTTTAGCTTTTATTGTTCTGGGACGTTATTGTGGAAACAGATAAACACAGAACACGTGTTTTAGTCGACAACATCCATCTTGTAACCGTAATAATTCCGGATAACTGACTTTCCTTCGGTTTTCCACCGGTTTTCATCTTCTGTGGTTTTCTCTGTTTGTTGCTCAGTTTGCGATCGTTGTTGTTGTTACCGGGGTCCTCCGAGAATTGCATGCACCTCACAAAACGCGAACTGCTTGTAGTAGAGTGGTCCACCGAAATATACATTTTAAAACCCATACAGTTCTTATTTGTTGGGCTAAACAGTGATGAGTAATGTTCCGAAAGTAATTCTCAGTGGACACGCGTTTCTCGGCACAACTCCGGTAGCGGCAGCGACTCACTCCATGTGCAGAACATGTGCAGGGGTGGGTTTCCTCCTCTCTGACTTTGATTGACAGCTGGCAGGGTATTCTGATTGGCAACTGAAAACTGAGTCTGATTGGCAACTGAGTAAAGGACAAAGGTGATTGGTGGATCGCTGCACAGCACATGCAGAGTCACATGCAGTGTATCTCAGTCAGTTACCCTTGAAATTAACTGAGTTCATTCACCACATCGCAGGCTCTGTGATGTGACTATTGCGCACACGTACATCGCGATGACGATGCTCAAACGATATATCGTGCAGGCCTAAATCAAATTGTATCTCAAGGTCATTATAGGGCACTGGTTTACCTGAGGTAGTAGAGCAGGTGTACAGGGACTATGGTCTTTGTTGCACTGGTTGAAGAAATGACCCCTGATCCTAGCGTGATTTGGTGTCAGTCCTCAAACGTCACATCTCCTGTCACTTTGTCAGGCTGCTTCAACCAATAAAGTCTAAAATTGTTGTAGAAGGATTTTTTGATTAAAAGGCAAACACATACAGAATTGCCAGGATTTCTTTTTTATTTAACAGAGCTGGAAAAATACAACATGAGGAAGCGCCCTTTAGGTGTGCATTCTAAAGAGAGGACCGTCATGCCTCTATTATGTTTACCATTAATGTGAATGTCACAGACGCGTTATGAGTCGTTTCACTGCTGAGCCATCATTAGAGGTAGTGACAGGCTGAACGGTGTTGCTGTAAATATAGGAGCCGCTAGGACAAGGAGTACTGTGTTTATGTGCTTGTTCACATGTTGTATCTTTAGTTTTTATATAAGGACACCAGTGTTACATCATCGTAGGGTTCAGTGTGTAAGTTATAAGGTGGAGTGATGGTAAAGCTCTAGTCCTGCGCTCAATGTCAAAAAGGTCGCAGAAAACCCGGACAGTCAGTAAACATGACCAAAATCAGGACCCCTGAAATGAAGCGACTAAATGGGACACAAACTATCAAATTCTCATTCTGTGTTGTGATTCACATTTATCGATAAGGGGCAGATTTAAAGGTGGGGTAGGCAGGATCTGAGGAGGTGCCAGTTTTTGGGAGAAATCTTGAATTTAAACACGACCCCTCCCAACCAGTTTTCCCCTCAGCTCCTCCTCTCCCCTCCCTCTCTGCTCCAGCAACAGACGCTCCTGCTGGCTCGTATCATTCCAATTAAATTCAGATTTAATGCAGATAAATACTTCCGGTGAAAGTAAACAGCATTAGTGCTACTGTAGATGCCAACAGACTACCAGCAAACACAAAGTTAGCAGGACTTCTACAACTAGGATAAAGTGACATACTCCAGGACTTGAGGTCAACAGTTTAGCGGCGCTACAACAAGCACCAGTCCCGTTTTACAAGAAACACTTCTTGAGAAACACTTGGCTTACTTTGTTAAAGCGGTTTGCCTGTCCAGCAGAAAGGTTACAGGGTCCATAAGACCCCGAAGCATTCCCCATCATCTGAAGCATCTCCCATCATTTATGCTGATGTTGACCCGGCTTAGCTCTTGTCCGGGTGGTCTACCTCCTTTGTAAGCGCCTGTTACTCAACCAGAGTCTCCGGTATTTACTTCGTTTTCTTGCTTGTGTCGGCAGTCGTCGCCAAAGGAGGATTTAGACAATTTTCCGTACTTTCTGGTTGGTTTCTACTGTCCGATACTGTAGCGCAATAACTTTGTTTGGGCTCCTGAATGACTCGGGGGAGCAGCGTCACCCTCACAACCAATCAGGTTGGGGGAGGTGGAGAATGGCTTTGTTTACAGTCAGAAAGAGCGGGCCGCTCAAAATATTTAAAATGTTGACTATTGTTATATTACCAAAATGTCATCACTAGCTAATAGCTATTGACTGATATTAAAAGCTTTTTTGTAAATAAACCACAAAATAAGATGCTTCTTTTACAGAATCCTGCCTACCCCACTTTTAAGTGCCTTGGCAGCATTGTAGTAAACAATCAAGATGGCTGCTGCTCAATCCACTATCCTGTTCGTAATAAACAAACTGAACATGTTGTAAGTTAAATCATGCCGTGTATTATAATGATCTACAAGACCCGGTGCAAGAAAATACCTCATCTTTGACTTTGTTGAAGTGTGTTTATAAGCTGCTGTGCCATGATATGAAGTTGAAATGCCAGAGAATCTGGTTACTTTGAAAAACCGATGAATTCCCAAGGCGCCCAATGTAATACAGATTATTCAGACTGTCTCGTATTAATCCTGGTACAATTGTGTTTTCTCTGCAGAACCTTCTCTAATACTTAAGCTAACTTTGTCCGTTGTGTGTGTGTGTGTGTGTGTGTGTCTGTGTATGGGTGCTCTTCTGCAGGTATGTGTGGAGGTGCTGGTGGAGTATCCTTTCTTTGTCTTCGGTCAGGGCTGGTCATCCTGCTGCCCAGACAGAACCACCCAGCTGTTCGAGCTGTCCTGTGCTAAGCTGTGTGTGGGCGATGTGTGCGTGTCCCTGACTCTGCGTGGTTTAAGGAATGGTTCGGTGACTGACAGCCAGTCTTTGGGGACCAAGATGAAGACTGGCCACCTCTCTGACTCCTGTCAAAACATGGATGTCACTGTAGGAAACAGTGTCAGTCCGAGCGCTGCGGGCCATAACAGCGGCCTCCTCATGAAGGCCTCCAGCGCAGACAGGCTGGAGAGAGAGCAGGTTACTGGACCAGGACCAGGAGTAGAGCTACCACCCGGATTGAGATTAGTTCAAGGACAAGGAGAGGGGATCTATGGGAGTGGGCCGCTGCTGGCTGTCTCTGGGACTGGAGAAGTAAGGCAAGAATCCATGAACACAGACATGGCTGCTCTTAAAACACAATGTGGTAATCCAGAGAGACCCACAAGCAGAAAGAGACGCTGGTCGGCCCCGGAGCGAGACCAGACTGAGAGAGCTGAGGAGGAGCCTCCTCTGACTCTGCCTAAACCCTCCTTCATCCCTCAGGAGGTGAAAATCAGCATAGAGGGACACTCCAGTACTGGGAGCGACAGATGCTTGAGAAGAGTAGACTGCTGAGAGAACTTATGAGGACTATTTTGATCACCTGTGGTTTGCTTTGTGTTTATCTTCTCTCTTTTCTCTCTATTCAGACAAATGTAATATAGGAGTGTACCCAGTATCTACATGCTTTCTTTCTTTATCTCCTTTCTTTTTGAAAAAAAGTCTGATGTCTACAATGAAGTACAATAGAGCACCTTCATATGTGGTATCACACACGAGGTCAGTGCAATCAAAGCGAAAGCAAAAACGAATGCAGCGTGAATGTTGAGTATGAATGGCAGTCAGACACCTGAGAGACATTTGACACCTGTGTGTCACATATCATAAGCTGGCTTTTCTTCAACACGTGGCTTAAACCTGTTGGATTCAGAGCAGTCATTGACAAGCACATGCCCCGATGTCATAGTGTAGTGAGTGGGTAGCCATATATTGACCCTCATCTTGTTTGTTTGTTGTGTAGTGATGTTTAGGAGAATCGAGGTCAAAGACAGAGCTGTGGAGTTAGAAGGAATCGCTCAGCCATCATGGATGTGATCTTTGCTGCCTTGTGTACCGATTACTTTGGGTGTCTATGTCATATGTTTTTTTTTTATTTCATGCCATTACAAATGAGTGTGCTCCAGCAGATGACTGTGAGACACTCAACATCATGTGTGTTTGTCTCTGTGTGTGTTTTTTTTCTGTCAAAGTGGAGGACAAAAGTGTGTTTGAGTGTTTGTAGTTGTGACCTCATTGGTTAAGACAGCCTTCAAATATCAAGACTGAAAAGGCCTGAATGTAAATCCATGAATAGTCTCTCTTTACTGATTCATGAAGTTGTACATGTACTGTTAGGTTTTAATTTGGTTTTCAAGGACACTTGAGAAAAAAAAATGGTGACTACACAAGAGAAACAGCAACATCGTCATCAAATTTTCATATTCGAGGAGGCTTGATGAAACAAAACCCAGTTAGTTCAACTTTTGTCCTTGTTATTTGTTTCAGCTGAACCCTGTGGGGCCACATCTTGTATTTATTGAGCTCTCTATCATGATAAAATGTTATTGAAATTAACCCACAAGTCCTGATTGTTTTCTTCAGTAGGGATGCTCTGAAGCAACTCGAAACTAAATAATTCACACAGAAAATCAGATGCAAGGGAAAAAAACTCAGATAGACATGATATCACACAGTATGCAGGTAAACAGCGTCAAACTGGTGTGTCAAACAAGGTGAAGATAAGCAGAGCATAGAACCACCAGCTTTTGTTTTTCCATACAGGTTAACGTCCAAATCTGTGCTGGATAGTAGAGTAATATTGGGTCAGTTGAACCAGACACAACATGAATCGAACTTTTACTACATCGAAATAATGAAAAACCTCTCCATATAACAGAATGCCATTTCTGCCATTTCTGTTGACATATATATATATATATATATATATATATATATATATATATAGTGGCCTGCAGCTACTACCTATATATATATATATATATATATATATATATATATATAGTGGCCTGCAGCTACTACCTATATATATATATATATATATATTTATATATAGGTAGTAACTGCAGGCCATTAAGCCTCCTCGGCTAGTGCCATGCAGTTGCGCTACAGCTAAGACACAACAAATGGCATTGCATTTTGGGTCTACACAGAAAACAATAGTTTGTCTACTCAGTTATTCAGTGGTTTCGTATTGTAGTGCATCATATCATAACTTTGGTGTCTGCCAGTGAGGGTTACTATGTTTAATAATTAAATTAACTTTACATGTACATCCCTATTCAGTGCTGATCATATACTGTGATTTATGAGTGGGTTTACAAAGGCCTTTTCACCCAAAACATCTGCTAACTCCTTTCTAAAATTTAACTCAAAATTAAACTGAAAGATAGGATATTTGTAAATATTTATCTCCTCTCAATGCCACGTGAAGCTCTGATATATTGACTATATGAAAATATGATTTAGAGCAACTTAAAATGCAAACACTAGTATTATAAAAAAGATGTGACAGCATTTACAGATTTGTGTAAAATCACATCTTCCCATTATAGTGACCTAATCTATTTCCTTTCTTACAGAGACTATGGCCTTAAACATATGTTAGTAAAACTGGTTCACAACAGCACGTTGGTGGGTTTCACTCTCAAACCCTGTGTCCTCAAATATGGCTGTGTAATAAAGACGCACACAGCTTTCTTATAGTAATTTACATGTCTTTTTTTCAGAGTAATAGTTATCCCTTAGTTCATACTCAGGAACAGTGTGAATAGGTATGTGTGAATGTGTGTGTGTGTAAATGTGTGTTTTTTATGTCTGTGAGCTTGAGTCATTGTGTCCTTATCCACAGTCACATGTGAATGCGTGTGTTCTGAGCAGCAGCACTTTCATGAAGCATCCAGCAGGAGTGTGTCGGTGTCCCTGCTCTTCAGCTTTTAGATTTAAATAGAAAAATTAACTGACTGTTTTTCACTGCTTCATGTCCTGCAGATTTATAAATGAGAGAAGAACATAATGTACCAGGGCAGGGAATGTAAACAAACACGGAGCAAACTATCTGAAATTTATTTTTGAAGACAGAGCTACTATAGAGAGACGGAAAAGAGACCGGTAGTGTTGACCTTGTACAGTAAAGTGTATCCTAGAGAGTGTACAGTGTGTGTATAGATATTTTAACCCTAATGTAGCCTATGTACTGTATGTGCCACAGCGCCTCCTTCTTCAGTCATTCCATTAACCCATCAACATGAAGTGGTCCTGCCTTGTCTGTTTAGGTAATGATCTAATGTTCATGAATGTGCTACAGTTCTTCGGGAACATCTACATTATTCGGCCTCCTGAAATTTTCTATCATTGACTTGCACACTGTAACATACAGTATGTGTGAATATGAACTACAGACTCTCATGATAGCCATTAACCTTTTATAACTATGAAAGGTGTTAATTGTAAACCCCGTTACCAGACTGTTCTCCTCTGTTTGTGTTCGACTGCTCAGGCTTTTAAAATCACTGCCCAGTGACTGTTCTCCGACAAAATGGTGTGGTCTTATACTCTTCACTGTTACAAGTACAGTACTGTTTCATCACTCTGTCTTTGGTGACATCTTCTCTCTATGAGCCTGGCCTGTTTTTGTATCGCACATCATGGCTCAGATCTATTAAAATGTAAATTTGCTCAATTGAAATGATCTGACATTTTGGAAAATAAACTTATTTCCTTTTTTTTTCTTTTTTGTTAATAACGGAGAAGGTTGATACCAGTCTTGAACAGCAGTGGTAAACATGGGGATACAGTAAAAAGTCAGTAGCTTGGTAGAATTCAACAAAAAAACAGCCGGAACATATCCTGTTTTTTTTGCAAGTGTAAGAGTGGAAATTCAGAGAAATTATTCTGAATTTTAAAGACAGAATTTGTGATATTTCTTTAAATCAAAAGTTTAACTCTTCAAGTACAGAGTACTTCCAGCTGTCTTCAGTTGTATTCTTGTCTATTTCTCCAATATTTATATTTAATAAACTACAATTCCCGTTTTTCCCCCACAATTTCACATGCAGACTTTCTTGCTATCCTGACTTTTTTCTCAGCAAGGCCGACTGTTTGTTGAAGAAAGCTTCATGTTTACTCTATAGAGAAAGGAGTGGTATTAATCTTCTCATTTATCTGTCAGATGAATATGTAATAAGTCAAATTTGCCTAAAGTTTAAATATATCCTGTACATCTACAAAGTTATTGTGGCTGTTTTGATCTCAGCTCACATTGAATCTTGGGATAGAAATACTGTGAGCTGCACTAAGTTACCATCACAATGTCCTTGCAGAAATAAAGGTGGATGATGTCCTGCACCAACAGGCGCAACAAAAAGTTGTTGATCAATTGCAGTGTGTACAACGCACATTAGTCCAGAGACACAGATTTATCAGGCAAAATAAAGGTTTTACATGTGAAGGCTTTATATTCAAATGTTTCTTAATATTAATATGCTCAGATTTGCCTACAAATAGGCTTGACTGGGCACTGAAAACAAAACTTTTCAAAGCCTTTCTACATTATGTTTAATACAGTGTACAAGCCCCACCTTGTGGTGATCTATGGAATTGCACTTTGTTGTATTGCGTTTGGGGTGGGGAGTGTTTTAGTCGAACTAATACACAGAAGTAATGTACAGCATGTCTGAGATGAACAGTGCGACATCTCAGTGTTTGTGTAAATAGCCAAAGTCTTCCATCAAAATGTTGACATGACCTTGTTGCCATGGAGACGATAAACACTGATCCCTATGTACAGACCTTTAAAGTAAGGTTCATTTCTGAGATGCCCGATCATTTATTTGACAAAAACACAGGTTATTGATTCCCACTGAGACATTTTCTTTTGCACCATTTCAGAAAAAGGAAATTATGGGAGTAAAAGACTTCAAAGAAAAAAAAAAAGATTTTGTAATTTGAGGCTGTATGTTGGATAATCTCAGCTAAGATTCACATTGTCCTACGTATAGTCTGTAGTGAGTATCAATAATGTCCCCTTATTTTGATGGTGTTGAGGTTCGCTAGTCAGAAACAGTTAAATCTTGACTTCAAATGTTTGGTTTTACATTTGATCAAATATATCAAAAAAATAAAGAGTCCAAAGAAAAGAATCCACTATTTATGTGTTTATTCTTTGCATGTAAGAATGTGACTTTGATAAATGTCTCTATTTGAGGTCCGCCTGATAACATCCTCACCTCTGCTCTGCTACGTGGGAGACTACTTTATAATCTGAAAATGATAACAAACACAAACCATTGGGAGGAAGTCATTTTTGAGTATTTTGCTTTGAAATAAGCAGCGTTCCTGTGGCTTTCATATTTTTAATTACTTAGTTTTTGTCTTGCTAATTTGGATGGTGCTTGAATAACTGCAGAATTACAGACAGCATTTGGAGTCACACGGTTATTAAAAAAAAAGGACTGATCTTATATCTGCTACAGCCTAATCTACACATTAATGCACTCATGCATATTTTATACCCCCAAAAGGCTTCATGTTGTTTTGTGCTTAAGCAGTTTGACCTTCGCCGACGACTCTTTTTGTGCCTTCAAATAAATAACTGATGTATTATTTATGTAGTGGGAGCTTGGGATTTTATACTTCTAGAGACTTACATTTTTACAGTTTTTTTTATAGGCTTTTATTTGCCATATTAGTTCTGATATGATTTTTTCCTTTGTGCCCTTTTCCCTTCTTTATCTTCATTTCAAAGCTCTGCAGAAACATACAAATGCAGACTCTGATAAGAGAGTTGTTGTAGTTGATGTTAAGGAGAATTATTTTGCTTTATTCTCAGGTTGATTTGCTCTATTGTAATTCCCTGGTCCAATATGTCTTTATGAATCAGCAGCAGGTGTAACTCTCAATATCCAAGATTTTTTTTAAACATGTTTAGGGACAACAGGTGGCAGACTCTAATGGTAAGAGGACTTCAGATAGATGTCAGGTCTTTTTTTTTTTCAATTAAAGTGATTGTCATTGATCCTGAAACATGGCAACTCACTGCTTAAATTTTCACCACAAGAGGTCCCTGTCCTACCTTAAGACACGTCTTCATGGTTTTACTTGAAGCCCTCAGGAAAACCAAATTTCAAGCTTCTTATCTCCCACTAGAGGGAGCAAAAGAGCTTTCTTCTGAGGGGTGATCATGAGCTCTGAAGATGTCATCAGACTTCTGTAAATGACAAGAAAGATTAGAAATGGGAAAAGATAAAATCACAGTTACTGTATATTTTAAGACCGTATCTTTTTTAGCATTTAAATACATTAAATAGGTATTGCTAAATACAGAGTAACACCCAATTATCTGATCAGTTTCTTTGTAAAATTCTTGAAGATTTTAAAATTGAATGCACAATGAAGAAACGATTTCCTATAACAAATCAATAACCAGAATATTCTGATACAAACCTTTTTTAAGATTTCTGCGCTGATATTTTTAAGTTTAAATTTCTTTATAATCATGCAAACTTCTATCTAAAGCTGAGCTAAACAGAAAATGATAAGAATAAATAACCAAACAACACTTTATTGTGATGAAACCTCACACTTGGTACATTAATCAAAAAATGACTCAAAAGTAACACGACAAAGGTTTGTTTAATTCAGGCTCTTGATGCCTTTTGTTTAGATCGACAAACAACCATTTCAACATTCAACGCCATTCCCTTTGGTAGAACTGAACACGGTCTCAGACTGTGTTTGTGTTTGAAGTTTTATCAACTACTACTTAAAAAAAAAAAGTAAATGGATGACATAGACTGCATTTGAACTCATAGGGTGGGGTTTCAGCGGTGGAGATATGATCTGTGTGTGTACAGATAAAAGTCTAAAGTGGTCTGTCAGCACAAAAATAAGTTAGTTATTTGCTGTTTGTCATTTTCAAACTTTTGTTGGGTCTTTGCTGTAAATCAGTCCAAGCAATGACGTTTTATTGTTCAGCTGATATACCAATTATTCATTTATATACACAAACAATGAAACTTTAAGCTCTAATAAAATAATGCCAGTGTAAACAAGCTTCAGTATCACGTAACGCTCAAATATTGCACATACATTCATAAATATAAACATCAACTTTGTGCCGTTATGTTTATGCATCTGTTTGTGTGTGTGTGTATGATAAATCTGCATACAGGCCAGTCTGCAAAATCTAGGATAAACTCTTCCATTACTGAAAGCAAGGATGACACAAGAGACACCGAATACACACACACGCATACACACATATGTACACATACACACACACAAACTTTCACACGCTGAGACACTTGTGCATTAATCTCAAGTCTGTTTGTGCCTCACTGACACGGACACACACAAAAAATGTTGCAGAAACATTGAAAGCATTATCTTCACAACTAAGTCCATCCTGTTCTCCATCAGTTCTGCTCTTCATCACGACAGAAAAACAACGAACATGTGTGTGTGTGTGTGTGTGTGTGTGAGACTGAGTTTATAAAAAGTGATTTGGTCCCTCTCTGTCGGGTTTGAACTGTTTTCTTTGGTCCCGGTCTGTGTGTAGCTGCAGTCTTAGTCATTCTCTGCTGAAGACCTCCAACCAAGAATGTAAGGTCCGACTAACAGATCCCAGATCTGATTAGAGTTAATCAGAGGGTGCACATCCCTCTCATACCACTGCCCCCCAGTCAGTCAGGAGCTGTAATGTGTTGTCTCAAGGGTCCCCAGTTTGATCAGACGTCAGCTGCTCTTGGTCTGAGACGTCATCATCAGCAGGTGGCCGCGCCCGGTCAAAGAAACCACACTGAGGGAATCACATTAACCCATTAGTGCGTAATATGATTCAACTACCTTAATGAGCATTAGGATGGTGCATGATGTGTGTTTACCTTCCACATGGCTAATGTTAGCATGGCCAGGACCAGCAGTCCCAGCAGTATGGCCAGGATGATGACCCAAAGAGGAACGGCAAAAGACACATCAGGAGTCCCCCATAACACGAGCGTCCCCATCTGCAGGACACATGTAGAGACAGTTTGGTAAACGATAAATGTCTTTTCTTTCCCCCTTAAGCTCACAGAGTTATATCACTTTATCTCACCGAGGCTGTGTGTTGTGGCAGAGTGGAGGGTTGGACATGGTAGGGCATGGCTGTGACCATGAAGGACACAGTGGAGTTCAGGATGTAGGGGTCGTTACGCCGCTGTCAGAGAGAGCGAGAGCGAGAGAGAGAGAGAGAGAGAGAGAGAGAGAGAGAGAGAGAGAGAAACAAACAAACAACATAACATTAAAAGATCTATTTGACTGATAAAATAAATGCATTTTTGATGAGTCTTAGTAAAAAGATAAAAACGACGCCTATCTCTATAAAGCATTATAAATATATGTATAATGCGTTATAATCATATTATAGCACTGTATAACTATAGCTATAAACACTCACAAATGATAATAATGCTTTATAGCAATAATCATAACACATTATAAAGCATTTTATTATGACTTACAAGGTCAGGTATTATAATGTGTTATAACTGTTAACAACAGTTGCACTGCATTATCTATGTGGGCATTGTCAGTGATCTGTTTCCAGTTATAACACGTTATAATACCTGACCTTGTAAGTCATGATAAAATGCTTTATGATGTGTTATGATTTTTGCTATAAAGCATTATGATCATTTATGAGTGTTTATAACTGTAGTTATACAGTGCTATAACATGATTATAACACATTATATATATTTATAATTCCTTCTAGAGATAGGTGTCAATTAAAGTGTTACCAAAAAGACAAACATTTGTAAATAAGGAGGAAGTACATTCAACCATCTCACACAGCTGTGAGGCTGTTTTGTTGACATGTCACTATGTTACAGATTTGCAGTAGTCATCTTCGTTAGTCAACTCATAAAAAGTAACTTTGGATAATTAAAAATAATAGTTTAATACATTTTAATGTAGCTTTAAAGACTTTCTTGATAGCAGTTAGTCTGAATCTTCGAGTGTGCAGCAAACATGTGCAACTTTATGATATTTTCAGCTTCCATGGGCATATCTTTAAAGGAAAATAGCTGTGGTGTAGAAAGTAAAATCCATGACTGCTGGGTGGGTAAGCTTTGTACCGTGATGAAGATCCTGTGAACCACATTTTTAAGGACGTATGTACTTTAACCCTGTTAAGGTTGTTTTTAGAGCACTATGAATGATTTAATTTCACAACATGAGTAAATAAAGTGACAAGTGATCAAATACCATAACTATCCGGTAATAAGGTCTTAACACTCACCTGCAGGAAAGTTTGTGCCCAGAGTCTTGAGCGGATCTTGACCACTGCACTCTGCCCTCTATCTAACCGACCAACCACACAGAAGATCCTCAGACAGGAGATGTTGGTGCAGTTCTGCTCAGAAACAGAGTAAAGACCCAGCAGAAAGATATGAAACTCTCAAGTCATCATCACTAAGGTTAGTTTTTTTTTGATAGATAAGGAAAGATGTTTGTGACGCTCACCAGAGTTTTATTACTGTAAGTCTGAGCGGCAGTGACAGCTCTTTTGTGTCGTTTGGGAGGAGTGCTGGTGTTTCTCAAAAATCCTAATAACTCCGGTGTGTCCTGGAGAGAAGAAATCTGAGCCAGACAAGATGAGAGAAAATCATCAACATACTAAATTCGTAATCTTTTGTTTTCTCACAGGAAATAATTCATCTGGAATGAGAAGATGACCAAATGCAGACATTGATCCTTTATTTAACTAAAACTATTAGAGTTTTATATTGTGCATAGTCTATCACTTTTGATTTTGGAAAAGATCCTACACTAGTCACAACCTTTTTTTTAAACTGCATTGGTACAGCATGTGTAAAGGTCTTCTGAGGACAGTTAAAAGACAGAAAAAACTCATTATCACCTATTTGGCTGTTTTGTCTGGTGTCTGTACTGCACATGGGCTCTGATAGAGCCTGAAGAACTGAAGATTGGAACGACAGAGAGTGCTCATAAGGAAAGATTTTAGCACATGTAATAAAATAAAACAAAATCACCACCTGAGGAATCAAGAGTGACATTTACGTCAGATCCATCTTTTATAACTGTGTTTTTTCTATGATAAGGATGTAATTTTAGGATAAAAAGTATGAAATCAAACAGCAACAGAAGACAGACAGACAGACGACCTTGGACGAAGTCAGCTGACACATGACAGACAGAAAACAGCTGTTTATTTTGTTTGTTTATCATCCGGGAGTCTGGCTCTGGACCGTGAAAGCAGCAAGCAAGTTTTGGAAGAACACCAAAAACAAAGTTTCCATTTTTTTTCAAGCAACTTAATGTTTAGCAGCAACAGGGATACAGATGACTTGGACAGCCCTTTGACCCACAGTCTAATGTGTATAAATGAATTACCATCAAATAAAGGTTAATCTAAAGATGCTCTTGAAGTTCATACTTTCTGCAGTGTTGATGGAAATAGTCAAAAAGAACAAAAAGAAACACATAGGTGCTCTTTGTTGTTTAATATTTGGGTCAGCTGTATGTATACAACGATATTGGATGTGACATGGATGTGTGAGTGCACATAATGGTTTACTTAACGTTGACTTATTTTAAACAATGCATTATTTGCTATTATACACGGTAATTGAACTGTTATCAGATACGTTATGCTTTAAAAAGGTTGTAATTCCTGGCAAGTGCAGTGTGTTTTATTGCCGTTTAAATTGTAAAGAGCAAAGAAGGATGAAGCCGGTCTATTTTTTGGCTAATCAGTCACAGCGGCCCAGAATCAGAACAATTCTACATATGACACAAGTTATGTAGAGCAACAAGCTCTACTATTACCTGGACATCTGTTTTTTTTTTTTTGTGACATGAGTGCTGAAAAGATTACATGACTTTCGCTACATGCATGTACATCTATGAAATCATGTGCCAATCAGTCAGGTCTGCACAGATAGATGGATAGAAACAGAGACAGCGGTAGAGATTAAGAAAATGTAAATAAAAGAAACCAGAAAGAGAGACAGATAAAGATTCCGACCTTTAACTAGAGGATGTGCATCTATTTCATTTTCTTCATAAATGATTACAGCTTCGGTGTTCTGCTTTCTGACAAAACTTTAAATGAATAGCTGCAAGTTTTCTTTTAAAATGACTCTAAAGATTGTATGTTGGATATGGAAAAATATACTGGCTCTTGTTTGGGCTAATAAGCATAATTCAGCATACCCTTAATTTTGGGCCGACTGGGAGGGAAAGTGGAAAGCAGCCAGAACAACGGGTATAATTACATTTCAAATAAGCAGGTAAAAACGATGGAAATGGATGGAAAATAAGCTGCAAGGAAAACGATAATATCAAAGTCTGATGTAGGTCCGGGGTTGTTTCCTTTTATGAAAGTAAAATTAGTAGTTAGAGAAACTTTGAGGCATATTCATTCTTGATATAAGCAATGCTTAAATAAGCATAATTATATGTTTGTGTCTTGAAATTTGATTTTGAATATTTGTTTGTGTGTTACCTGCAGGCCCAGTGGGTTGAGGCTGGTATTTGTCCGACAGCTAATTGGTCCGTCAGTTTGAATCTCCATGGCATACAGCAGGTTCTCGTCACGGAAACGTGCAGGCCAGCCTACCTGGAGCTCTGTGTCCTTAACACTGCTGGGACCAGAGTTATGGAGCTGAAGTCACAGAGAAGAAACAGAACAAAAACAGGAGGTTGTCACTGTTGTGCTTTCTTTTTGTCGTATTAGTAGGTCTCAAGTGACCGAGGCTATAATCAGGTTATCATAACTGAGGGATGATGACACAGAACACCTGTGTTTCAAGTTTGGCTAATGCAGCCTTCGGTCACTGGAGACTGAAATACAAGACACGCTCAATCTCAGCATCACCTGGCTCTTCATTTTACATCAAAATTAAATGAATTATGAGTTTAAATGAACCATCACTTAAATAAACCCTCCATTCTTTGTCTTTCTGTCTATCTTTTACCCCCGAATACACACACACATACACACACACGGTCATTAACACCAGAGCAAGTCATCCAAACAGGACATGATCCTTGTGCTGCGGGGCAGGAATTCTGCAAGAGGGAAAAAAACTCTGTCCTCTCTAACTGGAAGCAGCTGCCAACTGGGAAAAGTACCGCAAATGAAAATCATTATCAGCTGTAGGACAGACCAGACACTGCTGCACTTCGCCTCAATGAAACAGCCGTCCCTTTAAAACAAAAAGAAATCACATGTAGAGCGCGCACACACACACACATACACACATGTATACATATACGCTTTTGTAAACTGTCGCCACTCTGTCTGCTGTTGTCTCCTTCTGTCTGTCTGTACCTCTGTTTGACCTTGTTTTTCTTTCTCTATGATTATTACCCATTACACTTTCCTTAGTTTTAAGAACAATCCTTCCACCCTCCCTCCCTTCCTTCACCCTCCTTGCCTTGACCCCTACTCCTTTCTCTACCAGCCCCCCTCTTTCTTTTTCCCGCCTTCACAGTGGTAATTACTCCAGGGCTGCAGACCTTTGATCAGCCAGGACCTAATTCTTTATGGAGCTACTGTGTTTTACTGTGTGTGTGTGTGTGTGTGTGTGTGTGTTACTGTTTACTACACCTGACAGAGCCCCCCTCAAGCTGCAGCCTCATTTACAACTTCCCACACCTACATTTTCTGCTCTTTTCATCTTAACAGTCAGAGACATGTGACCAGCGACAGCCAAAACAATATCAGAGCCCTCTAGTTTTCCTCCGGTTCTCTCTGAGAACACCTCTGCCTTTCCCTTCAAATGAAAAAAAGATGTCGAAAACACAGAGTGTGCATTTACCTCGTAGATGTGTGTAACTTGCGGTCCCACATCGTCCTCTTTGACAGGCTTCTCCTTGGGTTCCCAGTTTGGGAATGGCAGCACCACCTGAGATGGATGGGACACCCTGAGGAGAGGGAAAGGGATTTGACACTGAGGTGTGTACAGGTTGATAAGTTTGAACGTTCTGTAACTAAAGCTGGGAGAGAGTTACTCTCTGATTGACCTGTGCAGACTGCATACACCTGTCCAGGCTGCATCCCTCCACAGGTGTGAAATTTATGCTTATAGAGGATCTGGAGTTCAGTTTGTGCAAGTTTTACAATCTGGACTTGCTTGTCAGCTGTACTCAATTAGAATTCAATTCAGCTTCTCTGCCATAAACCAGATTTTTAAGCTCAGACATGAAATCTTTTTCATGTTTTTTACGTGAAAAAGATTACATGTCTGAGATAAAGGAAAAAAGGAAACTATTTCTACGAAAGTGAAGACATAACGAACATCATTCAACTAGATTTTTAAGCTGTTTTTAATACTCGTTTTTGTTGACACTTTTAGACGGACATGAAAATTCAGTTAAAGTTAATCATTCAGCTTATAGTGAAAATGGTGCATGTGACAGCTGTATACTGAGAGCTCAATTTAAATTGAATCTCAAACATTTACATTTACCTAAAGCTGTAAAAGAAATTGTTTAGATTTTTTCTAGCTAAGAGCTGCTGCTCGAAATTGCCACACCTATTTTAGTGGATGGATTTTCAAACATGAGGCTGACACGGTTAAGTCAATCAATCAAGTTACAAGTAAAGGCATGACACTTTAAATATGGAGAGGGGCTTTTTTTAATATCTTAGTGAGCATTGGTTGTGATTTCAATTTAACACGTCCAAAAGTCCTAAATTTAAATCCTTTTTTAAGTTACAATTTTGTGCATTTTTTGCCCTTTTTTTTCCTTCTTAGATCAGACCAATCAAGAGACAAGAAATGTGGGGAGCAGAGAGTATAGAAGGAAATGCAGCCAAGGGTCGTGGAACCGGCAACCACTAGAACAAGGACTAGCTTCTATATGCTGGGTTCTTAGGCTGCCATCTGTACCTCACAATTACCGTAGTTTTTAATCAGCAGTTCAGTTTTTTTAAAATCTTGCGTGTTGGGTGTATTATTTTAAGTGTGGTTCAAAGGTGGATGGAATTTATTATTTTGATGATATTCCTCACTGGCACTGACTGTCTGCCAGTCAACACAGTGGAGGACTCTGGTTTATTTGGTGTGCTCAAGCCAGTAGATATGGCTTTACATCGTCATCATGGACTTAAAAATGGTTTTTAAATGCAAAATAATGCGACTAAAATGTTTTTACAATCATCATTGTAAATGCCTGAAATTACAGAAACCTTGAGCATTAACAGACTCATTGGTGGACACCCATCTTCCATTTTTAGTTTTGAGCAACAGCAAACAACATTCGCTAATTTTGAAATGCTTGATGGTCGACACAGCGGAGACAGCACAGTTTCCAAATGACGACATATAAACTCAAATGTCCTCGTCCTTCTCATCCCAGGTTGTCCTCTGTTTGTATGGACAAATGACCTCACCCAAACAACGCCACGCCAGGCTCCGAGCTTTGAAGTGTGTGCGTATTTGTTTGTGTATCAGCGGGTACATAGGGGCATCCCCGAACATGTCAAATGATCACAAGTGCTCCATATGCTCACGATTAGCTCAAATGTACCTCTAGAAGTGTGCTTTCATGCTGCTTTCCATCTGTATATAAACAGGCTTCACGAGTTCAAACATCACGAAAGGCAGTAGTATCCCTACGAAGGCTAAGAAAGAGTTTGAACTGAAACCAGATCAAGTGAAGCTTTGTGATGCAGCAACGGTAACAAACAATCTGTCACCGTTTCCCGGAGAAGAGGCTGCGCTCTTACATGCGAAGATGCTTGACTCACCCTCGTAAATCAAGATGAGCCTTGGCAGTGATGGACAGATTCAGATTCACCAGGTTGCTGTGAGGGTTATCTTTGTTAGAGCTGTGGAGAGAATACAGGAGAGTAATTGTAAGTGAATTGTAAAGTAAGACGAAACTTGGAATTTTTTTAGATTTCACAAAAGTGCTTTTACAATATTACTGAATAACAAGCCTGATAAAAGAAAGCTTTTTCTATTCATAGCTCAAACAGCTACACTTTTCTTCATGCTTTAAACTTGACCAGCAATCATCCGTATCTGGGACTCTACTGAAATCAACAAAATGAAGCAGACAGTGAACATGTTGTGAGGAGACTAAAGCTCCTTCAGGCTCTTTCTCTTCTTCTGTCCCTGTGGTTAGTTTCATCCAACCGCAGACAGCGATGTGTTCGGGACAGACACAGAACTTATTTACACGGCTCACAAGACAGACAAACAACCCTTTATGCCTTCTTTGACTTTAGCGTTTGTGAGTTTCAGCAGAGGGGGGGTATTCGTGGGAGATGGTGGGCGTGTCACCTGTGGATCTGTAGCTCAAAGCTAATCTTGGGTCCAGCATCATCCAGTCGTTGGACGGAAAACCTCAAACCAACAGACAGCTGCGTAAGAGTGAGAGAAAGAAGGATGGCGTATGAGAAACATGTGACAGAAAGAAAGAGAGACAAGAAAGGGGAGGACAGCTTAAGAGAAAAGACAGAAAGACAGAAACAAGATGCATCTGTACATCAAAAGGTTTACAGAGTCCAGTAATAGACAGTAAAATCCCTGTTAACTACATCCTCTTGTGTTGTTACATACTGCAGGCAGAAGGTGTGTGTGTATGTGTGTGTCTGTGTGTGCGTGTGCTCAATCAGAGAAGATCCAGACTCCACACACAGTCCAGTTCAGGTTCTTGTCTCTCCCCAGTTTAAATCTCCTGTCCTCCAGGCTAACTCGAAACACGTGAAGGATTTAGTTCAACATCAATGACAACTGAGTACGCACATGTGTGTGTGTGTGTGTGTGTGAGAGCTCCATCAAACAACAGGTCAAACACATGGTCCATAAAGGGAAAATGACAGCGTGCAAGCTCGCAGTAACACTTCACGAGGTAAGCCTGTGGCGGGGTGAGGGTGTGGGTAAGTTTGGGGTGTGTAACTACAAAGTTGGGTCATCTTTATGGGACACATTAGAGAGAGAGCGTACAAGAGGGGCCAGGCAGGAAAGATCTAAAGAGACGCAAATGAGTTGTTCAGAGAGAAGACGTCACTATCAGCTATGATTCACAGGGTCACGGGTGAAGGCGGAGGAGAAGGGCACAAGAAATGTCTGAAAGAGTCAACTGTGTGTCCTCAAATTCTGGAAATGTACGCTTCCTCTGAACGTACTAACTGTGAACGGTTTTTAACTTAAAGAGACCAGCAGCTGCGGTCAGCTTCAATTTATCCTGGCCACAATGGATTGAAAATCTTCATGGTGGTGAAAAATCATCAAAACATCCCTGTAAACGTTCTCAACGTACTTTTGAAATTTATGTCCATTTGCATGCACATTGTTTTCCAAATTATAATCATTATGCCACAATCTGACCAAATGCTTTCTTCTATGTTGGGTTAGTGCCGTCCTTTAAGCTACAAAGGTTTACCGCAAGAAATGAATCCAGCCACATTTTGGCAAAATGAAAAAGGAGCTTACGCTGAGCGGTTTTGAAAGTATAAAAGTCATCCAGAACAAAAGGCCGCCATTGTGATGAATATGAACTGCTGTCTCGCACAGAGCGTGACAAAAATTGGCATTTAAAAGAGACGCTTTTTGGGGGAATTAAAGTTTACAAATACTCTCAAACACTGAGGACATTTTAAAAAGAGCCTTGGGATATAAAGGGAATGAAGGACACAGTATTGCTAAAAATATGTTTCCAATGTTGAAATAAAAAAGGAATTATTTTGACTTGACAATGAGTCAACTGGAATTCACTTAAATAAATCTGTGGTTTGGAGTCAGTGTGAAGGCATAACTCTTTCACAAATGCTGATGCTTCCAATAGCCTTGCATGTAATCTCTATTAACTGACTCTGGATAAAAACAGAATCAAATTTTTGGTGTTGAACGCGCTCTGGTTTCAGTTAGTCGTCCCGGTTGTCTTGTTTACTAGATTTTCAGTGAACCTTGGCTGGACATAGAAAAACAGTCTGTGTGCTGAAGAGATACACAAAGCATTGGCTGTAGTGCAGTTCTGGTAACTACTGGCTAATGTCAGATGCTGATTTAGCTTTGCGATGATTGCTTTTGACAGATATCTACAATTATCTAGTGTTAGATGATATTTACTCCTTTTTCCAAGCTTCTTATAAAACTGTTTAGTAAGGGATGATATAAAAAGAGCAAGTGGTTATAAAAAAAGTGGATCCTGACAGGGTGTGCAGGGATCACCCTGTGAAGTGAAGCACCTGTTCATCATACATTATCTTGTGTATTACCTACAAAGCAGCAAATGTTATATTATTATCCAAAGATTGATTCAAAGATGATTTTATTGATCAAAAATTGGTGTATTTATACAGCTAAAAATAGTCTCTTAGATTTTCACAACTGGCGACAAATTGTGAAATCACAACCGCTCATAGTTTAAGTTACTTGATGGTGATTGACAACCCAGCTCTAATGCTGATGCCTGGATTGCAGGATAGGCTCTTCATCCTCTTGGTTGAGGCACACTAGCTATTCGAGCTGATTTCACATCTGTGCCTGGAAAATGACATTATTTTCTCACTCTCAAGACCAGTCTTTGATAGAAACAGATTTTTTTTGCCACAGTGTTTGATGTGAACAGAGGTGAAAAAGGAAATTTTCCAGGATCCTCCTTTCCTTGAATTGATTTGACATGAATTGTGATCAGGTTGACCCTTGTGTTGCATTTGTAGTCCAGAATTAATTACTGTTGTTGTGAAATATTCAACACAGCTTGGTAATTATCAAAAAAGTTGGGAACTAACAATAAACTTCATGCAGAAACAAAAGTCTTTTCCTGGGATATTTTGTCTGCTGCACCAGAAGCTCCTTTAAATGCACTTTTTCTTCAAAGGCTCTACTGACGTGACAATCTAAGACCATAGCCAAAGCAAAATGCCTTTAGAACAGTAATTTAGTAGATTTTAATCGAATCAATACAAAAGACTTAGTGAAATAGTTGTGCGACCACATTATCACAACAATCCACTAAAAGATGACTTATTGTGACCAAAGCCTTGACAAAATAAGTTGAATTCTGGGAAATGCTAAAGGACTTACTGAGCTAAAGTAAAGACTCAAGAAAAGACGAGCTGTAGAGATACAGAGATGATGAAATACTAAAACCTAAACCAGCTCTCCTCCAGGCATGTACCCCCTGCATTGATGGACCTCAGTGAAGCTCTACAGCCGTGTGTCATGTGGCACGAGGAATGAACTGCAGTGATGAGAACTATTTAGTTGCACAATATAAACGGAGCCTGTATGGGGTAGGTGGAGGTATGTTCTGCATAAGCTCATGGATTCCTGAACGTCCAGCAGGGCAGGGGGAGAGTTAAATATGGGAAACATCTGGAGGGACTGAGGAGGGCACACACACACACACGAACACACACACACACACACACACACACACACACACACACACACACACACACACACACACACACACACACACACACACACACACACACTCCTTGTCCCTTTCGCATGCCTTGATTCGCTCTCCTCCCCCTAACTCTGAAACATGACCACATAATTGATTTATCAGAACGCTGTGTGTCCCCTTCAGAGCTCGAATGCACCTTTGCATTGGCCTTGACACCTTTACAAAAACCCCAACATTCACAGAAATAAACACATGATCACACACACACACACACATACATGCTGTAGCCTATGTGACATGCTTCGTGGTACACATACATGTGGTCGGATTTCATGTAGGAACGAACCACTCTTTACTTAACAAAGCCTTGACTTCCTGCATGTGTCAGCCATCACAGAGCTAAACGGATTATTACTCCACACACTACACACACACTTATGTATGCACATATACTCACAAAGAGTGTGCAGTATATTAAAGGGGGTCAAAATAAGTGGGAAAAGGGCCAAGGTGATGATCAGTGGTCGTTGGAAACCATCAATCAGTGTGAATTAACTCTGAGGAGAAACAGTCACAACTGCCTGGTGTGGACGTTTGGATGTTGTGTTTCAGTGCAAAAATTGTGAGTGCGCATTTTTGTGTGTGGAAACTCACCTCTGTCCCAGCCACCATCGGGTTTCCAAGGTCACACACCACCAATCTGGACTCATTGACCATTTTGTACTCACAGTTTAGCTGAGACAGGGACTATTGAGGGGATAGAAGAGAGGGAGAGAGAGAGAGAACAGAGAGAAGGGAAGTACAGGGAGAGAGGGACAATGAATCAAAAATGGATGAAAGTGACAAATCGGGAGCATTGAGAGGCAAGAGGAGGAAGGAAAGAACAACAGAGGGAAGCAAACCACCATCAAAGGGGTGAGGGGGTGAGAAAGAGAGGGATGGAGCAGGAGTGATGAATGCTCTGACAGAAACAACCTCATCAATCAAACAACCCCATTACACACTCATTAGCGTGCACGCAAAGACACGCGCGCACACACACACTCACTCACACACACAGTTGACCCTATCCATTTTCGTGGTCACTAATGCAGCTTGTAAATCATAATGGGGGCTTTTGGGCTTTTGCCAGTAAAGCGTACCACGCTGATAGCCTCGCCGCCTCAATCACTGCGAACAAACAGCACAGAGACACAACAGGATGTGATGTCACACTGTAACTGCAGCCTCAAATAGCCCACTTCCTCGTTGGCAGAAGCTTCAATCATGATGGGACAATCCCCCATGTCTATTTTAAGTGTCTGCCTAAATATAAAACAAAGGAAACTGGTTTTGATTTGGACCAGGTGATGAATTGATCTCATCAGTGGTTTTTGATCAGGTTAAAATCCATCATCATCATGATAATCGACGTAGAACTTTTAGACTTAATAGGAGAAGACTTAACAGACCAGTGGACAGTATGAAGCATAAACATAGTGTCAGTGACATAAACCATTGGTTTCTGAGGTTGCGCTCTAAAGCCTTAAGCCAGTCGTCCCTATATTGGAAATGCTGACTCCAGCTAACTTCGAGCTACTGTAGACATGAACAGAGAGGTGGAGTTCAGCCAAAACCATGCTGCCCAGCAAACAGCTAGAGTGCCAAGAAGCTGGTTGAGTTGGCCACACTCAAATCACACATTTTTTTTATGCATAAATCTTATTGCAATATAATCTATAAATGAGTTAAACTCTACCGTGGTGAATTAAAAATATGACAACAGCTAGTTTTTTTACTAAAGAAGGAAAGACATTAAAACAGTTTTCTGAAGTAGGCTGTAAACACGTTTATTTGCTGTGTGGGATCGCTTATCAGACTTATTCTGTTTTTTGAGCCAGCCTGAAGTGTACGCTCAAGGTACTACAGTTCTTCACACTTTAGCATTGGCTTCATTTTTTTTTCTGCTTGATTGTATTTGCAGATAGACTTTCTGGTAGCAATGCTCTATTGTTTGCTGCAATTCCATTCTTTGTAAAAGATAGATGCCATTTGCTGGCATTATATCCAAGGTGTCAGAGTCGCCTATTCGACTGTGTTATTAAGACAGAGGAATGGTTTCTGCGTCGACAAGTAGCAAATCCTAAAAAGGATGATTGGATTTAATGAATAATATGTTGGCAGTGTGTGTTTATTTACCTCTACCCTGCGCTCTACTCCGATATAGTCTGCTTCAGGTGGTATCAGTGTGTGAAGCTCTGTCTCGTAGGCCCCCTCTCCTTGATTGACTGCAGTGATGGTTAGCATGACCAGATTATCATCTCCAATAACCACCTCTGACTGGTCCCTGTGTGTGAACAATCGAAAGACAATTTAAGTCATTTCAGTCAGGTAGAAGTCACACATAAATGACGTATTTTATTGCAGCTTCTTGTGTTATATATTTCCCTTGCATAATAATCTTATAGCAGGATAGGACCCTCTTGGTTGGTTTCACATGTGGTCTGTTTCCAAGATTGAAACCCCCAACAATGTATTTGTTTGTGTATGTAAGTACATGTGTCCACCAGTAAGGGTGACAGGATGTTTGTATAACGCTGCCATGGAGATATCATACAGCTGGAAACACTATAGAGGGTAGTGGCTAACGCACACACACATAGTCACTCACCATATGGTCAGTGGGACTATAATGGAAATAGCTTCAGTGTAAACTCAGCTCATTGTGTGAGGACTAGCAGACATTTTTCTTTGATTTGGCTGTGTGTGTGGTGTTTATAGTTTGAGGTCAGAGGGTGTGGCAATGTCAGTCTTACATGCTGGCAGAGAGCTGGAGGTCTGGGACACAAATGTTGTCGTCCCCACAGTCCAGGAGGATGTAAGCCTGAATCAGGAGAGAAAGGGGTGGTCATCAGGGAATTTTGAGGTACCCTGGATTTCATCACAAAGCCCAAAATAGAAACACACCGGCAAACCAGGATGCAGGTGTTTTTTGGCTCATAAAGACACACACTATCGCATGTTTCCATGGTTTATGCAGCAGATAAAGGTTTTCAATTGGCTCAGTTTGGATGTTTTATTGCACCCTGCTTCAGGCTGAGACTGGTTGTGGTGATAAAATTTAATTAGTATTAAAAAAATCTCCTCCTGTCTCTGCATTGTTATTTTCCTTGGTTTAATGGTTGGTAGTTGTGGGTGTAAAGTGTTGCAAATACAACATGGATAAAGAGGGTAATGTCTTGCAAGCTAATGGTCAAAAATGAAGAAAAAAAAAACTCTTCAAAAACAAAAATAATTTTGGCAGGGCTTGCTCAGTTTACTAACCTGACTTTATGATCCATAAGAATATAACCTGCTGTTCACAAACACCTAAACCCATTTCTCCCTTAATTTCTCCCTTAAGTCTTTGGCCAGTGTAGTGATAAGGAATGTGTTTCTCACAATCTTCACCAGATGTACTTTTTTTGATGACTCAACAGTTTTTGGTTGGAGCAGAGCAATAAAATCCTGTTGAACTTTTAGTTATAACTTTTGAATTTGCTGGTTTATTTGTGCAGACCAGTGCCCGCCTCAAGTTCAAGACTCATGGATACAGGTGTGATCTTGCAGTTTGACCAGTTCTTGAAAGCTTGAAGTGTAAAAAGCAGGCGATAAAAAAGAAATAAAAACTTTTTTGTGTGTATAACATGTAAGTACTTTCATAAAAGAAGGACTGAAAGGATAAACTACAAAAACAGAATGCTTTGAGCCTGCAAGTCTTTGAGGTAAGTATGTGCTTGGACTTTGATTCTTATTCAAACTGCCTGGTTTCATAGCTCACAACTCAGTGCTTCTAGGGCCCTTAAATCTCCACAGTGTTCGGCACCCTTTATACTTGAAGTGTTAAGAGACGTGCGGAAATACTCCCTCCAAAACAGTCAGAACAAATTGAACAAACTTGCAAAAAACGTCCAGAAAATTGTCAAACTAGCAAACACACAATGTTGAACATCAGGTAGACAATATACTGATATATACAAAAACTGCGGTGCTTATACTGTGTACACGGTATGTGTGCTTACGTGTTCTTGGAGAAAGGTGCTGCTGTAATGGTTGAGAACAGGTGGGAGGTTTTGGCCATGAGTGGGTGGAGCTAAGCTGTAGTTGAGAGCCAGTGAGATGGGCGTTAATTTGTCCCTGAACTCGTCCTCCTCCTGAGATGAAGACAAGAAATGTAATAAAATAGAATAAATCAACAGATATTTAGAAATTTAGGAAAGTGGATAAGTGATAGCCCAGTTCATTTAATACATCGCAGCATGCACAGCACTTAAATTCACTCACTTTCAGGAAAATGGTGTAGCCCAAGCACGCACGTGGGCGGTTGTGACTCAGTGTTAATCTCCCTGTGTGCTGAGGCTGCTGGGTATCCAGAAACAAAACTCTCCTGACTGCACCTCTGATGCCTTTCAACCAATCCAGCTGCAGCTCTGCTCTTAGGTCTGGACAGAAAGAAATGATGAAGAGGTGGAGGGGAATGGAGAAGTGAAAGGAAAACATGAGTGCAGTGACAATGAGGGCAAATAAGTCAATCCAGCCAGTCAGGTACTAAATTGAACTCCAGTTGCATGGTCAGTGTCTGCACATGCACAGATGATTTCCACTAGCTGTGGGTGATGGAGACATTTGTAGGTGTTTTCCTCCTCAGAGCATAACGAGACAGTGGAAACAACGTACTTTCTACTGTCTGAGTCTGTCCACATGATTTGTTTCCACTGCCCCTCCTGCTTTTGTTCTCCACAACGGTCAGTGTAGCAGAGCAATGGTAGAACAGTAAAGTTTAACAAGAAACTGGCTGTGAGTGAAGTTTTACTCTCTGTGCTTTTGTTTTGCACCTCTTTCTTACTCCAGTGTACACAGCTGCTTACCTACAGAGTTGGGGATCCCCACTCCACTCACTGCCGCGCACACGTCCACCCTCAAACTGCAGAAAAAGAATACAAGGGCGATGAAAACAGAAGCAATAATCTGTCGTTCATGCACATCCACATACCGTTTTAGTCTGGCTTTTAGTTGAATTTTGTTTTAATCTCTTTATCTGCATTTTGTGATTTCACTCTATTTTAGTCCTAGAGTAACTATTTTGTGTTCTATTACCTCTTTATTAATTTACTTTTTGTTAATGTTTGATTTTAAGACTGTTTTATTTAATTAACTTTTAACTCTTTATCACCTTTATTATATTTTATCATGGTTTTATCGCTTCAGTCCTGGATCAAGTGTTTCCTCATCTTTTTCAATTCAAGATATCATTTCCCCAGTCATCTATGGCAAGTTAAAGAGTCTTCACCTGGTCTTTTGTGTTTTGTGTGGAGGGTGGGTGGGGTCTGGTATTTGCATTTGTATTTATTTTATTTCATTGTTTTGAATATCCTGCTTAAAAGGACAACACTTTGTGCTACATGCTATGTATGAAAAGCGCTTTAAAAATAAAGTTTGATTGATTGATTAATTGAATAAGCAATGCAAGTTTGATGGTGGTTGTTTTGATTAAATGTGTCACATCAGTTTGTTAAAACACTCTGCACAGTCAGTGAGGGCGCAACTAAAATTTGGTCATATAAGTATCTGAAAGAAATGATGACTCACTACTTAAGTTATTTCTCATAAAGATAGTGGACTTTTAATATTATATTTATGTTGTATGTCTATATAAAACAAACCTTATAATTAGCCAAACTGCCCATAAGCAAGGCGTTTATTTTCTTTGTACTCCAGGGATTGATGGGAAATACCACCAGAAATCCTGTGAGTGCTTTAATTAGAAAAACAGACATGGGAGACTGGAAAACTTTTCTGCATTTCCTCTATTTATGTGGCTGTGATTATACATGTAAGTGTGTTTGCGTGTTATCACTTCTCTAATCAAGAACAGGAAAAAGGCTCCCACACAGGGAGCTCCACGCTGCTAATACACACTAATCGGGGGTTTGCACAGTCCTGAATTCAACAATGAACACTCAGCAGTTCTGGACATAATGAGGTGAATGACTTCATGTGATTATTGTTTGTTTGGTTTCAGCTCACAAACCCTGAAATTCAAAAACCAGATGCTGTTGATGCTTGTGTTTGCTTACAATTAGGTGATACGATAATGGTGAGTTTTTTATTGAGCTGTTTAAAATGTGAGAGGCGCAGATGTGAAATTAAAGTGCAGGTTTCTATTTTAAATAAATCGCTCCTCTAAGTCATTTTGACCTCTCCAGGTGGTTCCACACATGTTTAATTTGTGCTGCATGTAAGCATGTGTGCCTATTTAAGGTGGGTGTGCTCAAGTGTGCCTGTAATAAGCAGTATGCGTCAAACTGAAGTGTATGTGGTGCGGAAATGACCCCCATTTTACTGACAACAGCTCTGGCTCATGGTTAGTCATTACTGTACACAATTTTCCCCCAAAATGCATCTGTTCTCCACCACCCTACACACTGCTGGCTGAACCTCCATGCAGACACACACAAGTTCTTTCCGTACTATCCCATGTTGACTTAACAGAAGAGAAAGCTCAGTGTCAGGCTTGTCACCAAGACGCAGAGCTAGAAAACAGACTTCTAGATCCGCTATTAAGTTTTGACCAAACTTGGCAGCAGAAACAAGCTGTGAACATGAAACTAAAATATCATCATCATTTACTGCCAGCCTATGATAAGAACTTGATTCTGATTGGTCAAATCACTTTAAATTAACAAAGATGATTAATGCTTAACTGCAAAAGGCATGCCATCTGTAAAGTACCTTAAGCTATAATGTACATTAAACTGTATGGGCTTTGATAATAGCAACGATATTTAAAGATGTGACATTTGCCTTAGTTATGTTTCAAGGTGAGTCAACTGGAAAGCCCTGTGAAAAGAGAGAGCTGACTGAAGACAGAAATGTCAACATTTATATTCCTGCATTAACTCACTCACCTTCTCTTATATCACCTTCCCTGGAAACGCAAAGTTTTATGTGAATTATAACAAGAAAAAAGAGAGCCAATGAGAATCTGTCGCTGCCATAGTAGTTTTACTGACCCTGGCATTGGTGGGACTATTTTATAGGCTGTAGAAGTCAATGAAATTGTCTTAAAGTTACCATTTTGTGTCAGCTTGTTCATATCTGTAGTTGGTAGCTGGGTAACGAGCAGGATTATGCATAGTGAGGCCTTTTGTGAACCAGAATCCTAACAGGGTGAGCGGGACCCTGATTTCCTAATATGACTCAGCCAACTTCAACCACCGGAGCAAAGGATATAGCTTTAAGTCAGATCTTAGAAACTTATTTAGTAGCCAGCAGGCTCCTGTGGCAGACGTTAATGGTAGAATTGAGTAAAATTAGCTAATTTCATCACAAAAAGAGCCCGATTTAACATGAATTCATTTTCAGAGCTATTGCTCAGACTAAAACATTGACTTTTGTGACTTTGCAATTCAGCACATTCTTTAAAAAGAGGTTTCTGAAAGTGCTGTACAGGGAAATAAAGGAACATGAGATCTGCTTGTTGGCATAAAAACACAATCAAAACCCAACATCGTAATTTACGTTGAGCGTATCTAAAAAGACAGTTGATTATATGTCATTATAAGTCATCTGGTTGTGGTTCATGTTGTTCAAATTGAACAGCATGATTAGATTGGTTAGGGGGAAAACAGACATAACTGTGGTGTCTTACATTGAGGTTTAACATTTCCAGAAAAAAAAGGAACTTGTAACATGCAGTGGACAGTTTACTGTTTTCATGTAGGAGCAACGCGAGTCTGTAAAGACTCTGGAAATGCATTCAGAGCAGTGGTCAGCAGAACCTGCGTGTTTTTGAAAGATTGCTGGGTAATTGTTTTACCCAGAATCTGATACTTAACCCTGTGACTCAGAAGGAACGGTAACATTTGAGAGGCACAAACTGGGGTTACCTCCCATCACGCTGCTCTGAGCCTGGAGAAACAGCGAAAACATCGTAAGGCTTCAGCAGAAAACCCTAGATGTCCCTACGCTGCACTAGCTGCAGTTAAACTCTGCGTGTGTCTGTTCTACGTCCTTGTGTGTCCTTATTTCATACCTCAAACCGAAACTTTATGGCGGTTATTTAAATCTGCAGAGTTATGTTTTGACAGCGCTTGCACAGCTTAGTGCTCCCCATCAGTGCGACCCAAACCCTGCTCCCTCGTCACTCATTGCCAAAACTCACACACCACTATGTACACACACAGACACCACAATGGCGACTGGCCGAGCATGCTTCCCCCCGTCCAAACAGTCACACAGCGGTTTCAGCCCAAATGAGTATGGACTGCGGTGAAGCAGCGGGAGCTTGAAGACCCGTTCCCCCTCAACTACACTTACTCCCAGGGTGTTCAAAGCCAGCCTGCCACCCACAGGAACAATAATACAATCAAAATAGAATTATGCAGTATCGAATTAATTGCAGAGTCCTATAAATCTGACCGCCCAAGTTATTGGATATGCTTTTCTAGTGTGCTTCTAAATTGTGGCATTAGTCACACAGACAAACAGACCTTGGCTGATGGCAGACGTCTAGAGCGTGGGGGTGAAATATTTGTCACATCTGTCAGTGTGTGTGAGATTTGTGAGTGTATATTTTTTAAACTGCAGAGCGTTTTATGATACAGTATAAGTAGGGAGATTTGTGGTACAGCTCAGGGTTTCCGAGCAGCAGTCGGTTCATTTTTGTGTAGGACTTTGATTCCTTGAGCTTGAATTTACACACACACAAAGTCAATGTCCAAATATGAAACCAAAAATAGATTTAAAAATGAGTATCCGCTGCATTGACCCGTTTGAGCTTAATTTTTTTGTTTGTTTGGCTTGATTCTGTGTCTGGGGTTAATGAACACGATTGTACCACAATGCAATGTGGTACAAGCGGAAGTAGAGGAACTAGACACAGCTGGAAAGAATTACAACAAATACTGGCCTGCGGTGAAGAGCTGGAGGAACACTGCCGAGGAAAAAAGATTATTGTAAAAATCATTGAGAAAACATTTTGCTTATATTATTGTCAGTCAGGAGTGCTCCAAAGTCAGCATTCGCCAGATGGTAGATGATCTGGATCATGAGGAACGTTTAATATCTGCGGGGTTTGTCTCTTTTTATTGATGTCAAAGTACTTTACAATTTCCCCTATTTTATCTTTAGATAAGTCTCTTTGGGCTCCTCCAATCACTGATCTGTTTCTCTTTATCTTTTCTTCCAGCTTTAGAGGAAGAGCTTTATATATATATATATATATATATATATATATATATATATATATATATAAGACCAATATTACAGGAAGCAAGCAATGATACAATCTGAAACAATGTACAGCTGAATGTGAGTAATGTTTTTCAAAGCAGTCATGAGGATATCCAGATGTGGGTAACTAGCTCACATAGGAGACTGTGGCAACTGCTATTATGCTGCAGGTAACTCTGACTTTTCATTGTAATTCATATTATTTACTTAATAAAAAAAAGAAAAAAATACAATATCATGAACAATACTGGAAAAACAAACTAAGGAAGACTCAAATATTTAGGAGGTATAAATTTAAATTCTGTCAAATGATGTTGGATGTCAAAGGAACACGTTTGTAACAAATTCACCAGTAAATATTAGAGGGGGGGATAACTACTAAGTTTTAAATAAATGAATAAAAATCAGTCAAGTACAGTCTCCTCCTCTGACCATTGATTCTTGTATGTACTGTAGGTCTATTGTTTGTGATGTTACAAATTTGGCTATTTCATATGTAAATCTGTGAGATTCTCTGTGTGCTGACAGATGCAGCGTATTTACATTAATGTAATATGTTGATTAAAGTGCACTGTCCCTTATTCTCTACGTTAGTTAAAAAAGGAATTATTCCTTTAGGACCCTAAATATGATTCAGTTTCCAAAGCCAAAAATAACACAAGAATGAAGTAAATTAAGTATTAGAACAAAAGTCCTTCAAATTCCTAAAATCAAAAATCAGTAACCAGTCTTGACAACTTAATGACTGTAACTCTATATCCAACACCTGTGGCCTTCAGCTCTTGCAGGGCTCATATTAGCTTTTGAATCCGCCAAATTATACATTTACATGTGTCAGTCAACCACTGAAAATGTCTAATAAAATAAACGCATGATGACTCCACCAGACACGCAGAGTCCTGCTGCTGTTGTCTTAGTGTGTTGCTGGGTTTGTGTCTTTGCTGGGAGGGTCATCAGCTGGATGAGCTGCACTTGGGCACCTGGCTTCAACAAATCTCCTGGGTCCTTGATTCACTCTCCCTGACTTTCTGGATCTTGATCTAGAGCTGACTCTCCTGACGACCGGTTTCTTTGGTTTCATTCAGGAAGTTAATAAAATCTAAGTGTTAACATTTAATGTTGTTTGGCTTGTTTTTGGAAGTAATTACTCATTTGTCAATGCCAGCTCCTGTTTGTTTCCACTGCATCGCAATCTTTAAGCCAGGTTAACGCGGATCATTTATATTTACTGCAAGCTTTGGGACAAACAAATATCTTGCTTCTTACCAGGTAACCATAATATCTGTTTCGGGAAGGTGACACTGTCTGTCGTCTGGGTTCAGGATTCTTGGAGTCAGGGTCATCGACGCCTCAACTGACACCACAGCCCGGGACCTTTGAAAAAGTGCAAGCACGCACATAACACCATCTGGTATGACAACTTGAAAGCCCTTCAGAATTTCAAAACACAATAAAAAGTCCTTTACATTCTTACCTGTACACAGACACCGAGCCTGCACCGAACGCCCCGACAATCAGATCTGCAGAGAGGGAGAGAGAGAGAGAGAGGGAGACGGGAAATAAAGGGCTTCAAAGAATGCAACAGATGGGATTGATTTCAAGGTCTCCAGCAATCTTCATCAAACACAGACCCTTCACATTTAATGCACACACACCCACACACACACGCTGTGACATTGCATAAAGTTTCTGATATCACTCTTTCCTTTCACACATGAGCCGCTTCAGACTAAATTTTGAAACACATAAGGCCAAAAAGTGTGTCCGTGTGTGTGTGAGTCTATTGTGCAGCATGTTCATACATATATGTGTGTGTGTGTGTTTGCGTGCACGGAGACAGGGACCCCACACTGCATTCCAGCGCCATTAGAAACTTCACATCGTGCCAATCACATTTTCTCTGCACAACATTTCCCAACAGCTCTTAATTGTAAGCAGCAACAGATCTCATCTATATGTGATTTTTATTTGTTTTTATGGCTTTCGTGATGAACACACACTCTTAATTGGCTCTCGGAGTTTAAAATAGAGCCGGAGTTTAATGGCTGCGGTGAGGGGACACATACCAATGAAAGCCAAATACACACACACACACACACACAAGTTCTGATTAAAACAGTGTGAGAGGCTCTTAATGGATACAAGCCATCAGTACCAGATGCAGCTTAACTGATCCTGAGAAAGACAACATAACCTCACCATGCCAACTCGAAGGATTATTTTTAGTATCATCTAATCACTATGAATGCATTAGCTTTAAGCCTCTCATGACTAACTGATTTATCCTGGCCTGAGAAATGTAAAACACAACTCCAAAATGTGTATGTTGCAGCTACTAAGTGATTCCCATTTGGATTGAGAATTTCATATTTACTGGTGATTCATTTTTCGTCGATCACCTAAGTATGTGATCGACTATCTGACATCTGAACTGTGTTGGAGCTTCTTCATCAGAGGGGAATGCTTTTGTTACTCGCTGCAGGTCGTTGCACTATGAGCTGGGACTTTTGTAATCTTTGCTCATCATTTGTTGTGTCTTCCTCTCCTGCATATAAACGCAAAAGCGGACTAATTGAATCAGAGGGAGACACATCTGTTTCTGCCTTTGGCTGCAGTCACTGAGTCCCCCTGTAACCACAACATTAAACATTTAGGTCCTGTCCCTCTTCCCCAGGGGTGAGCTATGTCGTTATGTGAGTGTGTGCCTGTGTGTTCCTGTGTGTGTGTTAAAAAAGCCTGCAACGAGAAAGCAAGATGTTGGCTTTGTAGGGCGGTTGCAGGGGTACAGAAGAGGGAGGGAAAAAAGCACAGAAGGAGGAAAAAGAAGGAATGATAGAAAGCAAAGGGAGGGAAGGAGATAGCGCACTTGGCCTTTAAACTGCAGTCTGTGAAAGTCATCAGGACCAAGGTGTGTTTTCAGCAGAGGGAGCGAGACGGACTCCCAGTCCGCATTCCTCCTTCCATCCCGCTGTTGAGTTGTGTAACCAGGAAATCCAACTCCACTCCTGTCATCCCTGTGTGTATTCTACACAGTGGTCGTCTGCACGCCTCATCTTGACTCTGCTGTTTGCTCTCCAAACCACCGCACGGCATGAGACTGATTGAGGACAGGGCACCTTTGGGGTTAAGTGTGTGTTCGAGAGTGTGAGTGTGCGCATGGCTGCACTGAGAGGCCTAATCAAATAACGGCACACTTTCCTTTTCATGTCAATCCCATTTCCTTACGCACAGGAACGCTTGGCTGCCACTGTTCATTTGAGTTTAGTATGTGGGTAAGCCATACCTGCACAGAGACAGACACACACCACTGCATACACCCACTCATATTCACTCATTGATGGAGGGTCTTGCTGCAGGTATACACTTGGTAACTGAGCTGCTATAGCTGATGGTGTCCATCCTGGGCTATAAAAACACAACCTCCACTCAGAGTTTAGACAGACTGTCAAGCTGTCACTAACTGCATGCTCTAACTGCCTGTTCAGCTGCAGGGGACTGCCCTTGCTGATGAATTGCCAAAGGTCAATGGCGCTCTGTGGAAAAAGAGGGCAGCTTTGAGGGAAAAAAATATATATGTAATTCTAAGTTGCATGTTTGGGATTTCAAGATTTTTCAGTAACTGCAAGCTAAGGGTGGGGGAAAAAATTGATACAGTGTAGTATTGCGATATTTTGTCTGGTCATATATCGTATCGTCTCATTGACTATGTATTGATTTTTGAAGTCAAATCTATGATAATGGACGAATAAAATACATTTTTTGTCCAGTGGGTTTGGCAGAGGTGATATCATAGAACAAGAGAAAGTTAGTGCCACAAATATAGCAGCACTTGGGGAAAGACATTAAGAATGCAAGCAGGGCACAAATAAGATACACCTAACAAATAAGTTTTGCTAGAAGTGCTACATGAAAATAAAATACTGTGTAAATAAGACAAACAAAAAGAAAGGACAAATGCTAAATTAGCTAAGCAGTTGAAACGTTATCGCAATATATTGTATCGCAATACTTAATGTATTACAAAATGTTAATAATATCATATCGTGGCCCAAGTATCGTGATAATATTGTATCGTGGCCCAAGTATTGTGATAATATTGTATTGTGGGCCCACTAGTGATTCCCACCCCAATTGCAAGCTACAGCATACCTTCACAACACAACATGAAAGGCTTGATTTTTGTTCTGGAAAGTCAATCGCTTACACTGCATGCAGAGGGAATTGGAGCGGTTTACCCAAAATTGAGCAATATGACAGTTTTGTTTGAAAACGCAGTCAAATTTGGTTACATAACAGTAGTGAGGGAAGTTCAAATTAGCCAAGAAATGCTCAAAACACAGGAAAAGCCCAATTTTAGGGGGTAATAGAGAAATCCAAAAAAGACAAAAAGTCACAATGGTTGTAAATTATTAGACAGTGAGCCTAGACGTGAATTTTACACCTACTTACCAACCAAATGACCGCCCTAATGACCCCTCAGGACCGCACACGTCCAAATCACAGCCCCTGACATGTCTCTGTGTCTGTAACTCTCTCAGCAAGTCAGTGTGATTGACAGGTAAAACACTGTCAGTTTCTGACCTTTGACCTCTCGGCTGAACCTGAAATGCACCCTGAGGCAATCTGACCTGTGTCCGATTCACAGCCGACCCTAACCATAACTCTAGCATTCAGTCTGAGTCAAACTCTGCTTCTTGGCCTTTGCTGCATCAGTGAAACATCATCAGGGCTGGGCCTAAACATCAGCTGTGTAACTTAAAGGGATAGTTCTGGTTTTTTTTTTCACAATGGAGATGTATAAGGTAAAAACAAGAAATAGTCAAATTAATGTGAAAACTTATCACTGATGCTGCTTTTATTAGGTTGGTTTTTGTCAAATACTTGTAAGTATGTTTAGCTATGAACCCTTTCAAACAGAAGCCATGACCCCCACCACTGAAGTAGGTCATAAACTTACCATTGATAGGAGCTTCACCCACCACCACTTCAAAAAGTCTGAACCACCCCTTTATTTACGGTTTGGGGCCGTTTTCTTTCCGGTTCTGCCTTCTTTGACATCTTTGGTCTCTTCCGCCCTCCATTTCCACAGCCATCTTGTAAAACACAAACCTATGACATAATGTTTGAGGAAAGGTCTATTAAAGCTAAAAGTGGAGCTTAATCACCATCCTCCCCTCTCTCTGTGTTCCTGCTTTAGACTAATGACATTTCACATCCATGGCAGCATATGGCAGCTCTAGCAGGCCTCCCAGACACCCGTGCAGTCCTCTCATAACGCAGATCAAACATGAACGGCTGCTTTGAACACTGTGACTTTACTACCGTGCTAACGACACTCCATGCGTATGTGTGTCGCACTTCCACCAGTAAACTCTCTAATGACAGACGACAAAAGCGCCGCGCCATTTGTACTTGTTCATGTTTATACGGTGTGTGTGTGTGTTGGCTGAAAGCTCTGCCACCCGCAACTTTTTCTCCACTTCCTCCTCTCAGTGGGCCTCCACAAACCTGTACACGCTGTGTGTATCCACTGTATTCATCATGTTTTTAATTCAGGGTCTCTGATTTGCAGTGGGTCTGCACAGCTTTGACCTGGAGTCTGGCGCTCGCTCAACACACACTCTCTCTCTCCGCCGGTGAAACTGATCACACGCTGCACATATGAACTAGTGTTTACGCATGTGTGTGTTTCCCTCAATGTCTTGTTTGTGCAATGAAGAAATCTGTTATTACAGTGGAATGAAAGGAAAGGGAAAAAGGGTACGAGGCGAAGAACAGAAAAGAGAAGGTAAAGCTAAACAAGATCTACGTTTTCAGCCAAATCTGTTGTAGCACAAAGTCAGTAATGCGCACAGTAGAAGTGCTCTAAATTAGGGAGAAAATGAGGTAGTATAACAGTAGTTTTACAGACCTGCTTTGCTTCAAGTGGATTTTTTTCAAAGATCAAACTTGTGCCCATAAAGAGCTTCAAACTCAGGCAAAAATCCTTTGCATTTTGGGCTTCTTGTGATTTTTAGTGGTCTCTAAAACCCACTGTCATGACAGAAGCTAGAAGTGTCTGCTAAAGTAGGTAGGTAGGATATAAATTAGGATAGTCTTTACATGTAATTCAATTGAATGTTTCTTTTTCTGCTCAGTTTCATGGAAATAAGCCAAGGCCTCAATTTCTGGCAAACTGAACATGTGGATAAAGTATTATTAGACTTTTTCTTGCTTTCCAATTGATGTTTTCTCTCCTTCTTGAACTATAAATCCCAAAAGAATGGATATAGCAGCAGCTCACTGGCACATATTCCTATAATACCCCCTTCTTCTTCTTGCTGATGAGTTTACCAGAGAACTGGGGGAAAGCAATACAAAAAACACAGGGATGGTAGTGGAGGAGTGCAAATGGGGAAACCGTGAAATGCAGAGGTCAAGAGAGAAGGAGAAGGGAGGCTGTAATGAGAGGAGCTGGAGGGAGAGTGGAGAAGTGAAAGAATGCAAGTCGGAGAAAGAATTTTGATTATAACACGGGGAGTTTGTGGAGACGGTTTAACTTGTTCAGTATGCGTATTTACCGGGGTACTGATTGTTGTCCAGGTCTTGGCCTCCTCTTAGAGTGAATCCAAATCCAGGCAAAATGTCACTGGGAGTCCAGGCAGCTCTCAGCTCTTGGCTCAGCGTTAGTCCTTGTGCGGATACATCTTTGTTACCATTAAAGATCAATACTCTTCCTCCACGCTCCTCACCTCCAAACGGACAGCCCACCGCCACGTCTAAGGGGTGACACGCACACACACACACAAGCATGGTTTAAACATCAGCAGAGCAAAGGTCCCCATGAGACAGAATAAGAGGAAAACATACAGGTAGAAGGAAAAAGAGACGGAAAAGAGCTTGACCTCTTTTTACCTGCACTGTGGGGACCATGACAGCATGGACCTCTTTTCTTTGATTTCCATTAATCATGTAACTCTAACTTTTATAATGAGTATGGATATCATTTATAAAGTAGAGTCTATCGAGGTCCTTAATAAACTGTTTGACATGTCAGGGAAAAGTCTTGTTGACTTGTTTAATGAGGAATATTTGAAGAGACTGCTGTAACTTTCATCATACCCACTGAAGCTGTAGCTAACAGCTGGTTTGTTCCTAAATGGTCGAAACCATGAGGACAGGCTGGCATGAATTCTATCTGAAAGAAAAACTTCTTTCATATATTGTATATATTGATTGCTTAATGTATGCAGTCTCAAGTTTAGGATAACAAGCTGTTTATGGCCAAGGTAGCAGCAACCTGAGGCTAAACACTAGCATGCTAACATGCACAAACCTATTTGCTGTTGTTACCAAAAGTACAAATGTTTTACACAATTTCTGCCCTTTAGGTAAGCTGTAGAAGTGTTGAAGAGTTTGGTTAAGTTGGGTTACATGTATCTCTCTGCTTCCAGTCTTTAAACTAAGCTCATGTCTCCTAGCATGCTAAACCATCTCTCAGAGGTATGATGGTGTCATGGATGATTAAAATCTCGGCAGGAATTGGAAACATCACCAAAAGGACCTCAAAAGTTGCATATAAAACTTTCCCCAACTTGTCATTTATTTATGAATAAATATACAACAATTATAAATTCATTGAAGGAACCTGCTTCATCAGGACTGTGTGGCTGCTGTTTGAAACCCCATATTGCTTTTCCTATTTTGATTAAGCTCTTGGTGTATACAAGTTGAAGTAAAATATTGCATTTGAACCAAAATGGTTTAAGCCTCGCCCAAAATAACCCCGTTATTGATGAGCCTATCCCTCAAAGTAAGATTGCTGAAACTGTGATTGAGAGTGTGTGTTTTGGGCCTGGTAGGAAATTTCCACAGACACACAGGTATGTAGTCGCGGAGTCACAACTCTCTGTGAAAAATGTAAAATCATGTGTTATATTGGCCTTGTCCTGCCTGCTATGCCATTAAACAGCATTTACAGCAATTGAAATAAGGTTTGCTCTAAAAAAAAGGACAAATAATTGATTATAGCTCCTATTTGGTTCACTTCCATTAAATCCCATCAGTGATGCATTAGAGGGGAAAACACATTTCCCCAAAACAGCCTTCGATTCAAATCTCTTTTCCAGACCAGAATGCATGTGATCCAAGATTACTATTGAGCCACGCAGGTGCTTACAACTCGGCTATAAATATTTCCGGGGCCCATTTTTCTTTGGGCTCTACATTGAAGGTTTTAAAATGTGATTCTAGTCAATAATGCAATCCTCGCTTGTTATAGTTATAACATCACACTGAAGGTGCAATTAGTGAACAGATTAACTCTCTACTGACTAGCTATTGTTTCGTGTGCTTATTCATCTTTGTCTTTTTTATGTAATTCAAACAAAGAAGATTATCCCTTTGTACTGAAACAAGCTTATGAGACTGAAATCCTTACACCACATCATACTTTTGTTATTTTTCCTTTCTACCCTCTTAATGTGGACACACTGCACTGTCCTGCACAAAAGTAACCTTCAGTTCTGGAACTGTCCAAACACCTCTAGACATCCTGTTTGTCTCCGGACCCCCTCTCTCTCAGCCTAAACAACTAGCTCCACATGAAGCAGATTGTGGGGTAGGGAGAATAAATGCAACCATGTGTGTATGCAAGTGTATGTATGAGTCTGTGTGTGTGTATATGTGTGTGTGTGCACATTTGTAGGTCTATGTTTGGGTATGTGTACAAAACTTAAGAGCTGTATATGTGGTGGATCTGTCTTGAGAAAATAGAAAAGCCCTCAAATAATGTGAAAGTCACTCATGGGCATTGCTTAACACCTACCCACACAAAGCAGACATTCACAGCAAAATGTGGGAACACCCACAGGGATCACCGAGACCAAAATCTATAGGAGAATGTTTCAGTGGTGGTTGATAGAAGAATTGAAAACAAAACAAGCCACATGGCAAATTGAGTTAGCTAAATTGTGAGTTTTCATCTGACACCCATCAAAGCCACAATGACGACAAAGTATGAGAGCGGCTCTGCTTCAGGAACTCTGAAGAGGAGTGATGAGATCTGATTCGAGGGGAAGGAAGAGGCTCGGCTAAAAGGGATCTGTCAGTGATTCGGCACACATAATCACACAGGGGCACAGGTATACTTAGACGCAGAGGTTTGACATTAGCAAAATGAAGCTGCTGAAAGCCGTGATCACTACCTTTTCATGGTGACTCCATCATGAGCTCGTACTCATTAGATTCACTCTCAACAAGTCATCTCTCTGCATGTCACTGCAACTGGCAAAGAGGCTCCATCTCCTCTGAAGCTCCTCCTCAGAGGTCATCACATCCTGACAGACAGCCTGATTTGATTTACTCTCTTGGCCAAAGAGAGCTTAGGAATTGATCCACTGGTTATTGATCTGATTGTTAAAGGATTTAAAGGCGTGGAACACACATTAACGCTCACTGCCCATGAATAAATAAACCACAAATGAGTGGGATGGATGTCATAGGAGAACCAGATGGACACCTCTTCATTCATATTTTAGGAAGCAGTCAACAGGCCTTAGCTTCAAGGAGCATTTGGGCTGCAGGCTATATTCATATGCGTGTGTGTGTGTGTGTGTTTGTTTGTGTTTTTGTGTGTTTGTGTGTGTCTGTGTCCAATCAATGTGAGGATAAAACAAACACATCGAAGAAGAATGAACTGTGAGTTGCTGGACACAAACTCCCAGATGATTTTATCTCACTGCACATCTGGTGGGTTAAAAATAACCCCAACACATACACACACACACTTACACACACACACACACACACACATGTGGCTTTAACCCTTAACATCACAGAAGGGGAACAAGTTCACAGAGACAACCTTTCATCGCTGCACTTCCTGATTGGCTGAAGAGCTTAGAGTTTCTAAAGTAGTAGCATCTGATAGGATTTCCTCAGTCAAAGACAAAACAATCCGAAAGAGACGGGAAACAGAGAAAGATTTGTCTGTCATCGGGTTTACCTGGAAACACCAGACACATATGAGCAGACAAGAGAAAGGGAAAATCAAACAGCAACTGACACACAAAAAATGAAGGACTTTGACGTGTTTACTTATTCAAATTTTTTCCTCCTTCCTCCTCTCTAATCTGTTTTTGATGCATCTCAATCTCTTTTCCCCATTTAAACCCTCAGTTTGTTTTTCATACCATTGTATCCATCCTGGTTGATGTCTCCCAGGGGCGCAATAGCAGTGCCGAAGCGGCCAAAAGTGTGAGTGCCAGTCAGGGCAACAGGTTCAGTGAAGGTGAGTGGGGCGGTCTGCAGGTACAGGTACACCCTCCCGACCTCTCTAGGTTTACTCTCCATCTCTCTCTCCATGTAGAGGGGCGCTCCGACAAGTACATCATCCATCCTGGGGTTAAAAAAAAAAAAAAAACATAGATTCAACGCTCAGAGGAGGAGGGAGAAAAGATAAGTGCAGCTATCTAAAAATAGAAAAGAGAAGAGTCAACAAACCCATCTCCATTCAGGTCCATGGAAGCCACTGAGTATCCAAAATAGGAAGCCATCTGAAGGACAGAGCAAAAAGGACCTCAACTATTTTCAAGCATAAACAGCATATTGTTACCAGATTTTCATCTAATTTTATTTTCATTCCAATTCAAATTGAATTCACACAAAAATGGAAAAGAATCAATATCAGCTGTGACACAAACACTCTTAAGCTTATAAACAGGCCCAGGGATGTGTTGATGCTCCTACCTGCTCGCCTGTGAAGTTCTGGATGAAAGTCAGATTGGTGGAGTTGATCATAGCCACCTTAAAAAAAAACAAGTAAGACTGTCAGATAAAACAAAGCAAAAACAATAAAACACCAGGCCATGCAAACATGGCCACGCAGTCTAACAGACAGCCACACAAAGAATGCAGGAAAAAAAATAGAAACCGCATAAAAAAAGCTTTTATTGTACCCAAACCCCCTTTTCCTTCCCCCACCATCATCCTCTTGGTGCCTTCACCATTTCCCCCCTCATCTTTCTCTCCTACCCCCCATCCTAACCCCGGTCGCGGGGAGAGATGGAGGGGGAGGCTGAGAATTCCTTCATAAGACCTAAAATAACAACCACATGGAGACAGCCGGGGGCTACACGCTCTTGCACAGCACTCACGCACACACACACACATGTAGGAGGATACACGTTTGTCCAATTGCAGATGTCTCAAAGACAAACTAAATAGGGTTAGACTTACAAACACAGACAGATGAAGATGTGTAAACACAAATATTGCATCTGAGCGCTCTGATGTGTCAGATTGGTCACAGAAGAAACCTGAGCAGAGTACACAACTACCCCAGCGTCCAGGTCTTGAACATGGCCTACCTGCTTCTCTGATAACACACCCCCTAATGTGAGCTACAAGCTCCCTCCTCTGTGCACTGTCTGTACAGGAAGAAGCATTTTGGCACAAGTGACAGCATCCAGACACAAAACACAAATACTGTTTTAATATGTGTGTGTGTGTGTAGTTTGGCAAGTCCTGCGGTTGCACTGCAGGTTAAGGTTAGGGGTCGGGTGTGTGTGGAGAAGGGTTAGTGAGGTTAGGTGGGGTCACCGCCCTCCACATGCAGCGGAAGCTGTGTGTCATTAGGAAGGATTGACACAGACGGCCCTGGGGACACGTTCCCATAAGAGAGCTCACTACAGTTAACACAAAGACACACATACAGTATTTGTCTTTGTCCGGACAGACTCATGTTCGTCTGTACTGACAAGCTGTAAATTAACACAAGAAAACCACATAAAGAAACCTAGAGGACGTCAGCCGGTCAAACACATTCACACGACAGCTTTTTTCCTCTGACGTCACAGAGGGAAGCTCAAACCCTGTCATAACGTTTGAATGCTGTATATCTCAGTTGGTACGTTTCATACATGTAGATTGTGGTCAGAACATAAAGCCATATTTCAGAATCAAACGTATTCATTAGCCCATGAGCTAGCCTACCTTTGCTAATGCTAGCACCAAAGCACTGTCAAGGAAACCTCAAGTTTCTGAAAGTGTAGTGGAGCACTAAACCATCAAAATGATTTTTTTTAATTTGGTGATTTAACATAAGAGCGTGCTGTTGAATAAGTCAGTCGGCCGCTTGTTTGCGGGGGAGCCCTGACGAGTCAATCACCGAGTGCAGCGGAGTTTCGCAGCTCAAGGAAGATCATTTACGATTATTACTTCATGGAAATGCAATCAGAGTTCTTGTGTATCTTGTATGTGTACTGCAGACGCGGTAGTTCTTCTGCCTTAGCGTCTTGGTCTGATTGCATTTCCATGAGGTAATAATCATAAATTTTCCGCTGCACTTGGTGATCGACTCGTCAGGGCTCCCCCACAAACAAGCGGCTGCTGGAGGAGAGTGGGTGAGTTGTGTTTAGTCTCTTTGCTAAAGAAACCAGTCAAAGCAGAAATGATGTCTGGTGGCTAGTACTATGGCTAAGACCCTATATGTACTGTTGATAAAGTTAGGTGCTGTTCTGTGCATTATTTATGGCTACGAACATTTTTTTATTTATTGTGTTTTGCGCATGGAGACGTAGACCGCTATGTACTGCTATTGTTGCTGAAGTTGGTGGAACTAGAGAAACAAGCAGCCGGCAAAATTCATCTCTCGAGGGGGGTGTCTAACTCGGTGTTATGGTGTGTTTGGCCCTAACTGAAGCCGGAATATCCTTTTAATTAGTCAATTATAGATTTTTTTTTATAGATCTCTTCTGATTATCTTTATCTTAAGTTGTTGGCTTGTACTCACATATCCAAAGTTTTGCGCTCCTCTCGGGACTCCTGCTATGAGCTCTGGCAAATGAAAAAAAACAGAGAAACAGTCAGTTCAGTTTGTGTGTCTGTGAGAAAGACTTAAAGAGAAGGAAAAGGTCTCAAGATAGTCTTTACCCCTCAAAACCCTTAAATCCTCCACTCAGCCCACCCTGCCAGAAGCGCCAAGTGTCGTTGAGAACACCCTGGTGGATGGGTGCTCAGACTCTGTTTGCCTATTGATTGATGAGTGTGGCTCTGTTAACTTAAAGAGACGATCTAAGGGTCCCACCCAGCAAGAGAAGACAGATGCCCCCCCACCACCACCCCGCTTTTTCTCTCTTGACACCGCAGCCCTATCCAAAAGACTCAACCGCGAACCCCTGAACCACGACTTCCCAGCTCTATCTTCACTCAGAGCTCACTGTTACGATCATCCTCCAGTCTTAGGACGGTTTGGGGGAACATGACCACAACAAGTTTGCATACCACAACACAGTATATCAACAGGCATGTGAAACCTCTTAATGCTCACTTAAAGAGTCTCTGACATGTGTTGTGCCGGAGGGGGTTCAGGGCCTTTGCGGGGTTGGTATGGGGGTATGTAAACGTCGGGTTGTCCTGTAAAGGTCCCGCTAAATGTTGATTAACAGAGAGGCTTTGATAGACAGGAAATTATGAATGGAAAGCTGTAGTGAGTTTGAAGGAGGAGGGTCTTCTTGCTGTTGAAATGTGTGGCGACACAAAAACTGAAGAGGAAGCAATAAATAAGGTTTGAAAATGGATGCGGCATGACCGACTTAGAGGAAATTTGGTTTTCTTCTAATTTGCTGCGAAGACAGAGCTCTTTTTCTAAGTTTTGCTTTTGTTTCATTTGGACTAAAGTCAAAACTAATGGCATGAGAATAAATGTCAAGAAAGCTACAATGCTGTGATTCTGGAAAGTCACTTAAGTGCAAGATGAAGTCACACTATGAAAAGCAAAATATTTGTGGTGATATAAAAAGTTCCAAAAAGACTAACTCAGTGACACTTGCCCCCTCGACTACAATCTTGTAAAAAATTATGCTGTGTGGCGTGCCTGCCTCTCTTTCCACCAATTATTTTGTATCCAGAGGAGATCCTGGACACAAGTCTAGATCTGAAGAGGTCTGCAGAGTCTGCCACTAATCAGACAAAATAGAGGAGAGGAAATCCCTTTATCAGCAGTTCCTTAAGTCCTGTCCCCTCAGGGTCGCGACCCAGACATACAGAGACAGTTCTCATTACTGCCTCTGAGTTCAGACCAAGACACTGTCACACAGCTGTCCACTCCCCATCGTTCACCGAGCAACCCCCTCCAACAGTGCTACTATCATCCAGCTGGAGAGCATACTGAGAGTACAAACATGCAGCATGTGCTGTGCGGTGCCTCCTGATGTTGTTAGCGAGGGATTCCTCCGGTGCTGCATGTGGTTAGTTGTAATGAGTTGAGTGCTTTCTCACCTTGTTCCGAGTCTCCTGTAAACTCCCCCACAGCCACAGAGTAACCTGGAGAGAAATGGGTTGCACATGATGGCACACGGGTGAGATTAACTCTGCATGGGATGCTCTATGTGATGTATGTAAGGAAACGTATGATGTAATTGAATCAAACTGGTTTTTAACTTGCGTGCATGAGCTTGTTTTTCAAGTGCACATTACCAAGGTAACTGTCGTCATGCGTGTCTTCAGCAGCTCTGGTCTGTTTCTCTCCTGAAACCCGTCTCAACACCGCCTTCAAAGAGTAGCCGTTCAGTATCTCTGCTATCCCTGCTGTCATTACCTGACCTGATAAACAGACAGAGAAAAAACATGCAACCAGGGTGAGAGAGTCACATCTGTCCACAGACAGCCGTGTCCCTCAGGACCACATGAAGGGAGCACAGATGCCTTTGGCTAGCAACCTGCTGCTGAAGCTAAACTGTCTTCTCTACATGAAAAAATGCTCAAAGCTAACATACTTCCAAGCCCTGAGGAAAGCTAAAACACAGCACTGGCAGAGGGATAGCTGGAAAATACCACAAAGTTCCTTTAAAATCCCTCGTGAAAAAAAGTCTGTCTCTCTGTGGCAGGATTCTGAATTATAGGTGAGCACTCGCAAACACCACCCTTCCTCTGCTGTTGAACAAGAGGTCAAACAAACAAATGATTTTATCTACGGTTGCCCTCAACCTTCCATAAATCCTGCTTTATGTGTGTGTGCGTACTCGAGGACTCGGAGGAAAATATGCCCTCTTAACCCTCCCTCTAACTCCTTTTTCACCCCCTCCTTCATCTTCTCCACTCTCAGTTTATCTCCCAGAATAACATATCACTGCATCAACTCATTATTAACCCTCTATCTGATTAATGAGACACCGTGTTACAAAGTGCTACAGCACAAACATAAGTCCTTGCTGTTAATCCCAAGAGTCTTCTACACCCGACGATGACAAGATTGTGTATAAAAACGTCTTTTTTATGATGACTCAGGCTGAAGGCTGAAGATAATCGCAGTATATTAGAGACCATAAAATCTAGGCTGAGTGCTTTTATAAACATTCAGAGGAAGTGTTTTAACTGGAGGCAGCCAGCCTTGCCACGCTGAGGGCACAAAGAGCCAGCAGTCCATTAGGCTGTCTGTAATGCCTGTCTAGTGCGGTCTTGTACACAAAAAGCATTCATTATTTAACCATATGTAACAGCAGCAATGCCAAACAATAACCCCAAATCATACTAAGGTTTTTAAATATCAATCACTGAGCTACTTTTGGTCTTCCTTTTTTCCCCTCCTCTCTCTCTGCGTTTCTCTATTTGAGGCAAATGTGGTGCTGTGGAGTGATGGATGAAGGGCTACAAATAAAAGGAAAGAGAAATTAGTTTCTGCAGCCCAACAGTGCCTATCTCCAGCTGCAGAACTCCTCTCTAAATTTAGAAGACACTCTCTCCCACACACCTGGATCTGGGGGAGTAGCGCTACACTTCAACAGCTGAACTCTGACACACTCCGGCTGTGTCTACACCTATTAGGACACCTCATCCCTCTGCTTGGACTACAACTCTGCATACCCAGCAAGCTATCTGACCCCTCAGCGTTGCTTTCATCAAGCACAAGATCCATCTTTCTTGTTCTTTCTTCTTGTCTTGCTCACTCCCTCTCTTCTTATCCCCCCCTTCCCCACTGGCTGCAGCATGTTTCTGCAGCATGTATCATCTCCTTACCAATCCTCCATCACTCCCGCTGTCCTCCCCGCTCCACTTTTCTCCCTTTATCTAAATTTCCCCCACCTTTTCTCTGTCCTTCTCAGCCCTCCAGCCTCCTCCTTACTCTTAAAAGTTTTTCCAGGCCCCTCTGTGCTTTATCATGGGGCAGAGGGGCAGCGTCTCCACACTCCATTACCCGCTGATCAGCTCATTACAGAGTCCAAATACACACTTCCTGTAACACTATTACACAGAGAAGGCAGAGTGAGGTAAGGGAACTAAGACAGGAAAAACTTGAGGAAAGTGACACGTTTCTTTCCATCTTCTCCTCTGTTAGACTCCTGTTATAAAAATGCAAACTTGGCAAGTGTTTTCTTGCGCGCGCGTGTGTGTAGGTGGGTTGTTCTGACTGTTAAACTCATATTAATTCTTTTCTCTTTATGAAATCACAGGAAAAGAAAGAAAGCAGATTCATGTTTACACACTGTTGTTGCAGTTACCTTGCCAGTAATAGCTCCCAGGTCCTCCTACCACCAGCGTCCCTTCCTGGAATAAATAAAATTAACCCGAGTTAGTCAGTAGACGGTAATTTGTTTGTGAATCTGTGTGTGTGTTCGTGCGGGAAAATGATATATATGTCTAGAGTGTGTATAGCATGTGTGTGTGTGCACGTGTGATTCTTGCTGTCATGTCTGTTGACATCCTGCAGAGAGTGACAGCTTCCTGTACAGAAGGGTAGAGTTGGACCATGAGACAGAGGTCGAAGGTCGCATTGACGATACAGTGTAAGAATGTGTAAATGTGTCTGTGTGTGTTTGGTCTATTGTGTTCAGAGGTGATGGGTCACTTCAGGAGTTGAGGCTCCTCTTGGGACAAACGAGCTCTCATCTTCCCAGAGTCCATAAATCTCTGAAGGGAGACGCTCTGTTTGAGAGGGGACAAGATGTGTGCAGGAGGTCGTCGTGGTAGCTGTGTGGGGTTGTTGCTGTGATTGTTACCTTTGTGAAATCCACACTGAAGCCAGCCTGGCAGAACCCCTGTCCCTCTGGATCTGGATCATCTGAGACCAGCAGAAGAACAAGAGTTATGAATGCCTAAATACTTATGAAAAGACGTGAACTGGAACAACAACAATGCTAAACACTGATGTTGCAGGGAACATTATTTCTATCAGACAAAACAACTTCACTACTCCTTATACATTTGACATAAAAACACCAAATAATGTATGTGAACATTGTAAATTGTTCTTGATTTCGGAGGCACCCTGAGGTGAAGCTTAATGATGCAGAACTACACACGTACATGTATAAACAAAGGCTTGAGTTATAGTAGTACTCAGGCTGCTTGTAGATTCATGTTAAGATGAAACAGAAAAAGCTGCTGGAGGCCAAAAAATATAGACTCAGACACGGAACGAAGAAATATTGCTCCTGCCTTGAGAATGCTGAAGCATTATTCAGCTCTTGAGAACAGCTGAGGTTACAGTATTCCAGTCTAGATGAGTCCGAACTGTCATAAACAACAAAATAAAAGACCTTCAACAGCCTTCAAGTAGACACTAAGGGAACTGTGTGCGTGTGCGTCAGTGTGAATGGTGCACAAGTTTGAGCTGCTGTTTACGATGTGTCGCCTGACAGGCTGTTTACACCTCTGAGAAATTAATCATCAGGCAAATATAGTGGAAGTGAACAGGTTTTTTTTTTAAACAAAATAACCTTTCTACATCACTGAAAATTCACGCTGGTAAGATTTTCCTTTTGAAGTTTCCTCTAATAATATTCTGACTTCCCAAAAAGAGGACATGACTATGTAGTAGCGGAGTCACGGAGTCGTTGATTTTGAGTTTTTCGGGTCGGATTGAGTGTCTTTTACGCACTTCTAACTCACTAAGTTCACGAGACACAAAATCAAAACTTGCGGACAAAATCGAGGATATTTGAAGGATTTTATAACCCCCTTGACAAACCTGGACAGCCCCCCAAAAAGAGGACATGTCTGGGTAAAAGAGGACGTATGGTCACCCTAACTAATACTGTTCATGGGGATGTTGGTGGATTATTCTGGATAACAGGTGATGCCACAAAAATAGTCAATCCAGACTGTTATAGGTTTGAATCTCTCAGATAAATACTGTACCATATAAAACTTTGAAACACGGAGCCTTTAATCCCTCATTTCAAAAATAAGTAAGACTGGCCCTTTAACTGTGTCACACTAGCGGGGGATCAAGATTGTTTAAATGTTTTTACTTTAAGAGGAGAGTAAATGAAAGGAAAAGAAGAGAGGATAGGAAGTAGTTAAAGGAAGATGGAGACAGCTGGATTTGGTGCTGCAGAGTGACTCACTGGTCCTGCAGGGTGAGTACTCTGCGTAGGCGCTGAAGTTCTGGACGGCCACATAGCAGGTCCCAACGGGGTCCTTCTCCCCACTTATCTTCACCGTTCGCCAGTGATAGAGAGGAGCACATGCCTACACAACAAATAATTCAACCTGAATCCTTTTTGTTGAATACAAAGTCTTAATAATTGTACTCAAAACCGAAATGTGTGTGTAACTTTAAGTTTTCAAGCATGCTCAGGATGGAAAAGTGTTGTATATTGACTGGGACCATTTCCACTCACCACCACTTTTCCTTTGTGTGACCTGACTGATGCTCCAAACCACTGGTGTGACTTAAACTCCAGAGGCTCTCTGGTTTTGTTTACCTTTATCATTCTGTTATCTAAGGAGAGACAGAGGTATAGAAAAAAGAGAGACACATGGGAAAAGAAAAACATAAAAGAGAGAATAAATAACATTCAAGTGCCAATATATTTGACACAGACTCTTGTAATGTGTGTCCAGGTCTGTAACTCTGTCTGAACGAATGGAGGACATTTGTCGTTGATAAGTAGGAACAAACAGCGGCGTCTGAAATCAGGCCATAACGCACATCAAAACACCATTTGCCCCCCAGAAACAGACATTTGTCAGGATGCTGGGGGCTTTTTTTTTTCCGTCAAAGCCTTTCCCATAAAACCTTACAACACTTAAGAGACTTGCAGTAAAGGGGCCTCAGCAAACACACAAACACACACACACACACACACAAACTGACACACGCACATACACGAACACACTTATTATAAGCATTTCCCGGCTCTCTTCTAATAAAGTGTCAGTTCTGGTGTGAGCGTCTCATGTGTTCATGTGTGCCTGTGTGCACTGTTGTGGATATTTCCCAGTTTTATTTAACACCAGCTGGGTCTTTTCAGAGCGATGCAGACCCTTCACATTAAACACTTTCATTTAGCACATGCACATGCCATACAGACAGATGAGGAACTCATTAGGTTTTTTTTTTTTGCCTAATAAAGTTTTTATTGTTTTCATCATCTCTGTGGGGGGTTGTTATAACGATGATTAGTGTTTTAGTTAATTCCAAACTTACTTCTTGTTAACATTCAATTTACATGTTATATGTTAAATCCTAATTACATCTTACGAATATGTTTGCATGCTGTTTTTTTTTTCCAACCTTAGGTAGGGGGACAAGTGTCATGTGGAAGCCAGTATTAAAATCAAATAAGTGAGGATTTAGCCACTTTGACAGGAAGAAAAAGAAATGTTAGGTCATTATTTTAAGAAAATGAGTCATACTGATGAGATTAAAAGCTAAAAATTCAACATCATGAGAAAAAAGTAAATGTTATGAGAGTAAAAATGGGAAATTATGGAAAAAGGAGTAAAAACTATGAGATAAAAAGACAAAATTGTGCGATCAAAATTTGAAATCCCACATTAAGAAACTCTAATAATCAAAATCAATCAAATGCGAAGTTCATACTCTTCTGTAATGGGAGTGTTTTATCTCATTATGTCAACATTTTATCCAATAGTTTGTCTTATAACTTTTTTCCCCTCATGGTTACAGGATAAAAAGTCATAATAATGAATGAACTTGGGGGATTTTGTTTCACATCTTGATCATCAGATTAGTTTCTCTGAGGTCACAGCAGACAGCTGACTTGCTACACACGTGTATTTTATATAATATTCAATTACTTTGATGTGAAACTGTCACCTTATCAACCAATGTTGCACCCCCCCACTACTCTGGCATGACTCAACACATCTGCAGAATGTCAGCCACATGCAGATACCTGGGGGCATGTGAAGCTCACATATGGATATTAACCACTAATGGTACACACAAGTGCTGATATTTTGAACAGTGTGCAAAATAGTGTGTGTATGTGTGTCTTTGTCTTGTGTATACTCACAATAGAGAGCCTTTTATAACTACAGAAATATTTACTGCAGCTGACTCTGCCTGGACTGCACTGAAAGGACCAGACACACATGTGACTGCAGAGTTGCACGAAACCTTCCAGTAGCACAGGAAATAATTCAGCATCCTCATCAAGGAACTCTCTCTGATGTCTTTGCCGACATCATAATTTAACTCTGTTAGCTTTTACAGTCTGTATAATCTAAAAGCATCAGCTGATCCGTTTCTTTCATGCAATATATTTCCTGCTCAAAGACGCAACCTCTTCTGGTTAAGCAGCTGACTAGCACCACCCAATCACTCATCTGGACACAGTGGTGTATGAAACATGACAGTACCCACCAAATGTTCTTCTAGCCACAAATAAATTTCTCTTTTTGCACATCTCTTCTTTTTAAATTGAGCTTTTGATATTCTGCTGTAATTGAATTTCACATATGACCAAGAACTAATCCTAGCGGGCGCGATTCAGAGAAAGCATCCAACAGGATACTTGTTGCAGCTGTGGTTCTGCAAGAACTGCCCTCAAAGAGCACAACCACCTCCATCCTCCAACAAAGTAAATCTTGCAAAGAAAGGTCATCCTCTCAAGATGATAGAAGACCTAACTAAAAAGAGGAAAGGAGAGAGACGAATGGGCTGAATAGACTGATGGAGAGGGAGAACGAGAGACAAGGGAGGAGAAACGAGACAGGGATAAATTTCAAGATCTAATAAAAAGCAGACCTCACCCAATCCCCTTTCTTCCGAAGGGGAGCTAAATTCCCATGTGCATACAGTTTACCCCCCTTCACTCTCTCTCTCTCTCTCTCTCTCACACTCACTTCCCCTCTTAACATGCACTTCTCAGATGGAAAAGCGAGCATCAGAGATATTAGACCCAGAAACAAAGGCTGATTGGACTGTGAACCTTGATGATAATCGGTTTAATACCATAATCAACATGAAGCAAACTTGCACCCTCCAACTTGCCAGCTTCCTTCTTTAGTCAGTTGAAGCTGATGAGACCCATATGTCTTATCTCTTTTTCATGCAACAGTATGTGCCAAGTCATGTGTGCACACATTCCAGATGCACAGGTTACCAAACTCCAGTCTGACATCTGGGGCCACCTTCACTTGGATCTCAGTGAAACAAACGCTTGTTAAATCTCACTTTATCAAAAAATCTCCTCATGAAACGATCACTCTGAGTAAATGTATCACAGTCTGTTCAAACAGTTAGGTTTCCCCTTCCCAAGTCCTGTAACAGAAGTCTATTGGACACACTTACACCCAGCTGGGCCCCCAGGAGGTCTGGCATACATTTATTTTTATTAATTACATGAGAAATGTTCATATATATCTTTCAGGTAACTCACTGGAATTGTCAAAAGGGATCTGTCTGCAGCTGTCAGGGAGACCCGGCCAAGGGCAGTAGTAGACGGACCCTGCCTCCACAACACCAGGCTGGGAGGTGTTTGCCTTGGGAGCCCCAACCAACACACTGAACCTGGAGAGGGAGATGGAGAGAGAAAGAGGTGCATGCAAAAAGGTACACTGGAGAGTCTACGCACTGTTTAATTTAACCATCCACCTCACTTTCCTGTCAAGTATATCTCACTTAAACTGCAGCCTCAGATATGATAGAGTCATGTTTCTCCTCAGATAATTTGATCTAAATTCTGCTATTTTCCATTAAAGTATCCTGGTGAAAATGAATTATATCTTTTCATGCATCCAATTTGGATCATAACTCCTCTAGAGCCCTGCAAGATGGAACAACTTCAGTCCTGGTGTTGCCACTCACGTGTTGCTGTCGCTGGTTGCTTGATAGAAGTCCACAGAATACCCAAAGTAACTTCCACGGGGTCCCGTATAAACCGTGGGATGCTCTGCGTACAGGTTAAAACTCCAAACTCCATTCAAAGCCGGACACAGCACCGACAGCAGCCCGAGAATGAACATCCCCGCGGAGGAAACACAGTCCCATGCGCGCTCCATCCCCGAAGAACAGCCAGCTGCGCACAAGTTTCGAAAAATGAGAGGGAACTGGGACATAAAGGGGGGAAAGAGAGGGAGAGGAGGAGAGAGAGAAGGGGGGAGAGGGAGGAAGAAAAACTAAGAGAGTTCCCTCCGTGCAGGTGAGGTAGGTTTCTCCCGGGTTAAGTCCCTTGACTGACTGTCACTGGATCACTGCGCTCTCCCCAAACTGCCTCCTGACACCCTGAAAGCACCAGGTCTGCTTTGAGCCTCAGCTTAAAGTCTGCACAGCCGCGCCCCCGCCCATTCTGCTCAAAAGTTTACCCCCTACCCACACACACACATACACAGTCACACACACATTACAAGGCACAGACAGACCACATCTGAGCGCGCTGCACGACCGGCCAGCGCGTCACCACTCCTTTTAAGGCACAAATATATTCCCTGTAGCGAATTGAGGGCTTCACCCTGCAAAAATAAATAACAGTGAAGTAAAATTTACTACCACTTTCTCACATCAATCAAGTACTGCGCATGCACAGGTACGCGCAGACGCACAGATTAGTAGTCCATAAATTTAACCACTTTATTCTCTTACCGGCCACTTCGTTCAAGTACACTGTTAAGACAGGGCAGTGTTTCCTTCCGTTGAGAATAATCTCTTGTAATTATGTGCGTAATTATTATGTCGACTTACTCCAGAAATCTCTGGAGCTCTGCGCGTTCGGGAAGTTTGGCCGCGCGCGCCGTTTCACTCAACACTAGGCAATTTTTCTCCATAAACCTCAGAGGTAACATATTCCGCTCTTGCTGAAAATAATATCCGTCAATAAAATAAAAAGTTTGAAATGTGACAGGCTAGACCATGTTAGATTTTGTTTATTTAGCTTAGTTTAGCGTACTCCTGAGCCTCTTAATGGCTGTGCGCAAGAGAGAGTTGGATGTATGGCACTCACTTCTAGGAAAAAAACTCAATCCTCTGTTTACTTTTAAGGAAGTTTGTTCTAATCAAACTTAACTTTATGGGCAAATTAACAATACATTAAACTCCACAGAACTGCCTGGTAGTGTTGTAAAACGGTCCTGGAGTGTGTTTCCTGTCAGGGGAGTTTATAAGAAGCAGGTGAAGGTGAGGTAAAAGAGTGTGAGTGAAAACTGAAAACCTTGACCTGCCAGATGGAGAAGTTTCTCACCTCCACAGCCCTTCCTGCTCTGCCCTCCCACTCTAACACGTTTCTTTCCATCACTCTGTTCCATTCATGCCTCTCCTGCTTTATTGTCATTTTGAATGGGTCAGATAGTTCACCTTAAGGCATCTTTTCCTTTTGTGCAAGACTGAAGACTGGAAGAAAGAAGAGTGTAAAAGTGGGGAGTCTGTTCTTTCTCAGCTGCTTCGATATAAATCTGTGATGAACGGAGGAAAAAATCCTTGAAAACACATGCGCAAGAGAGACAGATGTGTTCCCTCAATTGGTGAAAAAAGAAAGATGGTGAGTGTGATGGAGTGAGGAGACACATTCCTGTTCTCCTGCCCCACTTGGCTTTCGTTTGTTTGTGTTATGACGCCAGGTTACTTGAATTTTAATACAGTCTCACTTTCTCTGCTGTTTTACATCCAACCAAACACTCGCATCTCTGGAAGCACGTACATTCACCCACATAATGTTTGCGAGAAGTCACTCTAATCTGCAAGTATTATCTGTTCCCAGATTTAGTTTATTATGAGTTGATTATTGGACATACTGTATCCATGTTCTCCTGCTCTCTGTACACACTTATTATCAGACCCTGTTGTGTCAGATTAGGCCCACATCCTTTCTGCATTAGACTAATCCATTAGACACACACCCAGCCAATATTACAACTCTCCTGTGTACAGATGCAAACAGGAGCACAAATGCAGAGACCCTGAGTTAAGAACCCTGGGTCTTAACAAGTACTTTGATGGTATAAAGAGCTGTTTGTTCAACGCTTGACTCGAAGGATGAGTAAATTAGACAAGAAGCAGTTGGAACAAGCCGCACATGCCACTCTCAAGGGTTGGGTGTGTGTCTTCTTCTTCGGGGGAGTTTTAAGACGAGGAACCCGTAACATGAGGAACGCTTTGTGTTTACAGAGACATACTTAAGTGAGCATCAGTGTCCTGGAGATTTAGAGAATTACTGACTTTAAGTCTCTGGGGACAGAAACACGAGTTGGTTTGTGATTTAGTGACGAGTGGGATCCAGACAGACCTTGGACATCCTGAAACCTGAGGTAGTTTCATGTCAGGGTCGGGATGTTATTTATGAGGAAAAAACTCACACAAAGTAGGACATGTATGATTTTAAATCTGCCAAGCAGCACAGCATTTCAACAAAAAAGTGTTTATTCCAGAGCCTTTCAGTGTGAGAATAAATACATGAGCATTTACCCAACTTCCCAATGTGGTGCACAAAGCACGCACACACATAAAGAGCGCCATTACCAACTGTAAATCCTTCTTTTCACATCTTCAGCTCTCTGTGCGTTGTGTTGGTCCCTTTACGCTGTAAACACTTAGCAGTGTGTGTGTATGTGTGTGTGAAAGGATGTGTTTTAGTCTGTGTTCTTGTATGTGGAAGGCTTTGGTAGGTTTTCCCTCAAACAGTCCTATAGCTGGATTAAAAGAAGTGTTTCACAGTCGACTGGCTGTACATGTGGTTAATACTCGAGACGCTGAACCAAACCAGTTTTGCTCTCTTAACAGTGTCTTTTTCAGCTGTCTGCCGCCTAACTGTAGCAGAGCAGTCAGGATGGAGCCGAGCTGTGAAATTAAACAGTCATGTTCAGCTTTTTTGTCTTTAAATAGTCATCATCAACATCCTGTGTGTCGTTTACAAGCTGTAGTGATGGAATGTGTGAGCGAGGATGACAGAATGGATCTCAGGCATTAAAGTTTAGTCTGTAAATGTGTTTGTTCCAGTCTCTCGTGTGCGTTTGTGTTTTTCTCTTTGTCGTACGTGTGTCAGTTGTTGCATTCTGCTGACCTTACAGGGTCAGTGTGCAGATAGGAAGCTGGAGAGAAGAAGTGTGTCAGTGTGGAGTAGAAGTGGTCCATCCACATCCACAGACACACACACAAAGACTGTGTTAGTACTAATTCAGTGACGGGGAGCGGTCGGTGGTCCACAGCAGCTCGATGTAGGGCCACTTGGTCTGTAGGCAGCGTTTAACAGGAGTGTCGTCCGTCCGCACCATCGGGTCCTCAAAACCTAGCACCAAAGCTGTTCCTTCTACATATTCCACCTGAGAACACACAGACACAGGTTGATATACAGTTCATTCAGGGTTTCCCAGATGCTAATAATACAATTTCTTCCATGTATGACAGATTTCAACTCTTTCAAACAAGTCTTTTGAAACCATCTGGACAGATGTGCAAGAGATGTGTGCAAGTAAATAACATACACAAGTAGGGGTGTCCCGATACGATATTGATATCAGATATTGGTCCGATATCAGCAAAAAAAAACCAACCAAATATCGGGTTATATTGGCCTGCATCTAAAATCTCTGATATCAGCACTCCAATACAAGCAGTCCATTCCAGACTCTGCTCTGGCACCTCTATCCAGCAGCGCCCTGATCCAGCAAGCTGAACATACAAAATCACAACAACAGTGTGTACTAAGGTACTAACAAAGAAGCAAGGAGTAGGAGTGGTGTTGGCCTTGTGGCAGTATTTTTTTTTAAGTCTGAAAAAGACATTGCAGCTGAGTGAAAAACTTGTCATGCACAATTTTTTGCCAATACCGGATCAATATTTGTATCTGTCAATATCGAAGGCTGCAATATTGGTATCTTATCGGAAGTCAAAAAGTTGTATCGGGACACCCCTATACACAAGTGTGCTTAGCCTATATACCAGCTTCAGAGACATGTAGACTGCAGGTCTGCTTTTCCCATCTGGAGTTGTGGGAATGGAAATGCCATCACAACCTTACAGGCAGCCATGTGCATGTGTGTATGCACTATGTGTGTGCTTTTTTGTGTGGGCACACATGTGGTACCATTCCTGCTCTTTCAGGTAACGCTGTGGAAAACCGCTCCTTCCCAGACGAGACATAATTGACAGATGAAGAAAGTGATATTCCTGAGTAGCAGATTTTCGCCACTGACTACTTCCAGTGACAATCATCCATCACTCTAAGCCTGCTTAATAGGCCTGTGTTTGACCATTTATCACCACTAGGCTGCTGACAGTGGCCTCTGTGTTGAAACCACTTGGAGAAATAGGAGGCTAAGCCAGAGGTTTTTGGATGGATGGACATGCTATTAGGCTCGCAATAGCTACTGTTTATTCTGGAGTGGCCCGCCGAATGTGTGTGTCTATGTGAGAGTGTGAAAGAGTGATGGCAGGAAAAGAAAAGAAGTAATAAGCAGAAGGACAGGGGGACTATGAAAAGGAACCACCGTCGTTAAAAAACCTGCACATGAAAAGTATCTTACCCTCTCGTTGTGGTTGGACTGTTTTAGCCCGTTGTAGTGGTAGATGGGAAATGAGTCTGGGATTCCTGAGTCCTAAAAAACAAGCAGGGAGGGGAGTGAAAACATGCACCGCTGTTCCAGAGTCTAAGGGAAAAGAAACGGAGGTAAAGACCCTCAGAGGCAGAACATTTTTGAGCTCAAACCAACACCTATCAGCCTACAACCAAAGCTTTGTGTAAAAATCAGACATGCTCAAAGTTAAAGATGTGTGAGTGTTTAACAGAGAGCTGAAACCCAACTCCAATTATTAAGAAACAGCCAACACTACTAAAAAGCCGCCCCAAGAATGACATTGAGCCAAAACACTTCCTATGGCTTTGGTTTAAAGGTGCAGAATGCTAATAGGGTGTGTTGTCTGCAAGGGTGTCCAGCTTCTCGTGTTTATGTGCTGATAGATGAAACCCTAACCCTAACCCCGATCCCACGTGTGTCTGAGTGTGTGTGTGTCCAGTTGGCTAATGGTTGTATAATTTCTCTGCGGCTCAGGACCATTCCTCTACTGAGTCCCTAAAGCCCTGATCACTTTAACACAGTTCCTCTCTATCTCTCTCCCTCTCTTGTCTTCCTCGCTCGCCCTGCCTAATAATAAAGGGCTCCTTACCGCTCTCTCTGAGCTTCTCGGCAAAGCAGCGTCAGATGATAGTGAACACACACGCATACAGATTCACATGAGACACCACAGGAATGTTTCTGGCATTAAAAACTCAATTGACTAAAACGGTGCTGCACACATGCTGGAAATAGACATCAGTGCCACTCATAGTGTCCGTGGTCTCTAAGTGGGATACTGTCAGAAACAAACTCTTTGAGAATCATAAAAGTGGAGGTGGCTACTTCTGCACACTTTGACACACATACCTGATCAGGAAAAAACTCCAGCAGGAATGGACCCAGGAGAATTATGCCCAAACTCTCAGGATCCAGCTTACTTTTCACCAGACTGACACTGAGAAGACGCAGACGCAGAAACAGAGATAGTAAGGAAGTAGATAAAAAAGTCAGTCGAGGAAACCAGATCCAAAATCCACAGAGAGAAATACAAGAAAGAAAGAAAAGATGAGAAAGAGAGAAACATGCAGGTCAAAAATGAGAAAGAGGGGGCTCTGAGGAGGCTTTCGATCAAGTCAAGATATGCTGAATGGGATTTTTGGTGCATGAAACCAGAGTCAAATTTACAACCACCTTATCGCCTAGTCTGAACTTATGGTGTGTGTTTTGGTGAGTGCGTGCATGTTTTCATGAATACCAGAGTCCAACTAAATATACCTCTTTCCAGACATTCCTACATGTTAGATCAGTGTTATCATAATTCTACCACGATAAAAAAAAAATCTGGTTAGATTGCCTTAAAAGGGCAATCGGACCAAGCAAGGAGGGAAACAAGGTTCATACCAAGACTCGGTGGAATTATTGTTTCTTCATCTGAGGATTTGTACGAGTAGCCTGTAGCGGTAGCAGCAGGGTGGCGCACAGAGCTGACAGTCAGCCTGCTTAAGTGAAATTAAGCAACAATCTGAATCCCTTAAAGAGACAGAGAGCAAATCCTCTGCTTTCTTTGTAGACAGTTAGAGAAAGGCACCAATTGTTTTGTTCAAATCTTTATGGTTGTGATCTGTTGGTGAGGTTAATGCAGGTTTAGCACTAAAAGCACTGGAAGACAACAGAACCTCATCTTTTCAAAATGGACTGAATGATGATGGAGGAACATTTTTCCATTAAAACACCACAAATACTGTTTCAATCAGTCTACCTGTACTGTCCATGAGGTCTGTCTGAACAGGCTTGAGTTATTTCTAAGCATTAAAAGCCATTTCTTTTTTTTTCTCCAAGGTGGAATCCCTGTAATAACTCTCTCATTGTGTGGTAAGGAATGAGGCTCACTTGTTTGTTCTGGGACATTTCCCACAGGTTTGCTGTGTTGTGTTGTGATGTATCTGCCATCTGGGGATCTGCAGAGCAGATCAGTGGTCCAGTTACTCGGCCAGGCCCGAGCTGCAGCGTTTGGGCTTATTGTTTCTCCGAAGAGAACGTGCTTCTGTTTGAAGCGGCACTTTAAAGCGTTTCCTCCCTCTCTCACTCTTTCTTCCTGCTGTTAATGATCTCCCTCTAAGCCTCTGTTTTCTGGATTTCTCTCTTTCTTTCATTCTTTCTCCCTCGGCTTTTATAGCGGGTTAGCTCTGGTCTTGCTTTATAGTAGCCTGGCAGTGAAACCTGAGCGCAGGGCCGCTGACCTGGCCTGGCCGTGACTTAGGAGTGAGAACTTTAGAAGCACTACAGGTGCTGCTCTCACACACACACACACACACACACACACACACACACACACACACACACACACACACACACACACACACACACACACACACACACAGAAATACAAACACAAAGATTCGAACATGCAAGCACTTACTACTCGGGCTCTGAGACAAGGTCAAGGGCTTTCATCACATCCTCTAGCAGAGACTCTGCGATGAAGCCATTATCTGAAAAGAGAGAGAGAGAGAGAGAGAGAGAGAGAGAGAGAGAGAGAGAGAGAGAGAGAGAGGGAGAGAGACTGAAGGACTGGCTGACACTGGACAGAACATAAAATACAGGCTTCAGCTGAAAACGAGGGGAAACCTTCACCTACGCACATGTGGCACGAGCAATATTTACATCACACGCCCTGGGGAATGAGCTCATCTCACACAACTCCAAAAGAAACTTTAAAACCACACACAGATACACACACGCTCACAAACACCTTGTCCTGTCTCTCTGACCTACATTCCATGGCAGTGATGATTGCTTTACCTGAGATGGAGAAGCTTTAAACGCTAACACGTGTTTTTACCCCTAAAAGATTATGTCTGTGTGTGTGTCCGGGCTCTTTGGTTTTGTCTCACTTAAACATCAGCATGTGTTCCTGTGTGGCCTGTTGTTTAGATACACGCTCGAACCCCTTGTGTGTTGTGGAGATCAGCCGAATGCTCGTCTGCTCTGAAGCGGCTCGATCTTTTTCAGTGCCAGATGCTATCCTTTCAAAGTGACAACTGAGAGTTTTACAGCGAAGACGCAGACAAACACACACACACACACACACGCGCTCTGCACAAGGACAATGACAAACACCAAATATTGAAGAACAATGTGAGACCGTGGGCTGCTGTGTGTTTGTCTGGTGAGTCAGTGCAGTGTGTGTGAATGTGTCTGGCGCCCTTATTCCACAACACAGGGAGCTGTGCTGACTCTACATATGACACAGACAGATTTATGGCCTTTTTACACAGCACTCAACAGTGCTGCTGGCTTTGGCATGTGTGTATACACTGCAGAGTGTGAATATGGACGCACAAAGGACATCCTCTATACGTGGACCTTTAAGTAAGTGTGTTTGTGTACGTTGAAAAGACCATATGGCTGACAGAATGTTGTAGCAGGATTCGAGAATGTGTGGCGTTCGGTGCGTCAGGAACAACAGATGAAAACAAGACAAAAAAAGAAATACGGTTAAATTAACATACAGTATTTTCCATTCATGTAGCTCGCCCATGCCGGGGCGATTAATCTTACCATCAAATCTTATTGCACAACATCTGAAGATCTGCACAGATAAAAAAAACATGTCCCTACAAGCTAGATTCAAAGAAATAATGTTAACTGAAAGAGAGAGAGAGCAGCAGCTTTCATTTAAGAAACATGTTATGAGTGATTTCGTCTGATACTCAGCTGAGGTCTCCTGCAACATGGATAACTGAGAGTGTGCATGCTCTTGTCATTAATGGCTTCCCTCTTCCTTTTCTCTCGTCTCCACACCACAACAAAACACAACAGATGCCGCAATGAAATGTTTTATTTCAACTGTCTTCCCATCTGTGTAAGCGTTTAATGAACACACACACAAACATTTAGGGCTTTAATCTGGAGTTGACAGAAATGATCTCGAAGACTTCCTGCAAGTCTGACAGGAGTACTGTCTTCTTTTAAAGTGATTACTGTCACTGTGCCTCTCTCTCCAGCTGCGTTTACATGGGCACGAATAATTGGAATAAAAGCCAGATCGGAATAAAACGCGTCATGTAAACATGTGATCAGAAGATTCTGATCCAATTCGGCTCAATCGGAAAGAAATTGTATTTCGATCAAGAAGGGTGGTTTATGCCGATTGTTAATCCGAAACACGTCCATGTTAACACTTATTCCGATCGTGACTCTCTTACCTGACTCGATCTTCACTCTTTAGCCTTTGGCTTAGTTATTGAGGCCAGTAGATGAGGTTTCATTATTAACATTCTGGCATAAAACACAACCGCGGGTGCCATTGTGTCTGCTCCTCCAATAACATAACAAGGCGTACATACAGCGTAATGATGTCACACCTGCGCACACAGTGCAATCTTTGACAGAACAGTAAAGTAAGTACGCGAGGGCGCCATCTAGTGACAACATTTAACAGGGGGAAAACTCCTGAGTTGGATGGAGTGAGCCACTACCACGTTTGTTGGTTTGTTGACCGCACAGATGTAAATAAAACCCTTCTTCCGCGGTTGTTGTAATGAAATCAAACAACTCTGCGCATGTTCAAATGCCTCTAATCGGAATAAGGCTTGATGCATGTAAACGCACGTCATGATTGGATTTTGCACCTGTATAGACAGTGGATTCAGATAATTCGATCGCTCAAATTTTTAATCCGATCAAGAAATGTTGCCCATGTAAACATGGCTTCTGTATCCTTCCACTTGCCTTTTACCCCACTCACCTGGAAAGGACTAGAAAGATTTAGTGAAATAAGGAAGGGCGGGAAGGAGAGTGATAGTTGACTCAGCTGTAAGAGGAGCTGATCTCACCAACTTAAACAACAACAGAGAAGATGAGAGAGGAGAAAACAGACGCTAGATCTGCCTGCAGAAGAAAATAATGGAGGCATGAGAGAGGAATCTGAGAGGGAAGAGGAGGTTATGAATGTGTGTGTTTGAGCAGGAAGACAGAAAAAAAAAAACAACAGCCCCGGATATTGTTCTCTGTGTGTGTATTTTTGTGTCAAAGTGAGACTTTAGGTACATCTGTGTGCCAGGACGTTCATGAACCTGCTCTAATAATGAGTACATTTAGTATGAAGTTCTTTGAAAACAGGTGTGAGGGGGTGAGACATGACGAATTAGCAACCCAACAAACATGTATACCTCATACAAGACAAGAACTCAGTGGTCTGACTCCTTACCTTCTGGATCAAATGACTGGAAGACCCTTCTTGCCTGTTCAGATGGAGATTCTGGACCCACAAGGGACATCTCCTACAGGGAGAAAACGATGGAGGAGAAACAAACAAAAGACAAAAAGGAACAAACAAAAGACAAAAAGGTGAGAAGTTGTGCAAAATAACATGAAGAAGTTTGACCTAAATGTGACCACACAAACAGTATCTCCATGATTAAAGCGAGGATACAGGGAGTGTTACAGTGAGACAGTGAGCAGATGGATAGATCAGGGAGGAGAGGAGGAAGAATTAGATCACATTATGAGGGGATGTGTTTTCATCAGTGCTGAAACATGAGACCAGCTGAGTGTGGCGCGGAGCAGCGATCATCTTGATCTACTGACACTCTTTGATTGTTTCTGACATGGTTTAGCAGGACTAATGTACCACCCATCACTGTGAAGCTACGAAGTCTGCAAACAAGGCGGAACCATCCATTGTAGCAGTGTGTGTGATGCACTGCATGAGTACAGTGTGCATGAATGTGTGTGTGACTTGTGAAATCAAGGGGATGGGGTGGGGGTGCAATCAACAGGACCCGCTTGGTTATTAACTGATCTGTTGATAAAGTCAGACTGCTTGTTTTCACTCCAAACACACAATCAGGAAATCGAGCCTTACACATATAGCACTTGATTTATGAGAGGCTGTACAGTGTTTGTTTGTCGGTTAAGTTTAGACAGAGATGTGTTTGCAGGGGGATCAGAAATGAAGGGGAGTATGTATGCATGGACAGGGAGCACCAACCCCTTTGGGCTGGAGTGAACGCTGATTAAATGAACGGCCCGTACTTCAGGCCTCAGAGTACTTCAAACAAAGCGCCTGTGAGATCATCCTGCAGCGTATGAAACCTCCTCTGCTCACATTTATCCAATTTTGGAATAACTCTCCTAAGTGCAGCATCTCTTTCTCACGCTCTAGTTTTGTATTTGTCTACTTCTGTCACTTTTCAAATATGCATCTGCAGCTTCCCCGGTGGGACATATAGTGCACTAAAGAAATTGAGAAAATATGATGACACATTATCAGAGTGGCAGTATGACACAGCCAGAACATCCCCTTGTCTCTGAGCTCTGTATTAGAGCAAGTTTAACATTTTCTCTTCAGCTGTTCCTCAGCTATTGTTGAGTTTGTTTTCAGTGCAATGACCCCTACAGACCCAGAACTCTGGAGCTATTAGGGTCTGCCAAGCCCCTACCCTGGAAAACTATCAGATTTAGATTAGCAACACTCTACGCAAAGTTAAGTTTCAGCAAATGAAGAATAACTTTGGGCTTCAAGAAGAATTCCTCAAACAGAGGATAAAAATACAACGCTTCACAAAAATGTGGCTTTTCATCCGTCTCTATCGCACACAAACAAACTCATGCAGAGTGTGCAAACGACAGCCGGCCTGTTCTCGCTCTTTTCCCTCACAAGTGAAGGAGGGGGTGTATTTATGACAACAAAGCATTCTACAAATACTCTGTGTTTTTTTGAAAGCAATTGAACCCTGCTCATCTTCTGTAGCTGTCCTTTATTAAAAGCTTGAGCCTCAGATCTGTGCAGGCTGCTAGGATTTCATAGTCCACTTACGAGTCTGTATTCAAGCTTTTTCAGGGCGAGAGAGGGAGAGAGACTGAGGGAGAGAGAGAGAGAGAGAGGGGTTCAGAGGAACACAACAAGCAGAGATGACTCCCAGCTGCTGACTCCTCAGCTGCAAAGGAAAACATGCTAAGACCGGTGAACATTCGCTCTCACACTGCTCTGTCACATGAAGTATCACAGGGTCCTGGTGTGCTAACATCACAGGCTCCATAAATCTGACCGTGGATTTGTCAAAAGCATGATATGTCAGTGTTGCACTTTCAGGGGTGGAAAAGGGTCATTTTGTTGTCCCAGGAGGAGTGAAGTGCTGAAAAAGCTCCTTCACAGCCAACTGCGTGTAAAAAAATCAATGTTTGTGTTGGATGACATGAGTTATCTGTCTTGGAACTTTAACTCTACTTATATTACACCAAGAAAACTGTAGACACCAACAAAGAAAGCATATCTCTTTCCAAAGTGATGAAAAACTCAATCGACCTCAGGCTCAAATATAAAACCCTTTAAATCCGATGAGCCTTGTTAAACCGTGAGCGGCTTACACTATTTATCGTCTTCAGGAGCCGTACGGACAGAGTCTGTGTAAATCACCACTGTTACAGGATGTCAACACTCAGACAAAAGACAAACTCAAGTGGTCATCAACAGGCAGAACGCAACCAAACATGCTATTATTGTTCATCCAAAGGAGTTAATGTGAGGCTAATAAACACATTACAACAGAAAGGACAATGAGTCATGTAATCGTAAGATTGTACACATATGAAGAGAGAGACACAAAAAGGCAGCACAAATTATTAGTGTGTGTGTTTGTGTGATGACAGGTTTGCCTGGCTTGCTTTGATCTCTGTTTTATTAGAGGCCTGAGGAAGATGCTGCTGAGTAGGAAAACATGTCATGGAGCTTACAGACTCCACAGGGAAGGTGCGTGTAAGTGTGTGTTTTTGTGTGTGTCAGCGTATATTTCTCCTCAATCTCACTGTGTGTCTGTGTCAGAGAGGGAATCAGCGCAGTAATTAAGCCTGTCCCCCTGCTGGAATTTGTTTGTTTTGACTGGAGAGCAAGCTGGTTTCTATTCTCTCAATCTGCGCAAATATTCCTGCTCAGAGAGCAGTAGAACCATGCGCACTTGCAATTTTGCACTGATGCCAGGTCCTTTGTGCTTGGCGAAATCAAGGAGCACATTCCTGTCCCCGCAGTTGGACATTAAACAGTGCAACAACAAGCTCTCTTCTATAGGAACAAAGCAAGAACAACACGGACGTCCCGCTCTCCGAGGACTTAGATACACAGAATAATGCAGAACATTTGTTCCAAGTAAAACCAGAAAACTTTTCCTTGAGTCAAACACTTCTTTTTTCAAAAGCCATTAATCTTAAGTGATGAAAAAGCCCTTTGTGTATATGCATCGTGCATTTTTTCAGTCAAGCCAGGACTGACAAATCCAAACTTGTCCCACAGAATGAGATTAAATCTTACTTGACTGCATAAACTTCACAGTGTGTGTGTGTATGTGATCCTTCTGTTTTATCAAAGTGAACTTTCAGCAGCACACCCTCCTTGATCAAGAACCAAACCTGACTGATATCATTGAATATCTTCGCTTTTGTAGAAATTTAACTCCTGACCACTGTCTGAACCTTCACCTTTAGTCGTCTGTACTCTTTGGGCTCTCTCAGATTGACAACACACCCTCTGTAGGCTTTCTCCCTCTTCTGTTCTTGCCCTGTCTTACCCCCCTTTACCAGCCTCTTCCTGTGCTAAATGGGCACTCCAGTTATGGAGTGTTTCCTCCCTCCCGGTCCTTGACATTTTCTTCCATTGTGCCTTGTGTCTTTTATCCTTTATCTTCTCATGCAGGTAGGTACTTCAGAAAAAGACAGGTAGCTATAGTGTGGTGCTAGAGTTACTCTTTTTCTCTCCTCCGGTCCGCCCAAAGAGCTTTTGTTTGTGCTGAGAGGCTCTGAGTGGCCATAGAGTATGTTTGAAGGGATCGGTTTCAAGACAACAAAGCAGAGGTCTCGGACAGTGTCTCCTGCCTTGTTCCTAACAGGCAGCGACAACCTCACTACATGACAGGCAGAGGAGGGGGCCTGTTTGTGTGTGTGTGTGTGTGCTTTTTTTAATGTGTATACGTGCTGGCTGATGTATTTGTTCTGCTCACCTTAACTCGCCTGCATCCCCTGTGATTTACAAGCACAGAGAACAATGGGAAACCTATCTTTTGCTACATAGAGGTTATATGCACTCTTTACTGTAAGTTTGTGTGTGTGCGCATTTCAGGTGTGACAAAAAGTACAATGCAGTGATTGATGGAGCTGTCTAGGATGAGAAAGACGATGTCTCACCAGAAAAGAGAAGAAGACACCAGAGGATCGTTATATTGGGTAATGATGGGTTCCATAACCGAGAACAACACACTGGGGAAAAGAGGGAATAATGCAGCGCACACACACGCACGCAGACGGCTTTTCATCGCAATACAATGGCCTTTGGTCTGACCTGTCACAGATTATTAATGACTGATAATGTACACCGCTTTGTAATTTTGTGTTTGTGTTACCCGAAACCTTTGATCACACCAAGTACAGAACTCAATCCTTTTTTAAAAAAAAAAAGAGTACAAAAGTCTAATGTTCTGATGTGATTCGGCAGAAATATTCATTCTTTGTCATGTTCAGTTTCAACTACATTTATTAACATCATTATGCATTATTAACCCCCCCTCCCCTTTTTTGTAGGGGACCATTTTATGGTGTATCGCTGCTGCTGATGCAACAACACATTTTCTTTTAACAGTTTTGACAGTTTCTTTGTCATATTTTCTTAAATAAAAGCAAATATGGAGCATTAAGAGAATTTACAGCAAGTTTAATAGTCACATCTGAGGGAGGAGGAGACACTGCAGTACAACTTATGCCAGCTATACATCAAAGGACTTCTGAAAAGATTTGGAAAAGACTCCTGGAAAACTATCAGCTCACACCTGCTCACATCTACGGACATGTGTTTAGAGTTTTTAGTCACAGCCTAATCTCAGACTGAGAATTTATAAAGACTGTAAATCTTGGTTCCTATTTACAAGACTAGAACTATTGTTTCAGCGTTTTTTGACAGTTCAAAAAAGTCCTCATTAATTAACTGTGTGTTCGCATATGACAACACAAAACTCGCCAATGCTAATATTCAGCATGCCCACCCAGCAGTGCAGACCGTGCGTGCTGCATTCACTGATAAATACTAAGTCCGAGGTGGCATGTATAAAAAACTTGATTGTTGAGGTGTGGTGGATTTTATTTCACCGTGACGATGCGCCATTTTACATGTAGGGGAAACCCTTGGCTGACCTGCCCACAGCTCCACTATCTGCTCCTCTTTCTGGACTGTCCACTTTCGCCATTTTATCGCCGGCAATTCTTCATACATTCTTATTCTTTTTGTTTTGACTGTCAGGTGTCTTTTTCCACTTTTATTAGAGCTCATCTATTGGTTGTTGGTTGTGTTAAGTCACTGCGACTTGCGATAATATCACACACGTTTGATATTATTGCATACCCACGACTAGAAAAAGACTGATATGAAACAGCACAGATTACCACCTTCAATTTAACAAAACGAGATGACGGAAGCGCACCGTGACTCCGCTGTGACTCCAGTAAAACTCCTAGATTTACTTCAGACTTTCAGTTTGTAGTCTGGGACTGTGAAAATCAATTGGTGGAAGCCAGCATTACATTATCTTGCAGTGGTGTGTGCTAGAATGCTAGAAGCACTCTTGAACTGAGACTGTGGGAGCTGCCAGAGTGAAAAATGCACTCAGTGGACACACAACCTAAGTCTCTCAAATGCTGAATATTTTAAGGATACAGTCAATGAAACTCCTTTTTTTAGATCACATTGTGTATATCAAACAGTATCCTAATCTTAAAGCTGTCTACTGAACTTTGACACCTGGGTTAATCTCCCTGCTTGATGAATAGTTTGGTTTTCCCTAAAAGGCCTTGACAAATTTACTGCGCTTATGCCAGTATAACCATAGGCACAGAACTCACATTTTCTGTGGCTGCACGCTTGTGCTTGGAATTCCTGCTTCTTACCAGCCCTTGAAGGGCATTGTGGGTGTGTGTGCAGACAGAAGCTTCGGTCTTTAGGGAGACAGAGCGCCATGGCGGCTGCTCTCGCTCCTAGTAAATCACTGACCCAGAACCCAACTACTGTACACATACACAAACGCAAAGACACATATAACTCTCCTGGGACGTCGACGCACAGCCTGTGAACCTCATCACTCAGCGAGAGAAGAGGAAAGAGTGATGAGAAATGTCACAAGAGGATCAGTCCCCATTTCCCCTCTTTCCTGAGTGACCGCTGCACCGTGCCTTAAAGTGCATCCTTCCCTTTCCACTTCCTTTCTTCCTCCTTCCTTCCCATGAGGGACCAATAACCTGAAGAGGTTGACTGAGAAGCATCGAAGAATGCGTTTCTTGGGCAAACAGTCTGCTCTACACTGTAAACTTCAAAGACACGATGAGGAAAAGGAAGGAGGAGAGAATCTGGTTTTCTAAAAATACTGCTTGATGTGCCTGTCCGTCTGTCTTCCTTTCTTGCTGTCTTCAGAAATTCTTGTCCAAAAACAGATCCCATTACATACCACTATACACTCTCAGTCTTCTCCTCCCATACACATACATTAATGCAACAAAGGACTGAGAGTGTGGGGGGTGTTGCGGGTAGGGTACAGAGATGGTAAAATGACCTTTGTGTAGGTAGATTAGATAAAAAAAAAACACTAATGCTATTAAGCTGATGGTCTGAAAGCCGCAGTCACACACTGACAGCGACTCCAGGGAATACACACCCGTCCCCAATGGCAGACAGAGAGCCGCTGACACATCAGAGGCAGGGATCAGGTTTTCTGCTTTTGTGGGGATGGCTCCATGTATTAGAGCTAAAAGCCACCAAACCAGGTAGTGTGTATTTCTGTATCACAAACCCTGGGAATTCTCAGTGTGCTTCAAATCAACTCTAAACATAGATTTCCTTTGAAAGACTGTAACACAGAGAGCTCTACCAGCAGAGCACCAATATTGCCCCAAGCCTGCCCTTTAGCTTAGGCTCAAAGCTTTGGAGCCAGCATGGCACAGTGTCAGCCTGTACGTCAGAACATATGCATGCAAGCGCACTGTTCGAGTGTTCAAATGTGTTCACAGTCTTCAGCGGGGCAAATGGATCCAGATGGGAACTCTGGAATCACATTCCCGACAGGAAGCAATCCACCTGAAGCAGCACATACATACACACACAACACTAATGCTAATCAGGATTAGGTTCCCCCTCTGCTTTGGAATGTGTGTGTGCGTGTATATGTGAACATGTCACTTGTGCCAGGGGAGTTGTAGCAATCGGTAAGTCATCAGCACATGCATGACGACTCCAGGTCATCACTGAGCCAACATATGATCCACTAGTCTAGCAGGCTTGAGCTTAACTCATGTAACTGAGCTTTTAATCAATGGTATCAGAAGGGTGTGGCGTTATGATGGAGATGATTGCCTGGGATTTTTTTCTTCCTCTCTGGTGCCATTTGCACAACAGCAGAGAGAATCAATTCGCCACAACCAACCCTGCTAGCTTTAGTGCAGAGGCTACAGCAATGTATAGTGTTACATGTTGACTGTTAGAGATGATAAACAGCCCTGTTCAAAATTAGGTAATTAAATGTGCTTGAACATGAACAGTGATACGGTGATCTTTCACTTTCTCTCTAAGTTAGGACAGCAGGGCAACCTTTGATTAGGATTTGCTTCCTACACTCAGTGGCATGCATACTTCAGTCTTAAGGTTACAACTACAGGATTACTTATTTGGCTTTTCCAGGAACCTGGAAATCCTCGTATTTTTCCCATATGAATGAGCTCCCTCCTTTAATGTGGAACTCAGAAGCAAAGTATGTCAAAGATTTGTCAGACATAAGCCCTCATAATGTGACAACAACAGCAGTAATCATTCAGAGGCTTAAGACCCGGATATTACTACAATATGAATGTGAATAGGAGTATTACTAAGATGTAAACAAACATTAAAAATGATCAGATGTTGGAAATTGAGCAAATCCAGAATTCCTAATAGCTCTCAGTGTGGATGATTACTAAGGCTGTGAGATGACTAAATCGTCATGACTTTCAGACAGGGGTCTTGTCATTTTGGAAGTTTCATTTGCTTCAATATTTTCTTTTATGAATAACTTCTCTCTCCTTTTTTTTCCAATTAACAGCATGTTGTATTTTTTGCAAATGTAAACATCAGTTTTAGACCTTCAGCTCTAATTTCCAAGGCTTTTCTGGAGACACAGAGAACTGTGACAGGAAATATGATTTTGTCGAACCAACTGATGATAAGTGTTGTTTCTAGGATTCCTGTATTCCTGGGTAAACTTTGTACAATCAAAAACATGCTCTCGTGCACAGGTGCCAGAAGAGGAAAATGTGTTATCCATATTGTTGGAAACTGACAGAAAAGGCAGACAGAAGTTGGAAGTAAGTGACAGATCTAATTGGAGTCCAGCTTCAGCTCTAGAACACGGTCAAACATTACAAACTTTGTATATTTTTATATTTAAACGCAGATGTTTGAGAACTAAAAATACTCTGTTTTGGCTTGTATGAGATGAAGAAGAAAACACACCATGCCTGAGTGTTTATATGTGAATTTCTGTCTGTGTGTGTACTCAGATTTTCTTCCCCCCTTTTTCTGGATAGGTGAAAAGCCAAGAAACAGCACTGGCCAGACCATATATGACCATCTCCAGTGTTCATTTTTTCCCTCCCCCTCTTTTCTGCCCTTCTTTTTGTGGTGCACCGATATCTGACCTGGGATATATTAAATCTGTTAAGCACATTCCATATATTGTTTTTTTGGAACCTGCAGAGGAGACTGGCTTTTGTTACACACTATGTGCGTCGACTGTGCGAGTGAAATATGTGTTTGGTCACTTATGGATGTGTGTGTTGAACTTGCCTTTGTGAAAAACACAGAGAGGTGAGTTTCACTGCCAAGGATCCAAATAGGGAACTTTGGAGACTTGAGGAATGCCCCGACCTGAAACACACACACACACACACACACACACACACACACACACACACACACACACACACACACACACACACACACACACACACACACACACACACACACACACACACACACAGAGGAATGTGAAACAAATGAGTGTCTATTTGTAGTCTTTTGAATCAGTAACTAAGTCTATGTTTTCATGGAGAACATCTTTATTTGATCAGAGATCTAATGTAACATTATATCAGCAATATGCAATATGTTACCTCTCTAGATTCTCATCAAATAGGTCTGTGTAATGTCATAAAACTGTGTAATATCAGTATAATCCGCTCTGATGATCTGCTTGTTTTTCTGAGGTGCAGCTTTATAATGAGCTGGAACTTTACTGCCATATATGACAAATAAACAGGTTATACAGTCTATGTTGATACTGCACATTGTAGCAGAGCTTCATTATTTGACATGAAGTCTTCTTAACAGCTCTCCAGTTTCTCTGGCTACTACCTACTTGTTACTCACTTGTTAAAACTGCTTACTTTGCGTGTTTGCAAAGCTCATGTGTAAACTTATGCATGGTTGAAATGAATAAATGACTATGATCCCTTTTTTTGAAGATAATGTAAAGTTACATGTATTAGTGAACTACTTTATGACTGGTTTCAATACATCTGTTCAAGTCTCTGTGTGCCAAAAAAGTGTAGCAAGAGGCAGGAGAGTTTTCACTCAGCCTGTTGGGACCGTTTTGTCCAAACACATATTTTCACACGGGAGCTTTCACTGTAGTTTATGTTCACATATTGGATATATTCTGGATCTTAGTGTTACAAGAAGCACTGTGTTTATTTGTTTTCTTAGAAGGGGTGCCTCATTAAAACTGATGTGTTGAGATATTAGTTGAGAGGACTTGCATTGCAACAGTAGAATAAATGTGTCTGTGTTTTCTCACTGCATCACTCGACACGTGGCAGCAACAGGCTTTAAATATTACAATCATTCTTGCAGTGACCACAACACTTACTGGGATGAAAGTGAGATCGAAGACAGCATGACGTCAGACAGCCTGTCAGCTGCTTCGACGCTATGTGCTTTGGTAATGGCTGTCAAATAAAGTGGCCTGAACTTCTTTTGAACCAAACTATGGTACAGCTTTTGCTACTACCATTCACTTTTACCACAAGTTGGGCACAAGAGACACAACAGACTCTCTCAAATGTATGAGACGATATGTTCATCTGTGTTTACTTATCACAGATGAAGAAAGGCTTTAAAAAAAGGTTCATAGAGGTTGAGCACTCACAGGAGTTAAGTTGAGGGCTCAAGTGAGAAACACTGAATTAACACAAGCAACTTTTAGCACCTGACAGCTAAGTCCCAGTCAACTGAAGAGATGCTTATGTAGTCCTATTTGGGAGCATTCGCTCGTACTACAGAGTGTGTTCACTATAATTCACAGTGGGTTTTCATCAAGTGAATAAAAGTCACAAAATGCTCCGCACAAGTGCCAAAAACAACTTCTTATATTTTCCCTCAGTGTTTTGTGGAACCTCTTTTTGTCTGTACCTTACAATAGCGGAGTGATTCCATAAGTGTGAGGAAGCCAACTGATGCCTGTTTATGAATACCATGCAGTTCTGTAAGAGAGAGGAGGAAAAAAGAACAACACCAAATCAGAATCTGTTCAAACATGGCAGACTGGCATCATTTTGACCTTTTCGTGCATTCTTGAGGACTACAAAAATCACTGCCCTCTGGTGGATACGGTTTAATCTGGGGCAACAAAACAGAGTAATGTGAGCGTTTAACACTGTGCAGTATGTGCATAAATTGGTTGTGGTGTTTTTAAATGTGTCAGCAGTCACTTCTCAGAAGTCTTACTCATGCCAGAGCACTCCCTGTCTCCATCCCAGACATTCGAGACCGCATGGCCCGTCACGAGGAGGTTCACCAAGCTCTGGCTGTAAAAAATATATTAAAAAAAAGATATCAGAAGAAAACATAAAACATGTAGATCTTTTCCCTACACAAAAAAGGCTTAGAGAACGTCATGGTCTTTAACATGAGCCTCAATGATGATGATGATGGAGGATATGCATAAATTTGGGGGCTTTTATACCTTCCATGGCCATGCACAGGGTCAATAAGGGGCTCCATTGTGTCCTGGATCTCGTTTCTTATATTCTCTATGCCCTGCAGCAACAGAGAAAACCGGGAAAATAAGTCTCCTTTACAGTTATGTGTTTGGACATTGATTCAACACATAAAAATGACTTAAAAGCAATAAAAAGTAACATTGCTGCAAGATAAAAATGTATTCTAAGGTCTGATGTGTTCTTTTAAAAGTCAAACACAGTAAAATCAACATCAACCTTTTTGAAAGTTTTTCATCCTTCTGTCTTCTGCTTTGGTTTGACTTCTGATCTTTACCTTGGTGAGGATGACAGAGTAGAGGAAAAGCAAGACTCCACAGCACCCCCTCCAGGTGTGGTAGAGAGACAGCACCTCCTCTCTTAGACCAGACACTGACGTTACAGTGCGCTTGCTGCAAAAAAGGAGGAAACACAAGATTGATTTTCTGGAAAATCTAAGCCTAAGGCAACTTGTTTGGTTTTAGGATCAATGAGACTTAAGTATTAATTGTAATCCCTACGCCAGATTGAAAAAGTGACTATAAATTAACTTTGAAAATGAGAAATATCTGGTCTATGAATGAGCCTATGCCCAACTTTGATTTCACCTTGGAGGCTTATGGGTTGAACTGTCACCCTCAGTTAGCATTCCCTGTGAGCCTACGCTGCATTTTTTGCTGACTGCAGTCTCAGCTGCCAGTGTGCTGTGTGATGAGGTTTCAATGTTCCTCTGGCAAATGTAAGGTTGCATTCATTAAGTCTGTGCATGTGTGACAGACAGAGAGTATCTGTTCAAGAAAGGTAGCGAGAGGTAGTTTTTTTTTATTAGGCAATCAGTGGAAGGGCTGAGTCGGCAACTGTTAGGGATAGCCATACAGCTAATTCAATTCTTGCAGACTAGATGAATCGAATGCAGCCCCTCATATGCCCTCCACTGATATTATCTTCCAAGAAATATGTAGTTCTCTATCCTATAACAGCAGTCATAAAACAAGTATTATACCCTCCAGAAACCCACAGTGTTATTTAATGTCAAGATGATCTGCTTTTGGGAAAAGGCAGTTATGAATATCAAGATGCCCAATGTTAGCTGTGGTGAGAATATTAAGTGTCACTTACTGCAGAACACTATGAAACTGCTCAAAGCCAAGATCCTCTGTAGCCAAAGCAGCTAGGCAGAAGAAATACACACAAACTGTTAGATCACAATGGGATGCATGCAGTAAGAACTCTGTTCTAAAACACATTTCATCATTGAAATTGATGGTTATTTTTTTCAATTTGAGAGTTGGCTGAATTAATTAGTATTTATTTGTTTGTGTACCACTATTCTGACAGCGTATTTCACACATGAATATGTTGGAAGTAGTACTTACTTGGTTGCTGCTCCTGTGGCGGCTGGCTGCTCTCAGGTTCTGGCAGATCCTGTGTTTGCGACTGTGACTGTGTTGGTGTGTTAGTGTGTGTGCTAGTTTGTGGGGTCTGTCCCTTGGCCCAAGTCACCAGACAGAACTCAGTGGCAGGACTGGAACAGGCAGACTCTAGGATTTCACTCAGGGTGGTACACAATGCTGTTCTCTGCTCCTCTTCTGACAAAGAAAAATATTTGAAACTTATTCATATCAGACTTTGCAGGCAAATTAACTTTACTAAATGTTCACAAATATAATTTCACATCTTTCTAAAAAAAATTACCTGACATCTGTCTCCAGTTTGGACTTTCTCTGTTGAAGAGGATGTTTTTCAAGAGGAAAGCCTGCAAAGAAACACAAACTCAGTCTCCAAAGTCACAAAAACAATGACATCAAAAGAGAATGGTTTTTCAGAGGTCTGTCTGCACACTGTCAAGACTTCATTTAAACTTAGTTTTTAATGTACGATCAACACTCTTGATTACATTAAAGTGTAATCAACAATCCACAAAAGTATGCTGAAGGGCATTTCAAGTAGGCTTGTCAGGTGTTAAAGTTGGTCGAACAGAACATATATCTTCACATAATTCAACTGTAACTATAACAATGTTTCATTTTTACTACAAAACCTTTTTACCAAAAGACCTTCAACATTATGCATCGAAGAACAAAAACATAAGGTGAGTGTTTGGGGAAAACAGTGGACGAGGAGACTTGAGCCTATTGACAGAGCAGCAGAGTTAAACTACACCATACCTGGACAGGTGCAATGACAGCACATGGTCCTCCTTCAAACTGCTCCAGTGCTGTGTGCTCATTCTCACTGAAAACAAACCCTGCAGTACAAGACAAAAACATGTTTTGTAAACTGAGCAACATTGATTTTTTTTATATTTAAAACCTTTTTTTTATTTTATTCTTTCATTCTGCACAAATTTGAAAACCATTAAACCACTCATGGTGTTTTTTAGGCCACAAAGCAAATACAGGTTAACCTCCAAAGTGAACAATATTAGTTAAGTATTAAAACTAACCACATGTTTAACACTAAGATATTTAAGTGTCTGCCTGACCCCCTTCAAGAGAGAAAGTCCCAACAAAAGACTTGGGTAGAAATGAACCAGCTTAGGCTTTATCAATCATACTGAGACAATGAATCATACCTTGGGTCCATCTACGGAAGATGGAGGCAGACACTCCACCACTGGAGGGTCTCCCCCAGACCAAATCAACCACCTCTTTATTTAAATCCGACATCACTACTTTCACTGATGTAAAAACCCAGGCACCCCCTTTGCGGTCCTACAGCCACGACAGGACTAGAGAGGTCTGTTAGAGCCAACTCTTTTCGATGTTGATAGTCCACTTCCCTCGGCAGGTCGAGCCTGTGGCATTGGCCACAAGCTACCTGTGTGACACGACACAGTCTGACTCCAGCAGGACGCAAACTGGAGGGTGGGAATGACATCAACGTGGCCACGATAGCCTGCAAGAAATAAAGAAGGAGAAGTTCGTTATAACATGTTTTAGCACGGATACACTCATAATGCAGCATATTAACGGCGACCGTTGATACAGTTGATTGATTGTATCAGCGAAACGTTACATCCTCTCTCGATTTCTCAAGAAATGAAAATGACTGCGTTAACATCAGGCGTGATTAAAAAACATTTCCGGAATATAAAAAGAAGAAAATGCAGTAACAACTGTAGTATCTTGGGGTTTCTTTCTCATAATATCGGCGGTACCTGCATTTACAGAGCTGAGCTGACTCGGTAACTGTTAATGTCAGCAGTTAGCATTAGCTTCGACACAGGCAGCTAATCTTTCAATGCTTTGTCATTCAATTGCTTTTAAGGCTGCGGCGTTGCAAATAGTTGCTGTATCAATTCATGCTGACTATCAATTGTGAGATAAAGTTGAAGCAAAATTACCTTAATACACACTGGAGTAATAGATTCCCGTATTGATTTTATATTTTGGTAGCAATTTCACTATCATCATCGCCTCTGCCGTTCGTTTATTTACAACGGAATTGAGAAAAAAGTGCGTAGGTTTGACGTGGCTGTTTATTGGTTTAAATCCAGTAAGTCCCACATGCGTCAAGGGGTACAACTTCAGCGCGCAATCTCATTGGGCTTCAGGCTTGTCAATCATGTAGAGTGACGCCCAGAAACAGATTCGTTTGATTCATTTAAAGCCCGCCTTTGCGCACCTGCTTCTTTCTCGAATAAATGCCACTGTGAGAATAATTAGGAGTTCTTTCTCCATTAAGATATAGCTTTTAAAAATATCGGCCAATAATTTCGGAACGCTTCTATGCCCTCTTTCTTTTATTGTATGAAAAAAACTGCTTAGTTACAAACCGTTTATGCTTGTCCCTTATCCCTCTCCGTAGCGGTGGCTGGTTGGAGCATGCGCAGTGTTAGAAAAACTACTTGCTTTCCACGCGTGTAAGATCTATACTTTGGGAAAGGTCTGTTAAAAGACAGAAATAGTGGAAATATAATAGATATTCCGTAGCTATGGGGGGTCAGGCAAAGGGCAAAAAGAAAAACAAGCCGAAGAGGAAAGAGAACCGCCCAAATACGGGTAAATTTAATCATTTGTTGAACATTTCCCTGCTATTTACAGTGTGTTTTAACGCCAACCTTTCAGCTGTCAGTGAACATCTTGAGCTTTGATTGAAACCCAGACTTGATGAGAAACTAACACATGTTTACTTGTTTTTTGCCTCATCACGACAGATGCAGGAATTGTTGGATTGACCCCCCAAGAGAGAATGAGAGTTAGGATGCATGAAAAGGCAAAGAAGAAGACAGCTGAGAAGTACTCTGTGCTACAACTACTTGAAAAGGTGACCCAACATACTCATCATAACAAACACATCCCCAGGACTTGCCTGCCTCTGAAATAAAGTAAAGTAGAGTTAACTACTATAAGGCCTGCTGACTGTAATCACATTAAATTAAATGAACATTATCCATAATTACTTCTATCCTAACCCTGTAAACATAAATTTATTTTGATTCATCATTGCATGAGCTGTTGTTGTTGTTGTTGTTGCTGTTGTTTTAATGTTGCTGCTGTCCCCTGTCTCTCTCTCTCTCACCCTCGTTCTCTACTCTCTTCCTCCCTCCCCCTTACCTATTCTCTCTCTCTCTCTCCTTATCTCTCTGTATTGCTCCCCAACCCAGCAGCAGCCTGGTGGCTGTCTGGCATGAGTCTGGTCCCGCTCAAGGTTTCTGCCTGTTAAAAGGAAGTTTTTCCTTGCCACTGTTACTCATGTTAGATGAGATGGGCCAAATCCCATCTTAGGTTGGGTCTTGATAATTCATCAAACAATGAGCGCGGTCTAGACCTGCTCTTTTTCTTTGGAAAGCGTCTTGGGATGACGAGTGTTGTGAACTGATTTGCTGTTCTTTCTATTTCCTGGCTGTGTAATACACTGTGTTATCATCTCTTATACAGACAGAGGAGTACATGGATAGCTTTGACTTTGAGATGGCTGGCCTCTTCTGTCAACGAGCCCTGGACGTGGAGCCCAACAACTTACAAGCTCTAGATATGCTTGGACACATCCACTCTGAACTAGGAGACACACAGAAAGCCAAGGGAATATCCTTTAAGTTGTTGTGTATGTCAGAATGTCAGTCCTATATGTTCATGCTACTTTTAGTGTAGTAATGCTTCTATAAGCAGCTTCTGTGCCACCTTGACTAGATCTCTCCAGGTGTTTCTGCGTGCTGTGGAGCTAAGTCCAGATGTGGGCCACAATAAGTACATGTACCTGGGGCAACTTCACTCAGGTCAGGAGGCTGTGGACTACTACAATAGAGGAATACAGGTCTTGCTCTCTGTATTGGAAAAACAAGAACATACCACAGTGAGTACAACCAAAACAAGCTGTTCCCTTCCAATGACAGGTGCATATCAACAAAAGAGAGAGAGAAAAAAACTCAGCAACTGGATTGATTTAAGTGCCATGTAAATGATTTGCACAAGAGGGTGCTGTTTGACTGTGTATGAAATATCTATCTATCTATCTATCTATCTATCTATCTATCTATCTATCTATCTATCTATCTGTCTATCTGTCTGTCTGTCTGTCTGTCTGTCTGTCTGTCTGTCTGTCTGTCTGTCTGAAGTTAGTTTCCACTTTTAACAAAATCTAAAGCATGGTAATGTCTGTATGAATAAACAATACGGTACTGGACAGCTTAGTAGAAAGAAAAAATGTAATTGATATTCATTCTCAACACATGGCCTTATCTCTCCAAAATATTACTTTTGACACAAGTCAAGGGATGGTTAGAAAACGATGATGAGGCTGCCCAATATTGGCTTTTTGTGATTTACTGGTCTGTTAAAAAATGCAGGCTTAACCTCCTCTGGCAGTTTTATGATTTTGGATATTGATATGATAGAGCATCATTGTGATATTACCAATGCATATAGAGATGTAAAATAAAAACAAAATCATTGCCAGAATACGTACTTTTCCTGCACAGAGTGAATCCAAGAAAACAACAACACAATTCTAACTCAAACTCGTCCCTCTCTGTGCTGTTTTGTCCTCTAGTTTTAATGCCCCGACTCTGTCTTTATCCTTTCCAATTTCAAGCGTAATGATTTTTTCCAATTGATAAGCTCGACCTTGAGTACCCATCTGCTCCCCTCCTAAGTATCGATCAATGCTGTCAGCTATTGTTTGAGTGACTTAGAAAGTTTCCTTGCCAGAGCGCAACTTTGTGTTTCTTCGCCTTAATGTGCCAGAGGGCAGGAATTGTTATTTAGAGTTCACAAGAGTGATCAAAATTTGATCTTGAAATACAGTTTTTTTTTACCCTCAGAGGAAGACCAAATATTTATTCAGTGCTCCTTTAGTTCCTCATAAGATACATTGCTATTGTATAAATAAGGACGTTAATTCCCCACACTCAGAAGACATTCTCAGAGCCTCTTTGTATGGTTAGTTGCAAGTTTGGACTGACTCTGAAATATAATATTTCCAAGACATTACTTTCCTTTTGAAAATTTTCCCATCCCTCTATGGTTAGAACATGTAGTTCACCTTCCCTCTTAATTTTTGTTTAGCTGAATAATTCAGGAAGAGGATATAAAAATAACAACACAAAACAATGCTGTAAATTTGAACTAAATTGAAAGATAAAAATTTAAAACGAAATAATAACACAGTGGTTTAGCTTTAGTGTGTTTGACATTGTTTGCTCTGCTTTAATTCTCAAATTGTCTAACCTACATCATGGTGTATTAATTATTGATGCCAATTTGCATAACTGGTCTTACAGTATTTATAAGACAGAACTTGTTGACTTGACAACAGCTTATTCTCCTGTAACATATAAACAAGGTATTTTGAAAAAGTATTCCTGGCAATGAAGAGAAGTTATACAGTCAAATGTTTGCTGTCATGGATGACCCACTGAATTTGAATAGAATAGAAAATAAAATCTGTGTCTGTGTTTACTGTCTTTTAAATTATTTTGCTCAATCCAGGCTCAGGCTGGAGCTGCTGCCCCGTCAGATGAGGACCCTGAGCTCCCCACAGCCAAGGACGTCAGTGTTGCCTACTGCTCTATTGCTGAGATTTACCTCGCAGACCTCTGGTACAGGAGTTACACTGTTGAACGTCACAGCACTATTTCATGTTTACTCTTTGGTAGTGAGTTGAGATTTGTCCATTTGTGTGTGTTTCTGTGTGTGCATGTAGCATGGAAGAGGGAGCTGCAGACAAGTGCAGAGAGTCCATTGAGAGAGCATTACAGTATCACTATGACAACCCTGAGGCTCTACAGCTCATGGCAAGTTACCTGTTCAGTACGGAGAGAAACCAGGTCAGTCCGTACACACACACACTCACACACAAGTACAGAGTAAGGATGAATTATCACCACATTAAAGCAAGAATCTGCTGAGTTAATTATTCTGAGTAAATTGAATTGTATGCCGTTAATCAGCAGATGGACACGAACATTAACGCACACGCACACAGGCAGGTCTTGCTGATAGGAATGTTAATTACCAGGCAGATCATTCAGGTCATATAGTCATCTGATAAAAAGAGATGAAAGAGTATCCGACTCAACTCAGTTTAAGCAAGAAATTCTAAGACCTGTGCTGTATGAAGCATCAGACATGTCTAAATACACTTCTTTTTGTCCAAAATGTTGCAAATTTCAGAGATTTGAAGAATGTCTTTTACTGACTGTAATGAAAGGCAGGAGACATTCAAGGCAAACTCTTTTTGTGGGCAACTTCTGTGAAACAGGCTTCAGAATGCTTATTGAACTGTTACTAAAAAAAAATCAAACATTCTAAAAATGTGACTCCTATTTTTTTTTCTCCCCACAAATGGATACAACACATGATGTTTTATCTTCCTGCAGTTTTCCGATGATACCGAAAGGAAATCAGAGCAGTGATGTGTTGCCTCACGTTTCATATATCACAACTTAATAACATTCCTCTTGTGCTTTCTTCAGATAATTTTGTACTAAAAGCAAACATAGAATGAAAATTGTTCACAGCAGTTTTCACTGAAGTATCCTGGCTGAGAAGTACATTGTTTGTGTAGAGCCGTGATTCATTTCTTGCATTTTCAATTACACTTTCAATGCGCTGTGAGTCAAAAACAGCCCACCTTCTTTGAATTGGCTGCCGTGGATGTCTGAATTATGCGACAAATCAATACAAACTATCATAAAAAAAGGATTATGTATGCTCTTACGTCAGCAAACTCGGGGAAAAACTGAGACATTCTCCAGAGCTAAAAAGTGGATCTGTAATACCGACATTGAGCTGTAGGGGTCAGACTGGCTCCAGTCACCTTTGATAGCACCCCACATCTGAAAATATTCTGGTCATAAATATGAAATAAAATTTAACATAAAAATGACCTCAACTTGATATTGAAGTCATTGTTTTCTAAAGAGTAAGAAGTTCAGTCTGTGAAAGTTGAACTTGTAACATAAATGCATCAGTTTTTTCTCCTTGTTGTTGATTTAAGTGTTTTCTTCTGCATTTATATTTTTGTGACTGAAGTTAATTCAATAAATCCTCTTAAATCTGCATTCTGCTGTCTTCAGGAAGGTAAAGAGTACCTGTTGAAGAGTGTCGGATTGTGGCTACCTGCCCAGAAGCAGAGTGCAGCTTCTTCCAGCTCGGAGGAAGACTTACAGGTGAGCTGGGACTGTTCGTAGTTTGTGTTTTCTCTGACAGCAACCAGCTCTCATAAGATCCTGGTTTATTTATAAAACACTTTCAGCTAACAGGATTGTCACACTGTGCTAGGCTGTAAGCATGCGGCTGAGATAAAAAGTTAGAGATAATAAAACAAGGGATGGTAAAAAAGATAAAAGATGGATCAAATACCTCACAGACCAGAGAAAGAGAGAGAGAGGGAGAGGGAAGGCAAAAGGCAAAACCAGGAAAGGATAAGTGAGAAAAACTACAAAAGGGGAAATGTTGAAAGATAAAAAAATGGCTGTAATGTCAAATTTAGGCCGGGTTTTTAAAGCAGCCAAATAATAGTGGCTGAGTTTACATTATAATATGGAGAAAATGTGATAAAAGAGGAGTGAGGTGGTGATACTAGACGAAAATCCCTGTGGGCCGCTGTTATGACTCTTATCTTCGGGAGCAGGTTGATCTGAACTCAGCCTGCTGACACTTCCACTGTGATTAACAGCCACATAGCCGCAGCATGTTATGTAGCTGGAAATTGGATCGAGTTATTATCAGACAAAGGAGGAACTACGTAAGTAGGTGTCTTGCATTAACACTCACTTTTTTGTCTTTGTGTTCCTTCCCTAGAGTATGATCCCCCCGTATGAGTCTCGCATCACCACGGCTAAACTGCTCATGGAGTCTGAGGAATACGAGGTAAAGTCTGGTGTGTTGTGCTCATGTACACCCGTTTTGTTGTTGGTGTGTGTTTGTTGGGTAGTAGGGGGAGCAGCCTAGGGTTTCTGTGTGTGTGCGTGTGCGTTTGTGTACTTTACTCTCGAGCAGTGAAGGTGAGAAGGCCGTGCCTGGTCTTTATTCCCTCTAGAGTTCAGTGTCAATAATTGAGGAGTGGTATTTACAGAGAGGGACAGGGGTAAGGGTGTGCACAGAGGAGGAGAGAGGATATGAAGGAGGAATTTAAAAAAAAGGACGGCAGCTCTAGTGTGATGAATTGCTGCCATATCTATGATGCAGCACACTTCTAAATCACACATCAATTTCAAGTATTAATGGCCTTGATTTTAGTGGCATGCCGCCTTCAATTCTGTGCTAAAACCCCCTCTAACAGTCATTAACGCTTAGAGTCATTTTCTGTGATGAGTGCCACACCAGCAGCGCTTCTGCAATTTTTCTGTTGTGATCCAGTGATTAATTTATCCTCACTCTTGTTGAGTGGTTTATGGTTATCACTGACAGGAAATGAGAGCTGTGTCCTTTTTTTCCCCTCTTGCTCACAGACTGCTCGGGCGCAGTGGTATCTGTGTGTGTGTGTGCATACGTGCGTGTAAGTGTTTTTAGTGGGGGAGATGGGCTGTCAGGTGTATCAGTAAAATGACAACGTCTTGGTCCACAGTTTCTGACATGTCGTTTGTCTTCATCGTCCTGTTGGTGTCATCAGGCTGGAAACACAAACTGCAAACATCCCGAGTCCTTTATAACCTGAATATTTTGCTGTGTGTGCAGGTACGCATGAACTCATCCATACTCACGTTTTCGTATTTACTTTTAGTCGACAGCTATATGAAAGTTTTTGACAGGAACTGAGCTTGGGGGAGGAAAGAAGAGGAGAAACAAGCTGTTTGCTGTCTGTCTCCTCCAGACTGGGACTTAGCCGGATTTGATAGGAACATCCTTTCTCTTCTCTTTCCTTCCTCTATTCCTTTGTCATACACCCTCACCCACTTATTTTTCAAGCTTACTATCCCCTACTCTCAGAGGACACAATATCTACGAACATCTTTAAACTCTGCGTAAAGTTGTGTGTTTACATCCTGAAGAGTTAACAGTTTGAAGGCTACCTTTCCAAACGGGGTACCAGACTTTGACAATTTGTCTCTATTTTTTTTCCCAATCGAATCATTTGTTTTCTCTAAACCGAGCCAAGGCTTTGAAAATCTGATTAATTTATTTGCCAAAGAAACACAAAGTAATTTTTCCCCCTACTTTCTTCAACTGCACAGAGTATACAACTATTTCTGGTTTATAAATAATACCGGTAGCAGAAGAACTCCAATGCTCTTTGCCAGGAAGCCCTTGTTTGTCGCTGCAGGAGATTAAGCTCTTTGGCTGATGGATGCAGTTTGGCATTGGACATTAAAATTGTTCTGTGTTTTGAGCTTGAATTGAAATGAATCGGGCGTATGCCAAAATAGAAATATCATACTGTGATTACATTGGCAAAATTATCTGCGTGTATGATATTATCTCATTAATTATTGGGGGAAAAAATCCCTGTAGTGCACGGTGATGACAAATTAAATTAGAAAAAAAGGCATTTTGTTCCCTAAAGGCTGTCAGTGGCAGGTAGGGAGCATCTTATCGTTTGTCTCGGCACTTCAAGAGGTGTTAGCCCAAATAAAAAACTTCACACATTAAACAATTGACCTTTATTTTCTCAAATAGCACCCCTGTGTGTTTTTTTCAAGTTTTTTATTGTTTAATCAGTTAAGAAAATTAATTCCCAGTGACATTAATTAGAGTGATAACCAGGCTCCAGTGAGGAGTCGGTATTATGCTTATAGTAGTTATAGCAGGAAGGAGTGCTTGACTTTTCAAACAGTTTCGGAGAAAGTCATTTTAAAAGAAATGTTGCTTTTTTTGTTTTAATACTTTTGAGAGTGAAAAAAAGTTCAACATGAAAGAATTAAGTGTGCTTGAGAAAGTCTTATCTTATGATAAGTGACATACTCTCATGTTCAGCAGAATGGAAACCATTATATCAACAGATGGTAGAGGAGTGTTGTCGTGACTTGTCAGATTACTGGCATTAATAATAAACTGGCTGAATGAATTCTTCAAACCATCGGTGTGCGACGCCTGCACTTCTCTTTAGTCGTCTTTGTTGGCATAATGTGGATCTGTGCCACTTAATTAACTATGGAAGCTCCAAATATGCTTTACAAGGTCTTTTCTCCTCTTTTGATTGTTTTTAAGGAGACTCATTTGGATGTTTTCCAATTTAGTTTGTAATTTCTTAAGCTTTTATTGTAATTGAGTACAAGAGGAGATTTTGAAATCGACATAACTGAGAGAATTACGCAGATTGTCTGTTAGTTTTTTGTATTTGAAACCTTTTCTTACAGCATTTAAGCAAATACTTCATCGATGGATTAAGTTATGCCTGTTAAATGGTTTAATTCATTGCAGTCAAGGTGAAGTAAAGATATTTTTCTTTTGGTGACATAAATGTAAATTAATTAATTATGTTGAAGTTTGGGGCAGTGAGTAGGAAAAACAAAACAACAAACTTTTTGACAGCACTACTCAAGCCAAATTCCAAAATCTTTTTCACTTTTTTCGACTATTTAACTGACTAACTCTGAGCTTTAATAACTACGTTTTTCTTTGAGATAAATTCCAGCAACAATTCATATCATAGTTTTAAGATGCTAAGTCATTTACCAAGAAAAAAAATCAGCGCTCTGGTTTCATGAATTTCAATATCCCTTCTTTTTGTGCCTCATTTAATAGTACCCTGAATATATATTTTAATGTTTGGTCTTTTTTTGCTGTAGCACACCAACACAGATCCACATATTAACATCCTCACCCACCACGCATCAGCCACTAATTCACTTGTCACATAGCAGACACATAGACTGAGATACCCTCCCTTGACAGCCAATAAGGTGTCTGTTTGGTGTGGTTGTCACGGCAGCTGATGGTTGGTTACTTGTTGTTGTCACTCTTGTTTGCTCTCCTGTTATTTATTGGACGTTATTTTTTTTAAATGTAGCTTCCAATGGATCGCAGTGAGGGCTCTCTAGTGTTGCTTGCAGGTACAGTTAGCACTGACGTCCTCAGGATTTATTCACTGAAGTGAACATGTCCCTTTTTGTGTGTTTGTGTGTGTGTGTGTATTGGTGTGTGTGTGTAAGAAAGAGAGAGAGAGACAGAGAGAGACTTTGTATAGGATTCTGTCTGTTAGAGATACGGCTTGCCCTCCCTTGTAAAGTGATTTGTCTTTCTCCTGTCTCTGCTGTGCGCTCTGGTAAAATGATTCTGTTAAACAAAATTGCCTGAAGATTACACACATACAGACACACACACACACATACACAATGACCATTATAAATGAGTTCCTCCAAGGAGTTTTATTTTTTTCTGAGCTGGTCTTGAAATAAAGAGGACAGCACGTACATAGTGTGTTTCGCTTCCGTGTGTCTGTGTGTGTGTGTCTCTATGGCGCATCGGTGTTGTGCGTGCACTAATTTTTGCATTTCTTAACAGGACAATTTCTTGCCCCCCTCCAATTTCTCTTCTTTTTTTTTCTCGAAGTACCTCGTCTGCTCTCCTTATCTTCACGGGAATATTAATCTTGTTGTTGTTTAGGGTGTGAAGCGGCTTAAAAATCTCTGAATCTTTAATCACTTGCCCCGGGGTTGACCAGTGTAGTTAGGAAGACGTACAGTTGGAGATGACAGAACGGTTCATTGTGCACTCACCCTGGCTCACAGATATCTCTTGTTCTATTTTTGTTGCTCCAAAACTGCCTGTTTTATCGGTTGTTTAATACCCCGACAGATCTTCACTGCTATCTCTTATATCTGGTGCTTGGCTCGAACTGCTTCGTGTGTATGTGTGTTTGTGTGTGTGCATGTGTGTGCATGTGTGTGTGTGTGTGGGTCTTGTCACATTATGATTCAATGAAAGTCAAGTAGATAATTCTGACGCCGGGCATGAGTCCAGTCACCATCAGCTGGGATTAGGTGTTTTTGTTTGTGTATTTTTAATCAGTCATTAATTAATTAAGGACAATGGGTTCTCAGCTGATAATTGGTCTAGCAATCAATCAAGTGACTCATCTGCATCCACATCTGCACACACTCTTAACGAGGTACTCTCAATTAACCCCACACTCCCTCAATCCACCTCAGCAACTGACCTCTTTATCTCCACCGGAAGCATGTCGGCATAATGAAAAGAGAAGAGAGCCCTGAAGAGCGGGGAGAGGAAGAAAATTAGGGAGGCTCTGCAGCCAATAAGACCGCCTTAACAAGAGACAAGAGCTGCTTGTTGTGCTCACTGTTGTGTGCAGCTATGTTGTTAGTGTACGACTTAGCAGTAAGTGTGTGCGATCGTGCACGGGAACTCGCGTGTCTCTTTTTTTCATGCCCTTCACCACGGGTGATTGGCTAACAGTCGCCTCCAACCTGAAGTTGACAAAAATCAATACATCATCACCTGGGGGTTCACACAAACACACGGACGACACAACCACAGAATGTGTAAGGAGAGAAAGCGAGCAAAACAAACACAGCCTGCTTTAGTCAAGCTGTGTTTTCTGTAAAGGAAACGTCCCGCAGAAAGTGACCCAGACAGGGATGCACTTTGGCAAAGGTCAGCTAACATTTAACTCCTTTGAGGTCACAAAAGAGAAGGCGGAGAGAAGTGATCACGCTGAGGTTACTGTTATTTTGTTATACTCCTTTTTCAAAATTTATATTCCATGATTCACCTTCAGCAGTAATTAGAAGAGGCTCAAGAGTTTACAGTATGGACTGTGAAACAAAGTCAAATAATAAAAAGGAAAGAAAAAAAAGTTTTTACAGAAAATTTCACATAAAGAAAAAGGAAATTACGTTTAAATCGACTGTTAATGCCGTTAAATGAATTAAAAAGCCATCGAGCAGAGCTGCTGAAGTGACTATTGACTGTGCGATAAGCACTAGTGAGTGTGTCTATCGACGGCCATGTCTGTAGTCTTGTTGGTATCGATGATGTTGTATATGGGACGCTGGCCTCATAGATGCTTATCAGACCCTCTGATCACTCTGATTGATCGGCCTGCCAGGGGAGATGCACTACACTGTGTGCAACAACAAAGTGTTTGTCATCATGCGTGTTTGCCTATGGATTTACAGCAGCATACATGAAGAGATTACAAGTGTGGACCTATTTTTTTCTTGTGTGTCTCTTTACTAGTGATGTTTTTTTAAGAAGTGATGATTATAAAATCTTAGTTTGATTTCCTCCTCTCTGTGTCCACATTAGATGGCGGTGGATGTTTTGGAAGGTCTTCTGGAGGAGGATGATGAAGTTGTTCAGGTAAGTAATGAAGCAAGCAAGCTGTTTTGTATTTTATTTGGCCAGTAAAGTTGCATTTGTTTTGTTTATTTGATGTATTTATTTGCTCCTATAAAAAGAGGGATGTGCTGATGTTTGACTTTGTCCAACTCTGCTTTAAAAAACCCTGAAATATCCCTTTAAATTGAGCAGACTGTCTTTTGGAAAATATGTGCAGTGTGATACTTGTCATTGCACAGGATTAAATGATTAAGTCTTTTTAGTTTCCCCTTGCGAACGGTCTAATTACTGTGACACAGTAGCCGTTGCTGACTCCAGGTTTAAGCGAACCTCTCATCACACCTGCGGGAAGGAGAGAGCTTTAACCTGAGCTCCTGGGCTCCTTCTGCTGAGACACCATTCATGTGTATGCACAATCGAGCGCCTACACACCCAGACTCCTGCAGTTCATGCTGTCACCGCTTGCATGCTCACTCGTGGGGTATGACTGAGAACTTAAATGCCTATTAGAGAGAGGCGTAAATTGCAGTATTTAGGTGAAACTATGTGCTGTCACTCAGCTCCAAATCCCCCGTGTAAGTGGCAGAGGAAGTAAAGGTGTGCCACTGAGTGTCAGAGAGAAGAGCACAGCCACGTCTCTCTCTCCCCCTCTCCCCCTCAGGCTCAGCCTCCCACACACACACACCCTTCAGCTGACAGATTGAGAGCAGTCATCGGGGGTCTGAACTTTTAAACTCACTCCAGAGACACACAGCTGTGACTCTTGATTTTGGGAGGGCCTACAGCCAGTCACTTTGGCGTACAGTCACAGGTTGTAATGGACCGCAAGTGCTCTGTCAGATCCTTCCACAGTGATGTTGCTAGAGTCATATTTATGATGTGTGTGTGTGTTTGGATGGGGGTTTGACTGACACATTCAACAACATCATGCTCTCCCTCTCTCCCTCTTTCTGTCTCTCTTCCCTCTTTGTCTAATTTCTCCTCTGAGTGGAGTTCATAAAGTTGTTAGCTCTCGCCTCCGTCTCCTTGCACTCGTATCTCAAAGTTGGAACCTCACTTGTGAAGTGTTAAGTCTGCACAAACAACTCAGCCAGTTCCTTGCAAATCTTGTTTCAAAGGTACTCAGTTCATTCATGACGCTTTTGTTCTTCCTTCAGCAGCACCATATGGGAACTAAGATGTGCCGTCACTTTGAAATAACAATAGTGCCAGTGATTTGATTGACAGTCAGGGCATTATTTTATTATTTGTGCCTCTGTCTGAGGTTGTGGTCGGGTAGAGTGAATTCTCTGAAGTTCTTAATTAGCTAACTTTCTCATATTTTAATTTGAAGTACAGATGCAGAAAGCTTTTGTTATCATACACACAAATATTTCACACTGGACCATCTGTGGAGAGTTTTCTGGCCTTGTTCTCGCTGGTTTGAAGGCAGGCAGCGGTTCTTATTTGTGAAGAAGTTGAGATTTTGAATTCAAGTGACCTGATTTCACTCATTCTCTCTTGAATATGTACTTGTATATATAAAACTCTAATTTTTTCCAGGCCCCACATTCACAGAAAAATGTCTCGGTGATAAAAATGTCACTCTGCTGTTTTTGCGCTATTACTTCATTTATCCAGAGCTGCTGTTGTTCTGATAAGTATGGCTGCAGGGGGTAGCCTCCCACTCAGCATGCTGAGCGGCAATTCAGAATTCAGTGTGGCATGCCTTGATGTGTTTGTTAGCTAAATGGTTGATTTGGCAGAGGTGCAGGTCCCTACTGCTTCTGCCCTCAATGAATAATAAATAAAGCTAATATTTGTATCTTAGTGCTTGAAAGAACAGTGGGTGGATGATCTTTGGCCTCAGATGAGAGGCGCGCACACACCTCCAAGTTCCCTGAGAGTTGATTGTTTTGAGAGGTGGAAGAGCAAAGCATCGAGCAGTGTTATGATTATGTAGGAAAGAAAAAGAGTGTGATTATGGAAACGAGTTGATTCTGGTGTGTTTCAGAATACTAATGCGTAATGAAAAATACTCCTCTACTCACTGCCTAAATTCTGAGTGGATTATTTCAAAGTAATCATCTCACTTGTGCATGCACTCCAGTTGCCAAGTTAAGGTCAGTAGGCAAGTCAAGAGGCCCTTAACTCCTAAATGTTGTGTTTTCTTCATCTGAGTAATGCACATACATCTGAAGTCAGAATCTTGTTGACACCATGCTGAAAAGGTTGCATATTTCCAGTAGAAGAGGCTAAATCTTCAACAATATCTGTGAATGCACTGAGCGTAGTTTTGAATATTTATTCACCAGAATGTTACAACAAAAGACAGCTAACCCACGGGAGCAACAAGCGTTACAGATCCGTGATTCTTGACATTATGATCTGGTAATTGGCCCGGTAATTCTCTGCTGGCCTTATCTGATTGAGCTGCAGGCAAGTTGCATAAATAATGCAAGGTTTGAAAAAAAAAAAACAATCTAAACTTGGATCTAAAGCCACGAATACAAACCGAGATAGTATGAAATATATCATTGTGAAAGTGCAGCAACTGGACCTTATTCCTGCGTGAGAAAATGTCATAAATATCAGATCTCTGAGATAAAAACAACACAGACTTGAGATTTTAAAATGATTATCTTCAGAATTTTATTTATAGAGAGAAAAACAACACTATCATATACTGAATGGTCAATTCACTAAGCACACGCTTCCACCAAGATCTAAACTTGCTTTATTTTTTTGGATCCTTGCCTCCCTTTGGATTTATCTTCAATTTCGATAGAAAGAAAACAAACTGAAATGCTGAATAGTGGTGCAACAGGTCACAGCTGGTCAGTGATCTGTTCATATCCCCTTGAATGGTTCAGACTGCATGTGGGAGGCAGATCAATGAAAACTTTACCATCAACCTGTGCAATAAAAAAATATGACCTGATTTTTGAAGCATGTTCTTCTGGACTAACAGGGTTGATCATTATTATGGGCTCCAACTAGAAAAGAGCTGTGACACCCCGACTGTAAAGTTGGCTGATTAATCAGGCTTTTAGTGCAATTTTGTCCCTCAATCATAAAAATATAATACAGGGGTATCTGCAGGGTCTTAAAAAGTCTTATAACATCTAAAATCCAATAATTTGAATTTAAGGCCGTAACGTCCAAAATTCTCTTAAAATCACATAAAATGTCTGAAATACAACTTTAAAAGGTCTTAAAAATGTTTAAGTCTATTTACAAAAAAATAACGTGCCATAGGAATAAAGACTGATTTGAAGTGATGTAAAATATTCTGATTTTCCTTCATGTCTTTTATACTTTTTTTGCCAGTATTAGGAGTGTCCCGATACAACTTTTTGACTTCCAATATGATACCGATATTGATCCGATATTGGCACAAAATTGTGCATGACAGGTTTTTCACTCAGTTGCAATGTCTTTTTTGGACTTAAACAAAAAATACTGCCACAAGGCCAATATCACTCCTACTCCTTGCTACTTTGTTAGTACCTTAGCACACGCTGTTGCTGTGATTTTGTGCGCTCAGCTTGCTGGATCAGGGTGCTGCAAGATAGAGGTGCCGGAGCGGAGTCTGGAATGGACTGCTTGTATCGGAGTGCTGATATCGTAGATTTTAGATGCAGGCTGATATATTCCGATATTTGTTTTTTTGCTGATATCGGACAAATATCTAATATCAATATCATATCGGGACACCCCTAGCCAGTATGGATGTTAAATGGTTCTTAAACTACATTCATTACAGTCTTTAAAAAGTCTTAAATTGACTTGTTGAAACCTGCAGAGACCCTGAGACTGATTAGCGTGCAGCCTGCTGGGTTCCTCCCTGTCACATCCTATATTTTGAATGGAACACACCCACCCTTCCTGAACAGCAGAGTGGATGTTTCACCCCACGGGTGAAACAAAGTTTGAGAGCAGGAGGAGGTTGTGGTTTGCCAAGATGAAGCTGTAACTTCAACATGTTGTGCAACAGCACTACAAACTATCAGGCTGCCCTAAGTGGAGAGAGGAGAGCAGGGAGAGACATGCTTTGGTTAACCAAAAAGGTAGCAAAATAGAGAGCAAGGGCACGATGGTTAGTACAAAATAAGTCCCAAATTGTAAGCCGAGCAAGGAGAAGAAAAGCTCTTTTTTTTTTTTTTGGGTCTCTCCATGAGCCAAAGAAAACTGAGATTTGTGATCAGTGGCAACGAAAGGGCTGAAAAACCATCTGATAGATTAAACAACAGAGACGCAATAAATGTGGTGTGTACAGAAAATACCAATCATAAACCCACTAATAATGAAAAACACCAGAGGTTGTACAACACATGAGGATACAGCACCCAGGCAGTATATATATTAGGTTAAAAGAAAAAAAATTAGAATTTCCTTTTCATGTAAACATGCACTTGTGTGGTAATAGATGCAATAAACATAAATTAGAGTGTTTCATACTTATATCTTTCTCTTAAGTTCCTAAAAATACCTATAAAATCAAAATTAAACCAAAGCATCAATATGCAACAGTAGATTCTTTTGAATTTCTGGTCATTTACATAACATGTTAGTCAAAGACGCAGTTATTTATATAGCAAACACCTTTCATCTGCACTTGTCTTTCATATTTGCAGCATTTTTTCCCCTTCACATTTTTGATATTTTTAAATGGATTTGTTGTATACCAAAGAGTACTTAAACATGGCCACAGGGATCATGACACATTTTTCCTTAGAGCTGATTCCTGAGGAGGCGGCTGTTTTACAATTTTTTTGCATTGACTGCTCTGAACATAACCTTCCCTGGAGCAGGTATGATGTGGAAGCTGGAGTTACCGTGATGATGATGATGTTGTACACGGTTAAAAAATGAGCCACCAGTATGGAGGCAGGGGAAAAAAATCAGAGTGGAGGCCGAGTAATCTTGTTAGCCCACTAATCCTGCTTTCAGAGGCAGGCTGCAGGACCGTGGTACCTCAAATCCTCACAAGTTTTATAAAAAGAAAAATATATGCTAAAGAGAGATACAACTGAAGAAATCAAAAGTTTCATAAAGAGAATATGCAAAATAAACTCCTTCTTTAATTTTACAACAAGGCTAATTTTCTCCTGAACACAGCCTGGAGGTAAGATGTGAAGGTACTATTAGCCTCAGGAAATGTGTGTATATTATGTAATTATGTCATGTTCTAGTTTATGTTTCAGTAAAGCAGATTAATTCATTTAAAGGTATCAACAGACTTGGGATAGTGAAGTCGGTTTGTGCATTAACTCTTCAGTATGTCAGGTTTCAATCTTGTCGGCAATGATTGATGAATCGCATGTTTGTCTGCGCGATTCCCTGTCACGTATGAGAAATGTGTTTGTCAGAAGAAGATGTCGAATTTCATGCAGACATGCTGCACCAAATCTGTTCCCTTGTCACAGCTACCTTGTCGTAAAAAAACACTCACTCGCACATTTTTGTCCGCCTCATGCCTCCCAAACACACCTGTTTTTTTTTTTTCTCTGTGACTCTCAGGTGTGGTATCTCTCCGGGTGGGTGTGCTACCTCCAGTTGGAAAAAGCAAAGGAGCAGCAAGAAAGAGAGGGACGACAAAGGACAGAGGAGGAGAAGGAAGAGGCGAATGCATTGACGGACGCAGCTAGATCATACCTGACTAAGGCTAAGAAGGTACATGAGGTCAAGCCCTCACAGAATCAAAGTCATAATAAAAACAAAAGATCACTGCTTATTGGTGGTTCAGGTATCATATATAAACAAGTGACCAAAACTTGAAAGTTGTCTGGTTATTGCTGGTGCATAACTGAATACATTTACTCAGATGCCATACTTGAGTATAACTTAGTAGCACATCCTATTTCCTTTGTATGATACAGAGTAATATAAGAGCCGCGAAGTTCTGTGGACCATAACTTCATGAGATGATCCACTTCTCTCATTTTAGTGCAGCCCACCGCTCTTGTGATATTGCTGTATGTTAAGTCACATTTAAATTAACTGTAACCTGTAGTAATGATGACTTTCTTGTGAAGTTACAACTTTGTTTTCATAGATTGAAACAGTATTCTTAAAAATGTACAACTCTAATCTCATGTATTGATAACCACTTTCTTTAAAATGACACATATTTTTTTCTAAAGAATTTATTCTTGAAGAATTAGTTTTATTTTCACAGTTTGTTTTCGTCCAAAATGTGGCTCCAATTTTTCGTCACACCATTGTCATTTTGTTTATCTCAACATTGTCCAGTTGATAATTCAGTTAAAAGTTTAAGTCCCTTTTCTTTCAAATATGCCACATTTTATCATTTTTATTCACTAATGAAGTGCAGTAAACAGAATCATTTTAAAGAATTAATCTATTAAACCAACCAAATTTATCCATTAATTTTTCTTGAAAAATACATTTAAATATGTCAAAACCCACTCAACTCTGGGTTATTGTTACAGACCCTGTCTGCTCTTTTCCTAAGTTTAAAAAGCATTACTTTTAATGGAGATTAAGAAAATAATGAGCATTCAGTGGTAAAACTACAATCATGTAGCTGTCTGACATTTTAAAAATCTACCTCAACTAAAACTTGCATAAATAATGATAAACTTTGTCGTAATAATGTCATAAAATGACGAATTTACAATATTGATTTATAAGATTAGTTTACAAAATGAATAGAAATGTATTACAATAATAACTGAATTGGTGCTAGAGTAGTATTACGATAAATATTGAGGAAAAAATCACATATTTCATGCTTTTGTTTTTACCTCGATGACATGTAGAATGCATGTTGTTAAGTAGTAATGGTATATTTTTTTTAAGCATCAGACATGAATAATTCTTTGACTGCTGAGTACAGAAACTGTGGGTACAGACAGTTACCTCCAGCACACTGTCACAATAGGTGAGACTCAGTAGGACCAGTTCTGCTGGAGTACACGCAGTGCTGTAACCACAACAGGATCCCAACCATGCTGCATTGTCGCCACAGAATTGTCTTTTATACCATCTAAGAGTTTTACATGTAACCCTCTCCATCTCCCATTGCCTCGTCCCCTCTCCCTCTGTCTCTCACACACACACATACTTAGAGCGATGTGTCTCATTCACTCTGTCATTCTGCCAGGCAGCAGTGCCTCTATGGAGCTGTGATTCATGTTAGTCTAAAAACCAATAGGCTTGTAAATCAGACAGCACAGACTGACGGATGGCAGGCCCCACCTACGATTATTTTCTTCTTCTCTTTACTTTCCTCTCCTTCTCAACCCCCCCACCCAACTAACTACCCTCACGCCTCCCCTCCTGTCCCTTCATGTTCCTCTATATATGAGCAGGGGCAGCAGAGTGGTAATATATTGACGTCTGTCTCTGAGGCCAGCAGCGTAGTGACAGGCCTGTCTAACCAGCATCCACAAGGGATGACTACAACTGAGACAGAAGTGAGGTGGGTTTACAGCTGCCAAAAAAAGTAAAAAATGAGGAGAGGGAAATAAAGGCTCAGGATGCATATAGATTTAAGCTGCCAGCTTTGTGCTGAGTTAATGAAAAAAAAAAAAAACAAATTGGAAAAAGTGGAATTGAGAAATAGGGAAAATTACGTTCTTAACTATTTTTGCTCAGAGAGAAAAACTGGAAAGAAATGAAAAGGTGAAGGACTGGTAGAGGAAGAGGGTGAGGCATCAGAGCATGACAAGTAAACAGCAGAGCTGTTTCTTTGTGGAGTGAGTAAAGCAACAGGTGCAGAATAATGTGAAAGGTGAGTGCACAAAGACCTTGAAAAAGGTGAGGTGAAAAGTGGAGAGAAAACAACCCCCCTAATGGTGCACTTAATATCTCCACTCTGTACTGCACTGTTGCTGGTATCTGTGTGTGTATCGCTACATTGTGCTTCTCCCCTGTTTATATCCAAGCTTTGTTTCTGAGCGCCAACGTGAGTGTTAATTATTAACGATGAGTCAGTCTGCTAGTTAAAATGGGCTCCAACATGGAAATGAGGCCTCAAAGCCCAACGGCTTGTTTTGGCACCAGTCCACTTCTCTGCATACTCCATGAATTTGCTAAGTGTGTGTATGTATGCATGTATGTGTATGAGTGTGTTTGTGTGTGAGTGTATGTGTTTGTGTGTGTGGTGTCAAAAAAACATGTGGTTATGTGTAGGCGCACCTTATGTGGATGCACATATTTAATCACGGTTATGCCTGCCAACTTGCATATCTAATTATTTGTTAAGAAATGCCTTCGTTATTCATTTCTCCTATGATCAATACACATGCATTCCCTCCTTATCTCTTTGTCACGCATGCACACAAACACACACACACACTGCATTCAGCTGAGATGCTCTAAAAAGGAATGATAGGGAGGAATGAATGGGTCGAAAGGACGAAAAAGAAGTGTAGGAGAAGAGCAGAAGGGTGAGCAGGAGTGGGAGAATGAAAAGGGAGGTGAGCAAGGGAACAGATTGGATGTGGGGTGTGTGCATGTGTGTGGTTGTGTGTGTGGTTGTGTGGGTGCAGGGGGTGTAGCTGGTGAATAGTGGCGAGGGTAAAATCAATAGTAAACCGGACGTGAAATGGAATTTGAGTCTCAGCCAGATAGGGTGCGATTGAGGAAGGATCTGCAGAGTATGCACAGAGGACGATGTTATATAGGTGTGTGTGTGCGCGTGCGAGTGCACAAAGGCAGCTAGGGCAAACAGAGGTCAAAAGCTTTACTATTTGATGTGGCTGAAAGGGTATCCCATGAGCACAGATTGTGGGTATAGTCAGCCCAGGGTGTGCTTGTCATGTAATTTTAATGCCATTCCCCACCAAGGAGGTGACCAGAGGACTGAAGCATATGTGTGCGTGTGTGTGTGTGTGTGTGTGTGTGTGTGTGTGAGTGTGTGTGTTTGTGTGTGAGTTTGCGGTCAGCCCTCCTGAGACTTCAGTGACATGCTGTGTTCACACACAATAAAGTCTAATCTCAGCCAGTGTCACACCATTGCCAGAAAGATGTGTTTGTGCGTGCTCATGTGTGTTTGTGTGTGTCTTGTTTCGTATTGCAGACAGGGCGGACTAGGATGTTTGGAGAAACTCTGACTTTTTTTTTGTTTGTTTATCTCTCTTGTTAATGAAGATATTTCAAGTAGTACTACTGTGGTTGATTTTAAAATAGGGAGCAGGTAGTGCAAGACTGAGGATACTTGCAGGCTAGGATAAGTGTAAAGGAGGAAAGGATTTAGGTACCATTCTGCCAAAAGGCACTTGTGTGTGTTTGTGTGTGTGTGTGCGTGTGTGTGTGTGTGTGCATGCAAGCTCAAGTAAAAGACATAAAAGTATGAAAAGGTATCTATCTCCTTGACAGGGAGGTCATCCGGTGAGAGTGTTGGAGTGTGAGTGAAAAGGAGCTGAAGACAAAGTGCAGGAGAGGTAAAATCTACCGTGTTGGGAGAATGAAGGCATAATGAAATGGAATGAAATGAAAGAAGAGGTGAAATGAAAGGGGAAGTTAAGTATAGATGTGGAACAAAGGGTGAACAATGATGGAATGATTAGGCTTTCACCCTATAATCAGCACATCTTAATTCTGCCATGTGAGGTGGAGAAAAAAAACCATTTTTTATCAAGAAATGAGGGGAAAAAGAATCACTTATAAGATTCAAGGTACATTAGGCCTTGATATTAAAAACCTTTTGTCCACCACTAGACAGAGAAAAGTACTTACAGATGATATAGTATACTGTATGATGCACCATACTGGAGTTGATTGAAAGGAATGAAGAGAAAAATGCTCAGATTTTCTTTTGTAAGTACTGTTATCTAGTACTGCAGATTTATCCCGCCTTTCTCCCCTGACTTTATTTAGCAGAAAATCCCAGCATGTTGCAGTGTACCGACCATGAGCAGGGTGAAACGGCTCCACAGGCACTCAAACTCCATGGTGCACCTGAAGCCAGCATACATCAGGTTTCTTATTTAATAGGCATATTCAATTCTGTTATCATAGATGGGAGCTGTTAACGTCATTACCATAAAGTCAAATTCACCCACTTTGCTTTGTTGATTTATGATGCATTTTGTCAGGGCATGTCTGCGCCTAGAGCTCAAAGATGAATCAAAATTTTCAAATTGATTTAACTTTTGTGCTTACAGCAAAGGGCACTGAATGAAAGACTATGGGTTTGGATTTATCAGATATATTCATTATTATAGTGTCAACCTCTACAGGGTCAACTTTGGCTCAACAGCAGTGACTCTTAATCCAGTATAAGAAACAGAATCTGAATTTTAAAGGTGCAGTTCGAAGTGTTTAGTGGCTTTGAGCTGAACAGACTGAACAGAAAAAAACAGGAAATGATATTCATAAGTATGTGGACATTGATGTATAATCACCTGATTGTAAAACTTGTTTTGTTAATTTGAAATGAGCCTTTTATATCTACATAAGTAGGGGGTCCATGCACGAGGATGTTTCTACAACAGCACAGAGCAGACAAACTTTAGTGGGTGGCCGCTGAAAAGGTTTGGTTGAAGGATGAAAGTGAAAGTGGGTGTCGAGTCCAACAGAAGTTGTACTGATAGAAGTTTCTGAAAGTAAAACAAGAAATCATATAATAATGCATCAGAGGAACTTCTTTTCTTCAAAGGTCACTGTTGCTTCACTGACAGAAGAGGTGAGCAAGGTAGTGATTCAGTCTAGAATCTGACCACTAGATATTGCTAATTTTTCTCATTTCCACACCTTTGCTTTTAATAACATAAAACTGTAACATCACAAGGTAATACTCCCCAAGTAGATTAACATGGAAACCTCATTATTATCTTTTAAATCTCTTTCAAATACACATTTTTATGGACGGGAGATATAATCTGATTGTTTTAATCCTTTAGATGCTGATTTCACTCTCATTTTAGGCACTAACACCAACAGCATTGAGTGTTGTTTCTCCTCTGTCTTATTTCCTACATTGCTTTTATTTCCGTTTCTCGATTGGTGGATTTAAATCTTTTCAAATTGATTATGGTGGTCTATAGTTTTGGTTGTGCAAATCCTGTTTTTAACTGAAGTTCTTTGTGTCATTTTTAAATCGTACTTCTGTCTATTTCTTATACCTCTGTTGTTGTTGAGTCACTGTTTAGTTCAAACTGTTAAATCCTAGTTCATGGTAGGGCTGGGCGACATGGCCTCAAATCAATATCACGATATATTGAGCAGTTGACCTCGATAACGATAAATGGACAATAACTACTCCACAAGCTGCTCGCTCCCTCCCACATTAACTTCGTCTACTTCAGCCGCCGCTCCAGACGCTACAACTTTTGAACCGTCCTCCATCTCCTCACCTGTCTTTTGCTCTTTGTTATGGACTGGATGAGGTGGAGTCACGTCACTGACGTAGGACAGCGTCTTGAAGAGACATGAGACCATAGCCTACCTACACACATCCAAAAACAACTTTTATTTATTTATTTTTTTGACACTGAGTATACGGATGTGGGCAAAATGATGTTGGTTATTGTCGTAAATTTCAGTATCGGTAAATTTTCAGTTTATGGCCCAGCCCTGGTTCATTGTATTCCCAACTTTGATTTCTGTTTACTTGTAAAGCACTTTGTAACCTTGTTTTGAAAAGTGCTATAAAGCCAAAGTTCATATTTATTATGTATTATTGTTATTTAAAACCATGTTTGTTAACTAATAGGGAAGCAAGCTTTATTCTTTTGCTAGCATTTTACATAGAATCAGGTATAGTATACATGTTCAGCTTTTGGGTTCTTGTTTGATCGATCTAATATTTGCCACATAGCACAATCAAAAATACAGCCAAGGCCAAAGGGTCATTTATTTTTGGATCAAATGAGATTATGATCAGAAAAATAATCAGCTATTTCAATTACCACAGATAAATCCAGGAATTTGTACCAAACTCATGACAGTCTTGTATTTATCAAGATCTTGAACGCTAAAGTCTTGCTGTATTACTGGTACATGTCTGTGCAGTTAACTTGAAGGTGGTGCAACACTTTGGTCCAAAGTGTCTGAATCAACTGATCCATGGATCAAATTGCAATCCCCCAGAGCCATGGTGCGAGAACAGCTTCAGACAATAGCGGGTACACAGATGTGTCGATGCACCCCTGTGCATCTTAGTGTAAAATGTGTCTGTGAGTTGTTCTGGTGGTGGTCAAGTGTGCTTTGGGCCGTGACTTCGGGCTAGAAAGTAGGGCAAAGTGGACCATGAAAAAGTTCTACGATTATACACACCAGACACTTTCTCTCTCTCTCTCTTCCTTTCCCTCCCTCTCTCCAGGCAGCTCTCTGGGCCGTGAAAGTGAGAAGAGAAAACATAGGCTGTTGCAAATGAGAAATGCTTGTGTTTTTTTGTGGCGGTGGTGCTGATCTCAGCAGCGTTTGGTTGTGAATGTGTAAAGAATAGCTTCTGCTTGTATAGCTAGCTGAAAGACTTGCGGTGAATAATCACATTCTATCAGGCAGACACACTTTGTTATTGATTTGTTAGAAAAATCACCGCATATAAATGCATTTCCCAAATAGCACCAGCTATCCTTGCTCCTACACAATTTTTCTTCTTTCTTTTTTACACATTCGCTATATTTCTTACATTGCCTTTCATGCTGCTCATATGTAATGTCTGCGTACCGCTAACTCAAGGCTGTAACATGCTATTATTGTGTGTGTGGCTGTGATTTATTGTAAAGCAAACTGTTGGGTGAGTTGTGGATAAACACCTCCTGGTGTTTCAGTGGCACCGGCAGAATGAAATTATTTCTCCTGCTAAACATGCATTTGGTGCTCCGGGGGAACCTGAGAGGGTCATCTCTTTCCCGAAAGCACATTTTTGCCTGGACCTGGGTCACACTCCACCTCCCTGGAGCTCCAACCTGCAAAAACAGTATCCACTTAAATATATATACACACACCAACTCCACACATTTTTACACTCTAAATGAGTTCCCATGGGAGTCTGTGTCTCCTGTCAGGACCCGCTGTTGCTTAGAGACTGGTCCCAGGGCAAAGCAGTCACACACACTCTTCCTCACTCTCCTGGCCTCGTTACACTTTTAGTGAGAATGATGGTACTCAGCTGCTTACTGTCCATGAGCTCAAGTGACTGCCTGTGTGCCTCTGTGTGTCTGAGTGTGTGTGTAAAACATTCCTAGATCATATCAACCATTCCCTGTTGCCTTTCTAGGAAGAGAAGCATAGGTCTGTGTGTCAGCTTGCCTCACTCTGTATATTATGCGCACACTGAAAGTTACTGTTTCGCTTCCTGTTCTTGGTGGTAGTAGCAGTAGTTTTATCACCCAGCTCCACTTTGAGTTCAGTAATTACACACGCAGAGTATTTTACAGAGATAAATCTGCTGCCTGCTTTGAGAACAGCCCTTTTTTATCTCGCTCCTTCATGCGTATTTCACCGAGATAACAACTTTGATTAAGTGTCTGTATGTGCGCATGTACTCCACATTACCGCGTGTGCTGCGGGTTACATTGCTTAACATGTGTGCGCGTTAATGTTGCTCTAGCAAGAGGAAGATAAATGGTCTTTTTGTCTCCTGTGCGGCTGAACAGTGTATCAAATGTGCTGATTTGCCAAATGAAAGACAAAAAGTGTTTACCAGCGATTTGCGAGCCATGACTGCGGTGCTGACAAAATGCAGCTGCTGTTGGATATTTCAGGCGGCCTAACCAGCACTTAGAGACTTAAAAACCTCAAGGCTGCTCACTTCCCTCCAACTCCAAGCTGCTGCTTACTGATGCCGCAGTGATGCACTGTTATCTCCAGCCACACAACGACAGAGCTTTTCAGTCACTGTATCTCATTTCTTGTAGTGCCTATGCGGTATAATTTTGCACTCTATGTTTGCTCTCAACATTTCTGCTGTATAACCTACTTTCTATTTAAAATTTCCATTTTCCAGTGTGCTTACTAGCTTATTACACACTTGCATCATCCTTTCTTGTCTTTTTTTTGTCCTCTTCCCCCCTTGCTTCCCCAGCTGCACGGTAAGCTGCGGTGTGATGACCAGCCGGTGTTGGAGCATGTGGAACAGCTGCTGGGTGAGCTGGGAGGAGAACTGGAGGGCGAGGAGGGAGACCCTGTCTTGGATGATGATTATGAACCCTGTAGTGATGAAGAGGAGGAAGATATTGCAGAGGCACCCATGGAACACTGACCACAGCACCCTTTTCTTCTGCTCTAATTTCACTTTTTTTCTCCCATCATGCTCCTTGTTGTTACAATGTTCTTGTATTCCCTCTAAAGTGCCTTTTTAAGTGGTTATCCTTTCACACACATTGAATTGAAGTGTGCTCCATATAAACATCAACATTAAAGCTGCAGACTACTCTATCTCTTTCAGTTGGTAGTGTAATGCTTTTTTGGTGAAATAAGTGCACACTTAAGTAACGCTTCCCTTAATCTCCTTGACAGACGTTGATGAAAAAATTAGTTTTAGAGCTTTACTTCTCACCAAAAAGGCAGCAGAGGCAAAACACCTTGAAATAAACGCCTTTACCTCTCCTTCACACACACATGGCTTTTACTAGTAATGCTCAAAGGCAGCACATTAATGACTCTAGCTCTTCCTCCGTATTGCAGAAGCAGCAGTGAGTCCATACCTGACTGCACTTAAGTGAAATACCTTGTCGGGGTGCAAGTTATTTTTAGCAAACATGCCTGCAAACAAACGGTTAAAGATTTCCTTACATGTTTTTGTTTTGGTGTTTCAAGTTTGTGTACTATACTTGAAATCGTACTCTCCTTCAGCTTTGGATCTTTTTTGTCTTTTTTTGGTACTTCATTGGATTCAACAACACACAAAACAATAGAGAGAATTTGACATTAACTTATGCAGCATGCGTTTCTCTCTGTAAGATTGTTCAAAGTACCAGCACAAAGCCTTCCAGAAAGGAGGAATAGGCAACTCTGGCTTCTTGTTTTCTTTTTTTCTGGGACTAGTTTCAGCCTTTTAAAAATTCTCACATAGGGTTATGTGGGGCTTTGGTTGCGTACAATTCAAGATTAATGTTTTTAACTTTGACATGTTTTATAATTCAGCATGTAAGATGAAGAAAAGAGCTTGTGGTTGTGGCCTATATCTGATCAGTGGCTGCACATTCTACAACTTCATATGGTTACAGGGTCATAGCATCATAAAAAAAATTTTGTGACCAACACCAACAACAAGAGATATTAAAAGATGTTCACAGCTTGATCTTCACTGCTGTCAAAAGTGTAAAACATCTTGGGTAATTTTATCCATATTTAAGATCCTTATGTCTCAAAAATCTGACAAATACATATCTTGTTTGAAATAATGTGTCTTTGCTTTCGATTTTTTTTTAAACTCAAAGTATCATTTTAAACTCATCCTATAGATTTCTACCATCAAGCTCAGTGCACGGGGCATGAATAGTTGTGAATCTTCTCTGCCTTGTTAAACAGTTTTTATGCGCCATTCCCGTTTCCATTTTTTTTCACCAACTGACATTTCTTCCCCTTGATACCTTCGGATTCGGAGTCGTAGTATGTGACTTGCATGCTGTTTCACACATCCACCACAGAGTATTTCTTCATGCAACATGCCTGTTAACAGCTACAACACACCACAGGCATTCAGTGCTGCACGGTCCCTTTGAAGAATTCCATAACCCGGTAAATGGGAGCCTTATCTTAGATCGTTCGCCTGATTGTGGCCGAGCTGAAAACTGAGGTCTGCTGGGAGAAACAGGAGTTCAGATACTATGGTTTGATTGTGTTTATATTTAAGGAGCTTAAAATAAAGCTCAGAAGAAAAGCTATGATATGGCGCTATTTGCAAGTTTGAGTGTTTATGTGTGTGTGATACTTCAGATACCAATAACTTACTGCTGTATACTGTAATGTGTAATTTTTGGACCTGGCTCTGCATAGAAATGTTCCTGTCTCTCTTGTTAAGTGTACGATAATGCAATTGGAGTGCAAACCACCAGGACTGACTACCTGGAGCGATACTGTCATCCAGCATTTGGCTTTATAATTACAGTGAGCTTGTGTGTATGTGTGTTTCCACATTAATGTGTGAGTGTGTGTGTGTGTTACAGCATGTGTCCACGCAGCTCATCTGCAGTGCAATGTGATTAATGACTCAGAGGGTAAGCGAACATTGGCGGTCAGCCCTTTCTGGTTATTCTGAGCTGACCCAGTGTGAACAGGCCATAGTGGACACAAAGCCTCAGGTTATCAAAAAAAAAAAAGAAATCCTTGGTTATTCTCTCACCTGAGCGTGAGCCTCAGCGCTGCAGGAATATGTTCACTAGCTGAGAGCAGGGAGTGCAGTTTCTACACAAGGACACACATTCAATCACAGGGAAAGGACACCCGCTGTTTACTTGCTTTTCTGTCCCGCTCTGCGCTAAAAATCACTCTCTGAAAGGCCAAAATGGCTGTCTGAGAGGCCAAAGCTCAGAAATAATCAAAATTTATAGATATATTGCCCTTCCATTTGCTCACAAGGTGTAATCCTTCACATTTTGATGCTTTAAATGCCGTAATGAAGCATAAAGTACGTGCATAAAAAATGACATTGAACATTGCTGGAATGCATGCATATATTTTGCAGCATTGTCTTTTCTTTACCTGATTGTTAAAACATATACATTTTATTTAAGACCTCTATGCATGAGTTGAGTCTCCAGGGAAAACCAACACATAATAAGGGTCTGTGTGCATTCCAGTGTGTGCCTGTGTGTGTGTCTGTATTTAATAATCGACGGTAATGAGATGAGCAAGGGGAGAATAATCCTGGATTAACAGCTTAAAAATGCATGTGTCGTCATAACAACATCATGATGGGGACTTAATCATCACAAATACACACAAACTCCCATTAACCATATGCACACCAACCACCAACTGTCCGGGCATTGTATAGGCGAATGCTTCAAGCCTTATATGCATGTGCAGTTTATCCTGTGCTGGTGTTTGTGTGTTTTGTTGGCTTAATTAGAGAGTTAAGCGGGGGGCTCCTCTGAAGGGATTAAGGGGGAAATTATCAAAATCTGGAGACTTAAAGCTAAAACCAGCTAAATGGAAACAGGAGGAGGGGGATCGAGCAGAGTTTGGGCATCATTTTTACTGTTTATGCATCCATTAGCTCGCTCATTCTCCTGAAAAGCCTTGTTGAAGTTATGCACAAGCACTCAAATTTCCCTCAAAGTCATACAAGTATGCTCTCAGCCTCTAAAAGCCAGTATTTGAATATTTTCACATCAGGGACATCATGTGTTGGTAAGTTTGGGGGTTTTCTAAGGTACCAAAGGACAAAAATTCATGGAAGAAGAAGGCAAGGACAAAATCGACCTAACTTTAGGACTGACAGATAGGAACGGCATGCCACTCATCTACATCCTGGTCTTTGTGCTGTGGCTGTGCATTCAAAGTGTGACTTAACGACATAATGGGAGTGATGGTTATCTGACCCATGGGTTTTCCTGACAGCCACTGTGCTAGAAGCCATGAATCATCTGACCTTTCTCCTCTGCAGTGAAGCCATTTCCTGTGCAGGATGGATTTCTGAGGTTAATGGATGCAGCGAGGCTGACCTGGGGAAAGCTCTGCTGCTGATGAATTGACACTAAGGGTTAAGAATCAGCTTTGTGGGGCTTAATAGTATCATTAAAAGGTGATATGGTAAGGCTTATTTGAAAATGTGTGTTTTGTATTCTGCTCAGTATGGCGAGAATTCAAATGGAATTGATTTGTTTGTTTTATGAGAGACATGTTTTCCCTTCACCGTATTGACCTATTGTCTGTTTCTAATCGTGGAGATTGTGTAAGATATGAAGCCAAACTTCTGCCTCAATGTGGGCAAATGAAACTGCAGGGCTAATCAAAACATCAAATTAACTTACCAACAGAATATGACAGCTTCCTCGGGTCGGTACAATCCACAGATATATGTTTTGGTTTGAGGCAGACTGGATTGAGGATTAAACCCATAATGGTACGATCATGGACTGTATTTAATGAGTACGATCAACAGTCCCTGTCTCTACTCCAGTAGTTTTGGCTTAACAATTTATTTGTAGCAATGCTGTTGTTAGCATTCCTAAAGTTTTTTGCTACAGAGAATAAAAATATATATTATTTATGTTTGCGTAAACATAAAAAATCTAAGCTTGTCGTTTTATGAACTTGTTGAAGCAAACAAATGGTCACCTACACAGTCAAACTGTTTTTGTTATCACAAATGGAAATACATGTCAGATATCATACAATAATGGCTCAAGCATCAGGTTGTGAGTTCACAAACACAATGCATTTTTCCCAGTAATGCAGAAATTTATCCACCCGGTGATTTAGTGAGATGGTCATTCTTTCCATATTCTGCATAATATTTACAATATCTATCCAGTCAGTCACTGCTGAGGAAACTGCCTGCATCCACCTTTGTGCTACAGCTTTCTTGCTGGCCACCAGTCCACTGAGCATTTTTTGGTCTAATAGACGTCTAAATGTAGCCTAGACAACTGGTCTAAAATCAGGCTACCACAGGTTGAAAAAAGGAAAAGTTTTTAGATGTCCAAATTTAGACCAAGTCTTAGACTTAGACTAAACTTTATTCATCCCTCGGGATGACTCCCGCAGGAAATTTAGGTTATCAGCAGCTTTTACAAGTAAAAAGGTAAAAAAAAAAAAAAGGTGTAAAGTGCAACATGCAAAACGTAGTCACAACATAAAATAAGATAAAATAAAATAAAATACAAGTTACACAATCTACATAAACTCTATAGTCTAAATCTGGGCTATATCTATACTACACTGTATATTGCTCAACGGCTATCATAATTATTTTGGTTTAGTACTTGGAGATCAGTTCTGCAACTCACAATTGCTTTTTTAAATAATAGGTAATCAAATAATGGGTTAAAGTGTAACGTCAAAATTCTGTCTAAAAATATACAGAATCTTGACGGTTGAAATCAGGTCTAAAAAAAAAATTAGATGTAGCATCTATTGCTTAGTGGGTTAAATACATCTGTAATTTTATCTCACACATATTTGCGCTCATGATGTCCAAGAAGAAGAAACCCCTTATCTTTCCTATCTGTTATTCTTAAGCTTAAGTGTTTGCTAGAAAAATGCTACATGCTAATGTTAGAAGCTAGCAACCATGTAGTTGTAATCTAATGC